GTGTTTTATTTCTTCAGTCTTTTTTTCCATTGACACCAAAATGGGTTTGTTTTGAAGAAAGTGCTCAAACTGCGACGTATCCCAATAGCCCGCAGTTTTCAATTCACCAACCCAATAGTAACTTTTATCAAAAAGACAGGTAGAACGAAAAAAGTGAAAGATTGTTTTAGAAAACAGATTGTTTAAGAAAAACGCTCAATATCAAACGCCAAAAACGTTGGCAAAAGAAGAACGCCGATTTTCCAGGCCTAGATCTAGCCAAAGCCATGGTTTAGCCAAGGTTTAGTCTTCTAAACTTTGCGCTTCAAAATTTCAAAAATCGGCTCTAATTCCTCCAGGCTAATTCCTCGAGTGTTCTCCAATACAATGAAATGAAAAGATGACTTCATCTCGGTGAAAATCGAGGCACACACATCGGATTAGCTTGGCCATCGCACACCGATCCGCAATTAGAATCACGATTGAGGAGGGGAGAAAGGGGAGACAATACCCCGTATCCTAGCTGCCCTCCTTCTTCTCTTCTTCACTTTTCTCTAGAGATACCCGGGATTTCAATTCCCCTATCTATACTCGAATATTTCTTCACTAATTGCTTCCACTTGATTCCCCTATGCTTCCACTTGATTCCCCATTTCGCTAGAGCCATTTTGAATCTGGAAATCCCTTCTTCACTTCATCGAGTCGAATTTGTCAGCCTTGTTTTTCAGAAAAGTTTTCCATTCTTCCAGTTTTCCAGGTTTCATCAATTGCTAAATTTAACAAAAATAGCCTTAGATTTAGATTTTCTTCCTTTTCCTTATGTATTTTATGAATTATAAAAGAATTTCTTTATAAATACTCAGAAATGGAACGCGAACATGTGAGCATTTTGATGTGTCGAAAGTTGTGCGGCTGTAAATCGACTCGAATCGATGATGAGGCGGAAAAAGTTGGCAACGAGGTGAGAGGCAATTTACAAGGAGCATAAATTGGAATTAAGTACTTTTTGTGCTAAGCACACCCTTTCTAGTGCAGTGAGCTAAATCAAGAAAAATTAGGAACTCAGTGCACCAGAAGTGCGTTTACAAGAGAGCACAAAGTACAATGAATCCCGTTGCAGCCAAGCTCCTCATATCCTTCTGCGGAAACCTCATCCGTCAGTCATTCACCAACAAAAGACTCCTCGACTCCGATTTGTGTCATCATCGCCTCACCGCGAATTCTTTCTCGTGGCATTCTCGGTGTTCTCATTTCGAATCTTGAAGAGAAATCCCTGCGTACACTCGATCTTTCACTCGTTTTCCCATCATCCGAACAGTTGAAGGTGTTGAAGTACCGTAATCCTAGAATTCTAAAAAATTATCGTAATCCAAACGCCATTTTTCATTTGATCAATCAAATCTTGATGTCATTCGATGATCAATCAATGATCAATCAATGATCATTTAATGATCGTCAATGATCGAATGATACAAGAGTCAGTCAATGACTCCAAAATTGTTCTGATCAAATGTAAACTGGCAGTTTGACTACTGTAGTTGAAAAACTACTGTAACTTACAGTAGTTTTTCGAGATATGTGTCTTTTAGAAAACACGACGCATTAGCTACCGTATATCTACAAATTTCTAGACACTAAACGGTCGAAAGTTCGGCCCGTCAACGTTTCCAGTCTCGGTCTCAGCCTGGACGGGAATTCAAGTTTACGATCGAGTTCGACAAGCCACAAATGATTTCATTCAGCGTTTCGCTTTAGAGAAAGGTTGGTGCTAATTATTAGCTGACCCATAAACCTTAAACATTTCAGCCGACATCTACTCAAGTGATAACAAAAGCCGTGGAAAACGTGACTACTTTCAGACGTGGTTCCCGTGAGTTTTTGACACTAAAAAAGCTACAAGACATACCGTAAATACTGTAATAGTACCCCACCACCAGAATGACGGTGCGGAGTGTTGCGTAGTCTAGCTTTGAACGAGTTTTTCTCGACACTGGTTTATGCTACAATGCGCATTTAGGTATCAAAAAATAGCTGAAATTCAGGGCTATTTTTTGATACCAAAGACGCATTTTTTGAAAGTACGGGCGCTTAGAAACAAATGAAATACTAAAAAACTTTTGCGACTACGCGACTGTACGAGGGCGGTGGGGTACCATTACAGTATTTACGGTAGTAGTAAAATAATCCATTTACAGTATAGACTATACAGCCGTGTAGAGTATACAATCATTGCCAAGTACGGTAAAGAAATTTTTAGCTCAAATCCCACAATCACCACTCAACCCGTTGCCGGATTGGCATCGATCGTGGAGATAAAAGTGCCGATTTCGAATAATGACGGTATTTTAAGCTTTTTTCAGCTTTTATTGCTTTGGAAAACTTAAAAGTTTCAAAATTTGATCGAATTTTCGTTTTTTCAGAGGGTCTCTTGATCAAAACGAACTCGATGGACAAAGAAATGGATGATGATCGAAAAATAGTAGAGGTAACAGTGAAAAAAAGCTTTAAAATCAATCTCTAAATTTTTCAGGAGACCGGTAAAGAGGATGAGCTTGTCGAGGATCTTGGCGAGGCCTATCCAGAGGTAACTTATAGCTTACAAAGCACTTACAAAGCACTTACAAAACACAGTTTAATGAAATCGATCGTTTATCTTCAGACATCTCTCCGGGATTTCTCTTTCTTTTGTGTTCTTTTCTGCTGTTGTCACTTTTCTGCTCTTGGCCGCATTTTTTCGGACTTCTCCTAAAAGAAATTGTTGAAGAGTGTACCAAGACAAACCATTGCTTTAAGCACCAATTAAGAATGAAACCGAAGCTTAAGTAACGAATCTAGAATGGATTCGTTACTTAAAACGCATCGAATAGCATCAGACATAGCTGAAAATTTCTAAGCAGGGTTTTCGGGGTTCTAAGCAGGATTCATAATCCAAATCCGACATCATTTTTTCAATAATTTAGCTCTTTTGCCAACAAAAACAATGAGCGATACATCAAAAAATGTTCTTGTATCATTAAAGCCATTAAAGAGGTACCATTAAAGCCATTAAAGAGGTACTCCGGCCCAAGAAAAGTCAGTATTAAATTCGACACCTGTTTTTCAAGTCTTTTTAATTCTGATTTACAACTTTTAAAAATTATTCTTTTAGAATGTAATGTTTTCTACTAAAAAAACAAAACAATATTTAGGATTGCTGTTAAATTTGAGAAAGTACATGCAAAAGAAAAGGATGTAAGTGCTAAAATGCAATTGGACGGAACCTTTATATACTTTTCGGCCAAATATCCACGTTTTAGGGTGGGGCGGAAAGCAAAAATCGCGTTTTTCTTCATTTCTCGATCGAAAACCGCGTTTTTCATATAGGAAATAGTTGCAGAGGAGATTAAAACGCATCGAATAATATATAAATGAACGCGATTCTTGAAAGTCAACTTTTAGGCTCTTTAAACAAGTTTTTTTGTGTACTTGGAGTAGAATCAGCTGATTTATTCAAATTCCTCAAAAAAAAAAACACCCAACCTCGCTAGATTTCCCCGTAGTCGGGCACGGTGTTCCTGAACTCGCGCAACGAATCATCGCTGGCACAGCTGCTCTTCATAATCGGCCCACCTTTCGACTAGAAATGAAAGATTGCCCTTTGCTCAATGCTCAATGCTTCAGCAGTGATAACTTTATGTTACTCTTATTCCAAAAACCACAAAAAGCTCACCTTTGGCTCTATCACTTCATTCTCAAAAACTTCCTTCTCAATATTTATGTTTTCTTTCTTCTTGTCCCCGTTCACAAGTGGTATCTAAAAGCAACAAAAACTTGAACGAACAAAAACTTATCAACTAACTTTTTCTTTCTCTTTCGCTGACGTTTTTTGCGAATCCTTTGGTTTCGCCGAGAGTTTTTTGCGAGGTAAATCGTCTAAAACATTGACTTAAAGCAAAAATTTTGTCAAATAACACAAAAACTAACCAGCTTTCTTCTGATTAACATCAAGAGGCGTTTGCTCGGTTTGCTTGAAGCTTGGACCTTCAGAAGTGATCTAGAAAAGAAAAAGATTAATGCTGCAACTATTCCGCTTTAACATAAACCTTTTATAACTCATACGCAATGTCCTTAGCCTCTTTCAAATGCTCATAAGTATATTTACGAGTCATAAAATCGTTACCAAACGAACGCGAAGCATCACCGGTGGCTTGTGAACTTCAACGCTTCGCTGAATCTCGATCCTTTGCGAGTTGCACTAAACAGTAAACCATTATAAAAGCTAATAAATTAAGGACCTTAGGATTAAAACAAGGATTCTAGCGCTGATTACTAAAAATTGAGCTCATTTTGTTTCATTTGAAAGAAAACTAATAATTTAGTGCTTTAGATTAAAACTCTTAAAAAGCCTGAACCAAAAATAAGAATAAAAACAACGAACCTTTCTCAAAACGATCCCCGGCGGATTGTCGGATCTTTGCTTCGGATCCAAGGCAGTTTTATTGGCTCGAACATTGAACCGCTTCCTTTTGATACACATTTTAAGCCATGCAACCAAAAGAGTAAAAATCAAACAGGAAACGGGCAAAATTTGAATAAAATTCATAAACAAACCCACCTTCAAATCAGCGCTAATATAAAATGAATTTTGTGCTCACAAAAAAATTCTTTTAAACAGCGCTCCAATGTTAATTCGTTCTTGATTTATGCAAATTTGACTACTTTGAAATTCAAATTTTCTAACCAGCCTATCTTTCAGGAACTTCCCGAGGCCTCTGATGTGGAAAAAGAAGAGAAAGAAGTAAAAGAAGAAAAACCATAAAATTTCGTGACTTTTCTCTTCGTTTATTGGTCCAAACAATGGTCACAATTTGAAAATGTTCGATAACAATTCTCAAAAAAAATGTACAAATGATATGATATAAATTTCCTCAAACAAATGACTATATCGATAAAGGATTTTAATAAAGACCAGATCTCAAAAAACATTACAACAAAAATCGACGTGCAATTCAAGAATTAGGTATCTAGAAAGCCGGTAATTATTTATTGCGGTATTTTTCGATTCCCTTCGGGCTCATCACGCAAATGTGGTTGAGGTCGCGGAATTTCTGATTGTAGTCCAAACCTAGAAGAAAATATTGAGTCATTGCATATGAAATGGCCAAATTTTTCCAGATTTCCCCAACCAATCACCAGATTTCAAAAAGTTCTTTTATGATTTGTTGCTAGTGAAAATTTATGCAATAATCACCTTTTCGACCAAAGATTCCAGCTGTGGAACAAACACTATTTCAAGGAATCAAGATTTTCATGAGCGTTTTCAATAAAAAGCTAATTCATTAAGAAATCCCAGGCTTTATCGCTTCAAATTATTTTCAAAACTCAAAAAGCATACATATTGATAAAAACTCACTGAAATCTTTGAATAGAACCAAGTTGATTAAAAAATATCGAACTAATAGAACTTTGGCTCAAAAGAATATCAAAGTTGAGCTGATCCCAATGATCGAAAAGTTTCTCCATCCATTTCATGTCAAATAAAAAAGTTATCTGTTATTAGCTTAAGATTTTAAATTTACATTCTAACCAAACAGAAATTAGGTAACTACTCTGGTGGAGAAATTTGCATGGATTAGCCATTTCATATGCATTGACCCAATAGAAACCAGAGCAAATCTTCAGTTGAATAACTGAGTCGAAGTTGTTTTTGAATAAAGACAACTAACAAACGAACCGTAGCCGACTATGAATTTGTCCGGGATTCGAAACGCGACAAAGTCCTCTTTCACATCAACCTAAATTTTGTCAATAATAAAAGTAGCATGCTTTATTTATAACCTTATTAACTGCGTCATATAACTAAATTTACCTTTCTCGGGACATTTTTGCTCAACAAGGTCGTCGTCCAAGTTTTTTGTGCCTGAAAATTACCTGACTCGGAACGCTTTCTAAAAGACAACTCTGCTACCGCAGTCTGCAGGCGCTAATTGCACTTCATTAATTTCTATCTTCTATGTTCTATATATGTTTCTTGACTGACTCACGCCCAATTCCTCGAGAGTGTGAAGCAGCCGAGCCAACGTTTGCCCCGAGTCGACAATGTCTTCAACTATCTGAAAAAGTTCATTACAAAAATATAACTAACGATCAAAGAAACTCACCAATACGTTCTTTCCTTTGAGCTCTTGAAGGTTGCTGAGTCCGATGATTTGAATCATACCTAAACATGAGACGGTAAAGATAATCAAAAAAATAGCTAAATTTTTTAGCCCAAAACTTAAAGGCCACCTGTCGATTGTGTATCCTCATAGCTCTGACATCTGATAAAGTCAACGGTCATGGGTTGAGTGCATGAGGAGCGAGCGTACGCCAACTCGTCAACCTAAAATAAAAAAAAGAATTATTTGCATTTTTACATGTTATGGATTAAACCAAAAACTGACCAATGCTGTGAAAAATTTGTAGCTTCCTTTGAGCACACAGAGTAAGCTCAGCTCGTTGTCTCCAATTCTGAGAGAAATTTAGATTAACATTTTGTACAAAACTTTTATTACCACTAAATATTGAAAACTTACTTTGCGTGTATATCCTTAGCAAGTCTCCTCACACGATCCTTGATCATTCCTTCTGGTACAATCACCGCTCCCAGATCTCCTTCGTAGCAATGCGGGATATCGAACGCATCAACCGGAAGCTAAAATAATCAAGGTTTATGTCGCAAATAATACTTTGAAACTTTCAAAATAGATTTGCTGATTAAACAATTGGAATTTTTAAAAATTTTACCTCAAAGTCCGGAGGAATCACAGCATCCGCGGCGGCCATGTGCTAAAGAAAAAAATTTATTTGATAAACAATACTAAACCTGTTCGTAATATGAAAGCTCTTTAAAAAATGATTCTTTGGGGTCACTTAGGCCATTTTTCTCTGAAAAAGATACACACAATTGATAAGGGAAATTCTCGGCCGAAACAGCGACGGCCGATCAGCGATTATTCACGTGTTTCCTATTTCAATGAAATTTTAAAATTTTGCTCTTGGACGTTTTTGTATCATTATGCAACAAGAGACAAAATTTCATAAAAAAATTAAAAACTGATCATGCCTTGCACAAGTGCCCATTGCTCGCCATTTCACCGTTGCCTCTAAAAATGGTCGTTTAAAATGCTGAACGAAGTCTGTTTACTCAACAATGAAGTGCGAATAACCTTTAAGCCAAGAAAGAATTTGAATAAAAGTTTATAACCATAAAAAATCAACAAATTTAACAACGCTATAACAAAACATTCAAAAAATTGGAAAATTCCTGACTGAAACCGATCAACTCAACAAAAGATAACAATGGGGAAAAGACGGGGATTAAGCTATCAGAGAACGTCCGAAAATTCACGAAGCACAAAAAAGTGAAATCTAAAATCATTCGCAACAGTCGATTCTCAATCGAAAAAAGGTTGACAAGTAGACCCGAGAGAGAGCCGATTAAGTGGAAGTGAGAGCAAATATGAAAACGGCTTATAAAAACTCTCAAAAAGTCAACGAACAAATTTTAAAAAAGTGACAGTAAAGAAGGAACAATAAAAGTACGATCACTTCAATCCCAAAAGCTGTCCTCGTTGATTAGATTTGAGTTCTCTTTCCTCCCACGATTCACCTAAATAAGCTGACTTAGAGGTATTAAACCAAAACACACCGCAGATTGACGACCCTTGACCTTCAGACGAACTTTCTCCTTATTTCGCTTTGCTTCCAATGCTACTCTTCTTTTGATTTCATCTGGGGGAATTGATGTAGACGTCGAGCGCACAGATCTAAAAGCCATGTTTCAAGTTTGATCCCAAAGCGTGCTTACTTTGTTCCAGTCTTAATCTTTTTAGTTTGTCGCTTTGCATTGTCCTCTTGTGCATCACCACCGATTTCTCGTTCAATCGCCTCCAATTCCTCTTGATCAGCTTCTTCTCGTGCCTTGATGTACGCCTCACGATCTCTAAACTTTCATAATTAACCCAATCAACCGAACTCTACTATTTAAAGTTATTTAAAAATTACCTTCTTGCTTCTTCCGCAGCTTGAACTATCCTTGGATGGTCAACTAAGTTGTGCTCTTCGCCTCCCTCTTGTTCGCAAATCTCATCTAGCTGCGACGTGGCATCTTTAAGCCAAGAATCGAATCGTGACGATTTATTGAGCTCTTGTTCCTGAAAATTTAAAATAAACATCATAGGCAGTAACCCAAACAACCTTTTTCTTATTCTCCTGTTCCTCAGCTACTTGCTCTTCTTTGTCGATATCATCGGCTTCATCCTCATCCTCTTCTTCGACCTCGCTCAATTCGCTGCCCCACTCCACTTCTTCCTCATCTCCATTGCCAGACTCATCCGAACTCGTGGCCTCTTTATTTTGTTCTTCATGCATCAGGAAGTTTCCTTCATCGTACGCCTTAAATATTCTTTGCTTAAACTGACGAAATACAAACTGACTTTATTCAGATCTTCGGCCATCTTCTTCGTGAAACCACTAGCTTCTAGTTGAACATCGAGGTTGAATTTTCTTGTCATATCCTCAAACTTCGGATATTCATCGCACAAGTAGTTGAATTTGCGCCTATAAAGATCAAACGTGTAGAAACAAAAAAAAATGACAAACTTGAATAAAGTTCGAACACATTCCACATCCCGATCGAAATAGTACTTTGCGTTGGTATGATCCATGCTCACCATCTGTGGGAAATCGATCAGCACAACTTTCTCCTTCTATAAAGCAGTTTTTCTTAATTTAACAAAAATAGTATACCTCAACAAGCATAACATTGAATTCATTAAAATCTCCATGAATGAGTCCATATCGAGCTAATTTGACGATCAAGCACATTAACCTAAATAAATGCGTAGAGCTTTTTCAAATTTTAGGATTTTAATTTTTTTAGCAATGACTAACCTGTCGTACAAAGCACCGGGATCTTCAATTTTATCGACATGACAAAGGGTCATACCCTCAACAAGTCCCATCACAACAAGATGTCGGCAAACATCAACCGGTCTTGGTACTGGAAAGCCTGCCTCAGCTAGAGCCTAAATATCACATGTTAGCGATCAAAGTACTAGTACAAACCTTCAAAAACGCAAACTCCTTTGAAGCCGCAAGTCGACTCAAATATAGCCAGCTGGCAGATTTCCTCTTCTTATGGTAATCACGTTTCTCTTTGATTTTTCGAAAAGACGTTCGGCCGAGGCGGTGAAATTTCAGGCACAAATCCTAAAACGGTTGTGGTTTTGATATATCAACGAAAAACACTAACATTTAGTTCTGGGTCGCCTCCGACGTAAACATCAGATTCTTTTCCCACTCCAATTTGATTTCCTACGGAACTAAACCGATTCTTAAACTATTAAAATACAAATCAACAAACCCGACGACTTCCCGCGAGCACAAAGCTTTCAAAGCAAGATAATCATAGCCAAGTTTCGTCAAACGATATCCATCATCTAAAATAAAACAAACAAAGTAATGGTCAGGTCAGAACACGCACATTTCCGTCCACGTTCATAAGCAACGAGCCCGATTTTCATCAAGTCAGCGAGACTTTTCGTGACGCCACCTCGATGAATCTTTGCGACAGAAGAGATGAGAGGAAGCGGAACCAACTCGTGATTCTTCATGCCCATTTCAACCTGAAAAACAAAGTTCATAGAGTTGCATAACGGTATACGATTTAGATATTCGTTTACCACTTCCCCTGATTTGACGTTAAGAACCCTGCCGATAAACTTTCAGACTAGCCTAATGCAAATGAACCCTCAATCGCTAGTATTTGAAGCTCGATCACCAAGACGTTCATTTGGTTTTATTTGCTTATTAATTTTTATGAAAAGCCTACCGCTAGCAATATCCTGAAGTGTTCTCCTTCAAGATACCGCATTTTCGACACGTCCATACGCCCCATTTCTGCTTTCTAAAACATTAGTCTTGGTTCAACACCCATCAAAGCTTAGATTGGTAAACAATTGTTGTAATAAGCATTTTTAACTGACTCACTGAACAATTTTTAAATGAATTTATTTTAGTCCACAATGAGAAGCACAAAACATCACCAAATATAACCCAAAACACTTTGATAGTGAAAGACAAACATAGGAATCGTTTTTTTATTTAATTGGGCTTATGCAACGACTGAAAACGTGCTTTTGAACCTAGGCATGTAGCTATAAAGTTTGTGCAATTGGAATACCTATTAGAAGAATTAACAATTAAAAAATCGAATAAGAGCGATACAAACAATAGAACACTGTGTTGATAGATAATGTTTTAATAATTTCCACGACTGCGCTTGGGTGGTGGAGGGCTTTGACCAGCTTCAAGGACGCGTTCGAGGACCTCAGCAGCCAAACGAGGAGAATCTTCCTAAAATAAACACTTTCATTTGAATGAAGATTTCTTAACAAGCCGGGTTTAATAGATTGCAAAACTATTTTATTGCTTATGATTTATGCTTCATCTTTAATTCGGATTCTTTCAAGTTTTGCTTTATAAATTCTCACCCTGAATCGTCGCCACATATCGGTCCTAGTAATGCCAGATTTGTTTGTGGAAACCTAAATCATTTTCTGCTATTGCAAAGAAATAAATGAAACTTACAACATCCAAACAATGAGCGTAGAGCGAATGCGCGTTGTGAAGATCGGCCAGTGAAAGAATATCGCAAACATTGTCCCGTGATGTTCTAAATCAGTGATAAGTTTGACAGTAAAGCAGCGACTTACGCATTGATCAACTGTTGCTCGCAAACACACTTTAAGTCAGAAATATCGTACTTCTCGGCTAATATCATCACCTAAAAGAAGCAATAAATTTCTTTAATAAACAAGGACAAACATTGACATAATTTTCCCAGGCCGTCTCGGACATGATTCGACCGCAGTAGATATACTCAAGCATCAACTTCACCGCCAACGGATCACCCTCCATTTTAAGCACGCGATCCTAAAATGATAATTAAATCAGAATATTAATTTTGAACATTCGTTTTGTTTTGAAGTTTTGAACATTTGTTATGGGGCAATAGTTTTTAATGGGTAGTAAATTTCCAGTAGACATCTTCACATTTCTAACACCAATCATAAAACTTGCTCACCTTTGATTCGGCCACATTGCCGTGAGAAAGCATAGCCCGGAAAACGGATGAATGAGCTCTGAGCTTGTGGGAATGAACGAGAAACTCTTGATTTTCAACAAGTACAATGAAATCCGAGCCTTCGCCACTGTGAAGCAAGTCGAGTTCTAAATTAAAACCAATCCAGGTAACAAACAGTTTATGAAAACAACCTTCTCGGATATGCGACGCACTGATTTCCTCCGTTGTCCACAAAGGGTTGACTGTTGCTCGCTTGCAAATCTAAACGAATAGCAGTTAGGAAAATAATGTTTCAACTTACAATTCGACTAATGTCAGGCATCAGCTCAATGATGCAGGAGATGACTAGTGAGTTGTCCTGTCGCACAGCTCCAGAAACTTTTGACTTCTAAAAACAAAATTGCAAAATAACGTTCACGTTGGCTCACCGGAATGTTTCGAAGTCCCCACGAATGACCTCCCTTGGGCGGTTTTGCATGAAAATCGCCGATGTTTACGTTAGTGAACAGAGGTTGCTCGCTGTCGCCCAAGAAATAGAAGCGATATTCTGCTTTCACGAGCACCTAAATAAAATAGCCAATGAAATTTCTTTTCAAAAACCAAACCTCCTTGTTTGGAACCGTTGCAGACATCTTGAGAAACAAAGAAACATTATCTTTATTCTCTTCCCGCTTGCCATTCGGATACAAGCATAGTTGCCAGCAAACATCCGGCATTTGTTGGTCACTAAATTACAAAACAGTTATACAAACTTCCAATTTACAATTACCGAAAAACTTGACTCCTAAAACATTGTCCCGGCCTAGAAAGCTTCAAAATCGTGTGAAAATTCTCAATCTAAAGATATTCAAGTTTAGCCATCAGAAAACAAGAAAACAAACCTTCCAAAGTTGTGTAAGCATCAGTGGTTCACAATATGTGACACACTCATTTAACTTCGATGACTTGTGTGAGCGTGACGTTGAAGGCAAAGCACCATCAGCTAAAATCGAAAAACATTAGAATAACCAATAAAAGTTTACCTGTTCCACTAACACTCATGGATTGATCACCCGACATGGTCTAAAAATCAATTATAGTCTTGTAGAAAAGGCTAGAAATAAAAGTACAGCAATATGAAAAAGTCAAAAGCATCAAACATCAAAGTATGTAATCGATAGATCATTTATAACACACGATTGTACTATAAATTGCTAGTGCGGACCTTTTAGCGGAGCTGAGAGCGTTTCACTGACCATATTAGTGGAAGAATCAATTGATCGACTTGAAGAATGGGGCAAAACGTAGTTTTAATAAAAAATCGGTGTCACTGTTGACGCAGCAACATCATTTTCACAATTTTTTCACCAACTATTCACAATTAATGCTACCTACCTAAGCCAAAATGGTCAATATCGAGGACGGCTACGGGGATCTACTGGGCGTCGCTGGGAAATTGACTGAAGATGTTAGTTTACGATATTTTATTACAAGAACCTATAAAAAAATCACTCGAACCAAAACGGCTCTTTTTTTGCCATTTTTCAATCATTTTGTTCTAAGCCCTAGTTAATGCTAAAAATATGTGTTATATCTCAAAAAAAATTACCCATCCTCTCTACTTTAATTTTATACCCAAGCGCGCAGCAACAAATATCTGGACGCCGAGATATGAGCGTTTGTTTGAGTGCAAACTTAGACTACACGACGCTCCTATAGGGGGGTTTCTAATCGAATATTTACGGTACGTGTAATTTTTCCTAGAAGTTGCACTCTACTTTCTTGGTTTACTTGCTGATTTGTGCGCGTGCGTTAGATAGATTTACGCGTTAGCTTTAGCGTTTAAGCGTTAGATAGATTTACGTGATTGTAGGATAGCTTTTAACAGCTTTTGGGAGGTTTTAAATTTTTTTTGTTTTATTTTTATTACCTTAGTAATTTTTTAGAAAAAGTGAAAGGTAACTGAGCATGAGTTTCCTCGGCATAAAAAAACGGCATTAAGCGTAAACGCTAGCATGAATTTCCTCGACATGAAGGCATGAATTTTACTAGTTACCGTTAGACTTGCTTATCGATATTATCGATATAAACGGCAAGCTCATGTTTGCCCCGGTTTCTAGAACAGCTTCTAGAACAGTTTCTAGAACAGACCTGCAGATTGTTTCATTGAAAAGCCAAGAATTTTGCAGGTGCTATTTAGAAAATACAGTAACAACCGGTTTAACTCCACAACATGAAAAAGAATAACCAAGTCATATAATACGAACCAAATCGAATGCTAACTTTTAGCCAAACAATTTTACGATAATTTAGACTGCAAGGGTGTCGTTTAGGAGCTACAGTAACCCCCGGTTTAACTCTACAACTTGTACCCCTTTAAACCCAATAAAAAGGCAATAACCGCACTATTCACGAGTTAATGCCTTTCACACACCCAACCGATCGACATTCATTCACCCGAAAAACCGAATCCACCTTTTAGGCGACAATTCTTTCCGCGCGAGACCCCGATAGCAAAAGAAAGCCCAGATGCGCCAAATTGGACGCAAGAATTGCCTCCAAAGCAGCATATACACAATTTTTGTTAAGAAATTTCAAACTATTCAATTATTCGATCACTTTATTGGCTTATATCTCAATCGCTATCATTTTTTTTACCCTTTTGCATTAAGGAATGTTAGCACAACACCCGGAGATGTATGACTAGAGAAGCTCTCGGCTTTTGTGTTATTGATCCTTTGTGCAAATTTTTGTTTTCTGCTTTATCGTGTTTAAATTCATTTCTACAGTACCCTCGGCTCTTTCCGGTTAACGGGGGGTAAAACGGATTAATGGGGGGTAAAAAGTTAACGGGGATTTTCATAATATTCAATCATTCGCCAGACTGTACTGTAGGATTTCAATTTTTGGTATTTACTAGGGAAGGTCAACTGGCTGAGCCGGCCAAATGCTATGCGACCTATACCATTCGGCGTAGAATTTTATGCTGATTCCGAATAAAGTCCGTTTTTGCTTATCGGCGACTAAATTTACAACAGTCTGGGTGAATTTAGTCTCGGACTATTGTGAATTTAGAACAAACAAGTGCCCCCATCCCCCCGTTACTATAGTAGATCCCCTTGTTTTTCTAGAAATTGCCACCAGTATTTTTTTTTACCCCCCTCCCCGTTAATCGGAAAGATCCGTACCCTCAAATAGTGTATTTTAATGGGGGGTGGGACAAATGCGACCTTTTTTTTGCGTACCTGGACATTTGCGCACCTTTTTTTTGCTGGAAAAGGCCTTAGGAAAGGTCGTAGAGCTTCAAAAATGTTTTCATACAAGGGAATCGTATGCGTAGATTCCGAATTTCGACAAATCAGACCTCGCTGGCACGTCAAATTTGGATTAAAAGGCAAAAACTGCGGAAAAGCGTTCAGTTGCGTAGTTTTTGCCTTTTAGCCCAAATTTGACGTGTCAGCGAGGTCTGATTTGTCGAAATTCGGAATCTACGCATACGATTCCATTATATGGAAATATTTTCGAAGCTCTAAGGCCTTTTCCAGCAAAAAAAGGTCGCATTTGTCCCACCCCCGTTTTAATGTTCACAATTTTGATTTTATCCTAACTTTAGCTGTTCCTTGTAACTTTGGATCCGTACTTTGTGCTTAAACGTAAACATACTCTTTCCGGTGCACTTAATTCTTCATTTTCTCATGGCAACAAGTCTTTTCTCAAGAAAAATGAAGAATTCAGTGCCCCGGAAGAGATGTGTTTACAAAATTGAACACAAAGTACAACATAAGATCGCCTATAGGCCTATAGGCTGACTTTTCGTGGTGTACTTTGTGCCTAAAAGTAAACTTAAACGCACTCCGCCTGGCTTAACGAATTTTCTTTTTTGCACAAAGTAAACCTAGATAGGCTTATAGACTTTTTATCCAAGAATTTTTGTTAGATTTGATATTGATGTTAGATTTGATATTGATGCTAGTCTTGATATTGATGCTAGTCTTGATATTGATGCTAGTCTTGAGATTGATGCTAGTCTTGATATTGATATTAGCCTTGATATTGATATTAGCCTTGATATTGATATTAGCCTTGATATTGATATTAGCCTTGATATTGATATTAGCCTTGATATTGATATTAGCCTTGATATTGATATTAGCCTTGATATTGATATTAGCCTTGATATTGATATTAGCCTTGATATTGAATCCAGCAAAGTACCCCGAAAACAGGTGTAAATCAACTGTGACTTTTGCTAAAATCAAAGAAACTTATGAAATTCCAATAAAACCAGTGAAATATCGATCATTTTCAGTTCAATTTCCATGGTCACAATGGAGCCATTAACAGATGATGAATGGGATGATGCGGATATGGATGATTCAGATTTAGAAGAACTGCTCAAAAGGAAACAACAACTCGAACAACAATTGCAACAATGTAAGATAAATGCAATTTTTCGAGAAACAGAATTCAGGCGGTCAAAACGGTTTGGAGAACGGAGATGAGGATGAGAGTTTAAATGGGTGAGTTGTTGAAGTTCTAAGCCTTGTCCTGGATGAGTATTGAGCCAACAAGGCTGAAGGTTTTCAAAGATCTTCAAAGATGATACTCACAAGGGAAGAATGGGTCTCGTGGCCTTTTCCGATAAACCATTCGACACAGAATTTTACGCTGATTTCAATCATGTAAAAATTAGCTGCCAAATGGCGAGTAGTCACCGCCAAACTGGCATAAAAGGGTTCGAAGTCTTGACCCTCGGCTTGCTGTACAATGTGCTGTACAATGTGCTGTACAATGTGCTGTACAATTTGCTGTACAACCACTCAACCACTCGGCTACCGTTGAACGGTTTGTTTTGTAAAAAAGTTGGCTGAAAAGGAGAGGATTAGAAGGAGAGGCTTAAAAGGAGAGGCTGAAAACCTTTATGCCAGTTTGGCGGTGATTATCCGCCATTTGACAGCTAATTTTTTTGCATCATTGGAATCAGCGTAAAATTCTACGTCGAATGGTTTATATGTCGCAGCCGCTAGTGATTTTCAGCCGCTAGTGATTTTCAGCCGCTAGTGATTCAATCACCATCGACTAGCCGCTAGTGATTCAATCACCATCGACTAGCCGCTAGTGATTCAATCACCATCGACTAGCCGCTAGTGATTCAATCACCATCGACTAGCCGCTAGTGATTCAATCACCATCGACTAGCCGCTAGTGATTCAATCACCATCGGCTAGTCGATGGTGATTGAAAGTTTTTTAACGAAACATTTGAAATGCAATGCAGATTTATCTCACATGCAAATAAAAAGGTTAATCGGACCAAATATTTTAGCACCTCAGGAGATTTGGCAACAGAAGTTCTGTTGCCAAATTCGAAAAATTATGTCATCGTATTGATGAGAAAATTTGTCAACACCATCGACTAGCTGATGGTGATTGAATCACTAGCGGCTAGCCGATGGTGATTCAATCACTAGCAGCTGAAAATCACTAGCAGCTGAAAATCACTAGCGGCTGAAAATCACTAGCGGCTGAAAATCACGAGCGGCTGCGACATATATATCGTTGGGATCCAAAAATCCTTTCCTTGTCAGTATTGTCGGCTGAATGTCGGCAAGCCAAGACTTTGATATTCAAGGATTTCTATTTTGCAATGATTTTATCTCGAAGTTCAGTGCATCTCGACAAACTCTCGAAAATGACGATGAACCGGAGAAAAAAAGATTTCGATTGGAGGAAGAGTTACCCGAGACGCCGATCAAAGGTTTGACTCTTGTACTACTTGAATCTTGTACTCAGAACTACTTGTACTTGATATTTGACTTGACTATCGAGGTATCAATAAGTTTTTATCGTGATAGCAATAAGTTCTTATCGAGATAGCAAGAAGTTCTTATCGAGACTTATCGATATTATCGATACCGAGGCCTTATCGATGCCGAGATCTCGATAAGCTTATCAATTATGATAAAAATTTAGTTGATTCTCCACCAAATCCTTTTACCTAAGGCTTATTTTGGGGTAATTCGATGCGCTGAATACTTTTGATCTCCCAAACCTGGGTTTTACGTTTTTTTTAACCCATTCGTGACGATTCGAGCCACCGGTGACCCGGAGCAAACCTGGGTTGGTAAAAACAATCATAACTTGAGCTACAGTGGATCATTTTTTGAGATCTTTATTGCAATCGATAGCTAGCAAAATACTGAAGAATGTTGGGGTTTTAGTTTTTCAAAAAGTTTCCAAGTTATTAATCAGGTTCGAGAAAGGAACCAGATCATCTAAAAACGACCGAATTTGTTAAAGATTTTGGAAAACTTATCGAGATATTGATATCGATAAGCTATTGAGATATCGATATCGTTAATATCGATATCGATAAGTTCTCGATAGTTTAAGTTACCTATGCAGGCTTGGATCGGCCTAGTCATCCCTGGAATTGGCTTGATCTGGACTAGACTGGAGCTGACCTAGTCTGGAGCTGACCTAGTCTGGACGGAACTGGCCTAGACTGCATTGATCTAGCTTGGTCTAGACCTGATCTGCATTGACTTGGCCTGATCCTAGTGCTTAGTCAATTGAGAAATCGAGCTCTTACCCAGCTTAACTTTTTCCAGAAGGCCGCCCAATCTCCGCATTAAGCGAGGATGCTGGAGCGAACAATAGCTTTTATTTTTCGACCCCTGATCAATCACATTCCGAATGGGAAATCCCGAACACACCAGCTCGATGTCCATACATGGTGAGTGGCTAAATGACTTTAGTAAGGCTTGAGTAAACTCAAAAACCTTCAGCACAACGTGACCCCGCCAAAATCGGAGGCTAACGAGTTGAACACAAGCGATGATTTCAATCCACTTGATTTACTCGAACAAGCTGTCGATGAGGAAGAATCGACGAAGACATTGTAAGTCGTAGATTCTATAGTATTCGATAGAGTTCTATAGAGTTCTATAGTGTTCTATAGTGTTCTATAGTGTTCTATAGTGTTCTATAGTACTTCTATAGTATTCTATAGATTGGCCCACTACCCTTGTACTATTTAATGCTTTACAGTACTTTTCATTTCTCTGGCAGCGCATCGACTCGGAAATTTTTCTAAGTCCAAACTAAGATAAGCATGGCTTAGTCTTTCCGCCTGAGGTGACCACTTGGTAGGATCAACCAGATATGTGAACTAAGATAAGCATGGCTTAGTCTTTAACCCGAGCTAGCAATCTGGAAGGATCATTGAGCTATACGGAGCTATCATGCGTTTTCATATCTGGTTGATCCGAGCTTAAAGCATCCGGTTGCAAGGACGCGACTTTGAAACAGGGCTGCAAAACACGTTACCTATGCAGTCTATTCAATCGAAAATTAATCCAAAAAGTAAACGGACCAGTTCTCGTCAAACCAGCTTTAAAAAAAGCGTCCTTTCTGGTGCACTCATCATTTTTCAATTCAAATCCAAATTTGAATTCAAATACTAATTCAAATTCAAATACAAATACATTAAAAAGCTATGTTTAAATATCAGAGAATGAGTATAAAATAGAAAAAAACAGCCTTTTCATGCTTAGGCCTAAGCCTGAGCCTGAGCCTGAGCTTGAGCCTGAGCTTGAGCCTGAGCCTGAGCCTGAGCCTGAGCCTGAGCCTGAGCCGAGCCTGAGCCTGAGCCTGAGCCGAGCCGAGCCTGAGCCTGAGCCTGAGCCTGAGCCTGAGCCTGAGCCTGAGCCTGAGCCTGAGCCTGGCCTGAGCCGAGCCTGAGCCTGAGCCTGAGCCTGAGCCTGAGCCTGAGCCTGAGCCTGAGCCTGAGCCTGAGCCTGAGCCTTCAAAACAAATCTTCAAACTTCAGCCTAAAGCGTGTCCCCCTTTATCGTCCAAAAGATATCATCGAGCCATTGCCAACCGGTTGGAGAGAGATCACTCATGCATCCGGCCTATCCGTCTATTTGGTATCTCTAGATTTTACAGATGTACTTTTGAAAATTCGTAATTTCAGCACGCAGAAACAAGAGTCTGCACATTTTCTCGACCGTACTACCTTGGGAAAGGCTCTGTGAGACATCACGAGGTAAGGAACAATATTATTTACTATACTGTCAACTCTCGATCTCGACGAGACGAAAAATGTTGATTCGTTGATTCAACGATTCTAAAACGTGACTTAAATTTCTTGCTTAGCCCTAAATTTCTTGGTTACCTGAACGGCCAATGATTGCGTTTAGCTGGCAGCTATGCAGAAAACAAGAAAGTGCTTCAGAATTTCAAAATCGTTGTATCGATGAGTCAAGAGTCAAGACAGAGTCAAGAGTCAAGAGTCAATAGTCAAGAGTCGACTGTATAAAAGACTGTCTATCCGTTTGTACACCTTCTTCTCACCTATCTTTAGCGGTAAATCACCGTTGATTCACCAATAGTCAAGCAATAAACAAGTCAAGCAATAGTTTAGTATCTCTGTTGAATAAAAGATATTCTGGATCTGAGAAAGCTGAATATTTCCTAACTTCTTGACTTCAGGTTCCCCTTTGTGCAATCCCGTGTTTGCACGAGCGCAAAGTGAACGACTTTTACGACAGAAAACGGGAAGAGGCAGCACAAGCGGGAAGCGCTCTGCCACTCGGTGATATTGATGTGCAGACGAAGGTGAGCTTTGACAGAAGACACTAGGTTGGAGTGATCAATCTACAGTAATCAATCTACAGTAATCGATTGATAGTAATCAATCTACAGTAATCAATCTACAGTAATCAATCTACAGTAATCAATCTACAGTAATCAATCTACAGTAACAATCTATAGAATCAACTATAGAATCAACTATAGAATCAACTACAGAACAATCTAAGTAACAATCTACAGTAATCAATCTACAGTAATCAATCTATAGTAATCAATCTACAGTAATCAATCTATAGTAATCAATCTACAGTAATCAATCTATAGTAATCAATCTACAGTAATCAATCTACAGTAATCGATTGATAGTAACCAATCTACGGTAATCGATCTACAGTAATCGACCAATAGTAATCAATCTATAGTAGCCAATCTACAGTAATGAACCAACAGTAACCAATCTACATCACTCAATCTAATCTAGCCCTTGATCTACCCTTGGTATAGTTGTTTGGTGTACGAGAATGGGTTAATACTGAATCAAAGTAGTACTAGATACATCGAATGACCTCCAAAACCCATTTTCAGGGCGAAGATTTCGGTCTGAACGTGCAACTTTCATCAAACGCCGTGTACGAGTACGCGAAAACGCTGTATCGCATAAAAATGGTGAAGATTCGAAAAAACTTCCGCCGATGGAGAGACCGAGCCGAGCATTCACGATCGCAAAAGTTGGCTTTTACTTGATGCCTTTTAATTGATGACTTTTAATTGATGCCTTTTACTTTGTAATATCTAAGTAGATTTATTGTATCTTTCAGAGAATTGGAAGATCAACGCCTTATCGCAGCGATCGATGATGGTGGAGATGATTCAGGTAGGCTTACCTCTATTCTGTCGAATAGAAAACATAAACATTAAAGTCTTAAACAAAAATAAATGAATTAAATAATAATGGTAAACGTTTTTTCAGAAAAGATTCGCCGTTTTGTACTCCCGGACAGTGTTGTGATGTCAGCGCCACAGGGTTTAGCTCGAGCCGGAAAACCGGGACGCCAACGACGCATGGTTGTCGTGGTTTGTATCAAAATTACTATAGTTTCTAAATAAACCATTTGAAAGTTGTAAATCTCCTCTACAAAATAGGCTAAAACGTTTTTCAATTGATCGAAGCATTGAAGAAATTTCGAGGGCGAAATGCGAGTGACCAAAAAAAGGAATCGAGTCACTTTAGGGACAAAAATATGGTATTGATGTTAGAATTACTTATACAAATGCTAGTATTACAGTATTGATGTTAGTCAAGATCTCAACCCGTTAGTACACTAGAATATACCGTAAATACTGTAATAGTACCCCACCCCCATAATGACGGTGTGAAGTGTTGCGTAGTCTAGCTTTGAACGAGTTTTCCTCGACACTGGTTTATGCTACAATGCGCGCTTAGGTATCAAAAAATAGCCCTGAATCTCAGCTATTTTTTGATACCAAAGCGCGCATTGTAGCATAAACCAGTGTTGAGAAAAACTCGTTCAAAGCTAGACGACGCAACAGTAGACGTAGTCTGGCTTTGAACAAGTTTTTCTCGACACTGGTTTATGCTACAATCCGGGCTTTAGTATCAAAAAATAGCTGAGATTCAGGGCTATTTTTTGATACCAAAGACGCATTTTTTGAAAGTACGGGAGCTTTGAAAAAAATGAAATACCAAAAAGCTTTTGCGACTACGCGACTATACGAGGGGGGTGGGGTAATATTACAGTATTTACGGTAGTTATCCTTTTTTTTTTCTTAAATCTTCAATTTTGGCAAGCTAACTCTATTTTGACGACACTAAACTTGTCCCTAAAGTGACTTGATTCCTTTTTTGGTCACTTGCATTTCGCCAGGTCACTCGCATCAAATTTCTTCAATGGTTCGATCAATTGAAATACGTTTTAGCCTATTTTGTAGAGCCTTTTTTGTAGAGCGTATTTTGTAGAGCCTTTTTTGTAGAGCCTTTTTTGTAGAGCCTATTTTGTAGAGCCTATTTTGTAGAGCGTATTTTGTAGAGCCTTTTTTGTAGAGCCTTTTTTGTAGAGCCTATTTTGTAGAAGAGATTTAGAACTTTCAAATAGTTTATAACATTCATCGATATCAGGTTTTTCAGTTCTATCGTTGGAAATTTATGAAAATGTTGAAATCCGCATTTCTTATGCATTTACCAAATAACTACTTCATTTGAAACTTTCTGCTTACCAACTCTTTCTCCTTACCAACTCTTTCTGCTTACTAACTCTTTCTGCTTACCAACTCTTTCGGAAAAGAGGAAATCAACTCTTTAGGGGAAAACGGCGGTCAACATTTTGCACGATTACGCGTCCAAATTTCTGCGCGGAGCCAAGCTTGAATACATTGAGGATCAAACGAATCGGTAACAATTTGCATTTGATTTTATGAGAATTTCTTTTAGTTTATAAGATTTAAGAGAGCTTTTAGAACGAATTTAACAAATTTAACACAATTTCCATTTCGTGAATTCAGCTTAAAATGCAAAAATGTTGACGAATTTCGATTTGCAGATCAGCCGCGGCTCCCTACCAAATTTCGGTTTATCTCAAAAAGTCGGCTGAAGTTCGACTGGCTCTAGCCGACAATATCAAAGAGAAATTGGATGTGCTGAGGCTGAGGGAGAATTTTCAGAATGGCGATGATCAAAGTTCGTTTTGCTACAGCATACAGATTTGCAAATCACATAGTTGATTTGCCTTTTCAGCTGATTTGCCTTGAATTTTTTTGCTTGAAATCTCTTCAAGGCAAATCCGAAATGCCTAGAGAATGGTCTCAGCTCAACGTTCGAACAAAATTGCATTCCAATGTACACGAAATAGTTCCAAGAATCGCAAAAACGAAAAGTTTACATGCCGGAATTGAACCCGAGGGTAAGAATAGGCAAGAATAGGCAAGAATAGGCAAGAATAGGCAAGAATAGGCAAGAATAGGCAGGAATAGGCAAGAATAGGCAAGAACCTTTTCACAGAACACAGAAAACCTTCCGCTTAACTGCCGTTTTGCTTTTGTTTTGTTTAGACTGTAAACAGACTGTAAACGTCACTCATTTGGCGCATTGAACGCTCGATGAAAGCCTATCTACATTTTAGCAAACAGTTTTCGTTTCCTAAAAGGCAAAAGTCCTTGAGGTCCATGCTGTTTGCTAAAATGTATTGGGTTGGTGGAAAAGTCCTTTCCGATTTTTTGGGAGAGTACCTTAATTTTTGGGAGAGTACCTTTGTCCAATTTTGACGTTTTATAGCTCATCCAAAAGCTGAATTCAAGACGGATCGATTGGTAAAAACCGTTTTGAGATATCTCTTTTCTAAAAGTTTTTACAGCTATTTTAGTAAAGGGCGGCAGAGCCAAAAAACGCTGTTTTCACGTTTCGTTAGTTTTTCGTGCAGTAGGTCGTTTGTGTGTGATGGGTTCAAATTTTCGATTTTAAATCCATTTGAAGTTTGTGTGCGAAAGAAAAGGTGTTTTTAAGTGGTGCGCTCATTATGATACTGCGCTCATTATGATACTGCGCTCATTATGATACTGCGCTCATTATGATACTGCGCTCATTATGATACTGCGCTCATTATGATACTGCGCTCATTATGATACTGCGCTCATTATGATACTGCGCTCATTATGATACTGCGCAAATCGCTTGACACTGCGCAAATCGCTTGACACTGCGCAAATCGCTTGACACTGCGCGAGTATCAAGCGATTTGCTTGCTTCGAAAATGGGTCGTCGTGGTCGAGTGGTTAGTGCGCTAGGCTCTCGACCTACTGGGTCTGGTTCGAGCCCAGACTTGGGTAACTTGGATACAGTATACAAAAAAATACAGTATATTGTCTGTCTGTCTGTCTGTCTGTCTGTCTGTTTGTTCGTCCGTCCGTCCGTCCGTCTGTCTGTCGCGTAGTCGCAAAAGTTTTTTAGTATTTCATTTTTTTCAAAGCACCCGTACTTTCAAAAAATGCGTCTTTGGTATCAAAAAATAGCTGAAATTCAGGGCTATTTTTTGATACCTAAGCGCGCATTGTAGCATAAACCAGTGTCGAGAAAAACTCGTTCAAAGCCAGACTACGTCTACTGTTGCGTCGTCTAGCTTTGAACGCGTTTTTCTCGACACTGGTTTATGCTACAATGCGCGTTTAGGTATCAAAAAATAGCTGAAATTCAGGGCGATTTTTTGATACTAAAGCCCGGATTGTAGCATAAACGAGTGTCGAGAAAAACTCGTTCAAAGCTAGACTACGCAACGCTCCGCACCGTCATTATGGGGGTGGGATACTATTACAGTATTTACGGTAGTTATCTTACTATTAGAGTCTACTTTGTGCTCTCATGTAAACGTCGTCAAGCCAGCACACTGGTTTTCTCATTTCTCTCCCAGAAAAAGCTTGATATCAGGAGAGAAATGAAGAATTCAGGGCACTAGGAAGGATTCGTTACAAAGAGTACAAAGTACAAGGTACAAAATAGAGTACAAAGTACAAAACAGAGTACAAAGTACTAGAGTACAAGGTACAAAATAGAGTACAAAGTACAAAATAGAGTACAAAGTACGCTTGTATTGATATATACAACACTTTTAGATAAAGATCAACTTCTTGGTCGAGGTGTTGGCGCTTCGAAAAAAGAGGCAAAGCGATTAGCTGCTCAAGAAGCTGTAAAGGTCAGCTAACAGAAAATTCGATAAACAATTCGAAGCTAAACACGTTTTAAATTCGAATTCTCTTGATCTTCCAGCTATTCTACTTCAACGCGCCGATTCGTTTCAATTCTGATGGAGTGGCGATTCTGGAGAACGAGGAGAAGAAGCACGAGATGATCGAACAAGCGGTAACTTCTAAATTCAACGAACAAGCTTCTAAATCATTCTCCAACTTCATAAATCATTCTCTAACTTTCCAGGCGGAGAACCTTTTTGATGACATTGCTTTGGATGATCCAAAGGTTTCTCTACTAGCTCCACAAGCCGCAATACCAACTCCTCTAGAGCTGCTAAAGGTAAGGCATCCTCTAGAGCTGCAGTAAGCAGATGTTATGCTAGTTGCAGATCTATAGTAGGTTTACAAGAGTACTATTGATTAGTTAACAAGTACAGTGGTTAGTTAACAAGTAGTTAGTTAGTTAGTTAGTTAGTTAGGTAGGTAGGTAGTTAGGTAGTTAGGTAGGTAGTTAGGTAGTTAGGTAGTTAGCTAGTTAACAAGTAGTTAGTTAGTTAGTTACTTAGTTAGTTAACAAGTACTTATTTAGCAGTAGTTAGCAAGTACAGTAGTGCTATAACCTTACTACTTCAACCCTTTTAACCAGGCCCTTGTTGCTGGCTCAGGAAGTTCCGAAAGAAACAGCCAGACTTGGATCTGGCTTTTGACTTGATTTTCTCTGGTTTAAACTGACCGGCTTGGCTACAAGTGAAGCTACATTAAAAGTCCTATAGCCAACATTAGATAAGTTAACTAATAGCTGATTTTTTTTGCAGCTCATCCTGCAAAAAACCTCCAAATACGCGAATCTGAAATTGGAGTGGAAAGACGGGAAACGCTTCGGGAAATCGAAATTCCAAGTTTGCTTGAAGTTGGACACGTTTGAGGTGAGTAAATGCCCAAAATTGCTGTACTGGTACTAGCTGTACTAGCTGTACTAGCTGTACTAGCTGTAAATTGATGTATTATGTAACTAGGGAACTGTTTCAACTTATCACCGATTTTCGAGACCGGACCTAGTTAGAAACCTAGCTACTGTAACTACCATAGCTACCATGGTAGCTACGGTAGCTAGGTTTCTTCGTAGAATTCTAAGAAACACGTTTACCCAGAGATCTGCAAAAAAAACCAGTCCCGGGGTTGAACCCTCGACCTCCAGGCCAAGACACAAGGCCCTTAGCCACTCGGCCATGGCTGCCATACGATGCGGGTTCGACCCCCGCATACTCCAATTTTGCTTTTTAAAAAATCAAAAAGTACATTTCACAACTATATTGAATTCCCTATTCAACGGCGCAAAATTCATTGCAAACGGTGCTCGGGGAGCTGAGTGCTGAGCTGAGCTAGCGCGATCAAACAGACAGACAGACAGACAGACAGACAGACAGACAGACAGACAGACAGACAGACAGACAGACAGACAGACAGACAGACAGACAGACAGACAGACAGACAGACAGGCAGACAGGCAGACAGAGAAACGTCTTAGTCCCTTTATATATAGTAGCTAATGTTTTTAAGACAGAAACTTTGAACTTTCGTGGTAATTTGAAACAGTTCGCTGGTAAAAATTCAATAGCCAATGCCAATGAATCTTGTCAATCAATCAATCAATCCAATGCCAACCAATGAATCTTGCAGGTAAAGCAAGAAGCCGAGAAAAGACAAAGCGCCGAGCAATTGTGTGCCCAACATGCGCTAAAATATCTCCACCGGGATACTGAGGTTTGCATAATTCTAGGAAATTAACATAAAATAAAAGATCTCTAATCATTTATTGCCTATTTTATATGGCTTTGATGTAGGTTTTGCTGAAAAATGTCGAAAAATGCCTTTTTTCCATTCGAATTCTTCGTTTTCTTCGTTTTCTTTTCATTAATTTAAGAGAAATGAGGAAACAAAGTGCTGTAGAAAGGATGCGTTTAGAAGTTTAGAAGTAAGCACAAAGTACACCTAAATACTCTCTTTTTAGATCACTTCCTATGGAGCGTTGTTGAAAATTTATGCCCAAGATCTCAAGCAGCAATATGAGGGAATAAAAGAGCAGAAAGAGGTCACGAAACTTCAAACAACTCAGGTGAATTGAGATTCTTGAAAAGAGATGATCTACTGGATGCAAAAGTGGAAAGGGGTGATTTACTGGGAGTACTTAGGCTCTTACCGTACTTGATAATCCTGGTAGTACTGTATTTACAAGGGAAAGTCAACTGGCTGAGTAGAATGCTATGCAATCTATACCATTCGACGCAGAATTTCATGATGATTCTGAATATATATTCCGTTTTTGCTAAATGACAATCTGTCAGGAGTTATAAGTGTCTAAAGTTTGTTAAGACTGTGGCCATTTGGGTCTTAGCGTTCTTGCGGGGTCTTAGCGGCCTTCTTGCAGGGTCCTAGCGGCCTTCCTGTAGGGTCTTTGTGCATATTTCTTGTTGTGTTATACTGATTTATGTTCTGCAGATTCCCCAACAGGTTTTTCACAACATATTTCAACGATATATCTCTTCAACATATTTCTCCTTGTTTTAAAGCTCTCCGGCAATACTCGTGGATGAAATGCGGTTACATTGATTCTCCTACAGTCAACCTTTCCATTAGTCAGCAGTCCTTGAAAAAAAGCCAACGTCGGGATCGAACTTGTTAGGTCTCGCTCGAGAAACCAACGCTGTACCACTCGGCCACGGCTGCACCGAGTCGGGTCCGCAAGGAGGCCGCTAAGACCCTACAGGAAGGCCGCTACGACCCTGCAAGAAGACCGCTAAGACCCTACAGGAAGGCCGCTAGGACCCTGCAAGAAGGCCGCTAAGACCCTACAGGAAGGCCGCTAGGACCCTGCAAGAAGGCCGCTAAGACCCTACAGGAAGGCCGCTACGCTCCCAGATAAAGGGCGCTAAGCCCCCGCAGGAAGGCCGCTAAGACCGGGCAAGCAGGTCGCTGAGACCCTGCAAGAAGGCCGCTAAGACCCAAATGACCCTAACAAACTTTAAACGCTTATAACTCCTGACAGATTGTCATTTAGCAAAAACGGAATATATATTCAGAATCAGCATGAAATTCTGCGTCGAATGGTATAGATTGCATAGCATTCTACTCAGCCAGTTGACTTTCCCTTATTAGATGTACTAGTAGTACTGTATACTGTACATAGAACAGAGCTGTACATAGAACAGAGCTGTACATAGAACAGAGCTGTACATAGAACAGAGCTGTACATAGAACAGTACTGTACATAGAACAGTACTGTCCATAGAACAGAGCTGTACATAGAACAGTACTGTCCATAGAACAGAGCTGTACATAGAACAGAGCTGTACATAGAACAGTACTGTCCATAGAACAGTACTGTACTTAAGACACTAATGATATTACTGTCAATAAATGCCATTGTATTTACAATTAGCTACCCTATAGTTTACATATTCTTGATTCTAGTTCTTTTTCTAATTCTTTTATTAAGCATACTGTAGTTAAATAACAAATTACAGTACTTTCTTGGAAATATCCAACTTTTAATTGCATATAGAAATCGTCGGGCAACACGGCAGTCCTCTCGAAACTTTGCGAAGAGCTCAAAAAGCTCGAAGAGACAAAAATTCGACGCGATCATCCGTTATGCTCGACAAAAACTCCGATTTTATTATAGATTTTCATAAAACTTTAGATATTTTAGATTAAGATTTAATTATTATAGATCTTTTTTATATAGATCTTTTTTTATATTTGTTTTTTAAATCTTTGTTTTCTAGATCTTTCCATTAATCGATCTAATCTCTTTTCTTTACTTTCCCCCTCCGGTGTGGCCTTTCAAGCCTTTCAATTCTTTTGTTGTGATCATTGTCAGTGTTTTTAGGCTTTATTTTATATTGTTCTTTTTTAGGTATATAAATTAATAAAACATCCGGCCTATAGTTTACATGAAAGTCATTTTTTTGACAAATGAACACCAGAAAATACTGTAGTTAGACAATAAACGTACAGCAACGATCTCAAAATGCAACGATGACGTCATTTTTAGCATTTACACATTCCAAGACCCAAAACAGACACATGCTTTGTGCTTTAGTGTAAACAATCGTTCTCTGGCTCGGTTAGTGAGCATTTCAATGAATTGCGATGTTTCAATTAGTCCCTGGAGGCTGAAAACTGATCTAAACCCAGGTCCAAGCTTTGTTCTTGTTCAATGTGTAAGCTCTTTTGTGAGTTAGGCTTGCAGGCAGATATTCTAATCGATTTGGAAGCCAGGTTCAAGCTTGCCTTCTGAAAACCAGCCTTTGTAAAGCTTTGTAAAGCTCTGTAAAGCTTTGTAAAGCTCTGTAAAGCTTTGTAAAGCTCTGTAAAGCTTTGTAAAGCTCTGTAAAGCTTTGTAAAGCTCTGTAAAGCTTTGTAAAGCTCTGTAAAGCTTTGTAAAGCTCTGTAAAGCTTTGTAAAGCTCTGTAAAGCTTTGTAAAGCTCTGTAAAGCTTTGTAAAGCTCTGTAAAGCTTTGTAAAGCTCTGTAAAGCTTTGTAAAAGCTCTGTAAAGCTTTGTAAAGCTCTGTAAAGCTTTGTAAAGCTCTGTAAAGCTTTGTAAAGCTCTGTAAAGCTTTGTAAAGCTCTGTAAAGCTTTGTAAAAGCTCTGTAAAGCTTTGTAAAGCTCTGTAAAGCTTTGTAAAGCTCTGTAAAGCTTTGTAAAGCTCTGTAAAGCTTTGTAAAGCTCTGTAAAGCTTTGTAAAGCTCTGTAAAGCTTTGTAAAGCTCTGTAAAAGCTTTGTAAAGCTCTGTAAAGCTTTGTAAAGCTCTGTAAAGCTTTGTAAAGCTCTGTAAAGCTTTGTAAAGCTCTGTAAAGCTTTGTAAAGCTCTGTAAAGCTCTGCCAAGCTCTGTAAAGCTCTGCCAAGCTCTGTAAAGCTCTGCCAAGCTCTGTAAAGCTCTGCCAAGCTTTGTAAAGCTTTGTAAAGCTCTGTAAAGCTTCGTAAAGCTTTGTCACTTCATTCTATTTCGCGCACGGATTTCCGCAATAATTTTCCAATTTTTAGGCAGTTAGGTAACTTTTTAGCGGCTATTTTTTAGCGACTCGCCACAAGAGCTGAACCTAGTTCAAGTTTAGAAACTGGCTAGAAGATCCTGAATATCCTTGCTTCCTTTGGCTTTTGATTTAAAAGACCAGTCCTGCAACAAAGCCGGCTAGACCAGTCCTGCAACAAAGCCGGCTAGACCAGTCCTGCAACAAAGCCGGCTAGACCAAGCTAGACCAACAAAGCCAGGCTAAAGCTAAGCCAGAGCCAGAGCCAGAGCCCTTCCTTCTTGATCCAGAAAATTGTCTTTAGAAAATCTCGTTGATAGCCGTGGATCCAGTACGTTTTTCGTCCCAGATTACTCACTATTTTCGAAATCTTATGAAAACCAAATCCAAACTAAGAAAACCAATCTTTTAGCTGTTCAACGAGTCATAATTTCACTCGCAGAAAGTCGGGGGAGGCTTTTTCAGTCGCGGGAGGCCACTCATCTCCACCCAATTTCTTCACCAATCGTTTTTTTCGTGTTTGCGTGAAAAATTTCATCAAGAGTTTTGTGAAAAGAGGGAAAAGAAGATAGAGGATCTGTTTGTCTGAGAGGTGGAAAAGAGAGAGCATCTCTATATTTCTGGACAGTTGACGTGCGGGGGCCTGGAAAAGAGGTTGAGCGATGAAAAAGATAAGAGACAAATGAGAGAATGACTTTGTGGAAATAAGAATGATATCTAGACTGTAGAGAGTCTTTCATTGCTCTTTAGAATTGATTAGAAAGTTTAGAATCGATTACTACAATACAGGATCATGGTTTTTTGTTAGGATTCTTTTCTAAAGCCAACTATTGCTCTGTACTTTTACTACTAATCGGTCTAAAGGCTGGCAAAGCTGTAGATAAGCTGGCAAAGCTGTAGATAAGCTGGGAAAGCTGTAGATAAGCTGGGAAAGCTGTAGATAAGCTGGGAAAGCTGTAGATAAGCTGGCAAAGCTGTAGAGAAGCTGGGAAAGCTGTAGATAAGCTGGGAAAGCTGTAGATAAGCTGGGAAAGCTGTAGATAAGCTGGCAAAGCTGTAGAGAAGCTGGGAAAGCTGTAGATAAGCTGGGAAAGCTGTAGATAAGCTGGCAAAGCTGTAGATAAGCTGGCAAAGCTGTAGAGAAGCTGGGAAAGCTGTAGATAAGCTGGGAAAGCTGTAGATAAGCTGGGAAAGCTGTAGATAAGCTGGCAAAGCTTTAGATAAGCTGGCAAAGCTTTAGATAAGCTGGCAAAGCTGTAGAGAAGCTGGGAAAGCTGTAGATGAAGCTGGCAAAGCTGTAGATAAGTTGGCAGATCTTCTGTAGATAATGCTAACAGATCTAGATAAAGCTGGCTTCTACAGATCCTGAGCTCAACTAGAGACATGTAGCTCAAAGTCTCAAAGCAAAGCAGGACAGGCAAGGCAAGTCAGGACAGGCAAGGCAAGGCAGGACAGGCAAGGCAAAGCAGGACAGGCAAGGCAAGGCAGGAGAGGCAAGGCAAGGCAAGGCAGGACAGGCAAGGCAAGAGAACTATGCAAGAAGGAGAGACTCAAGGAAAAGGTCAAGGCAGAGATATCTAGAGATCTAGGGACAAAGAGCCTAGGAAAATAGAGAGATCCAAGATCTATTGGCCAGGGTACCCCCTGAACTCCTGGCCTCTGATCGAGTGGAGGCGGGTGTCCCAGCCTCTCCCTTCCTCCTTCCCCTCCCTCCTCCAGTCTGCCCCCTAACCCCTCCCCTTTCTCTCCCCTCTCAAATCCTCACACATCCCCAGCTCAACTTTTCACTTTTTCACTTTTTCACTAGGGTTTCAGCGTCTCCAGAGTCTCCCCAGTTCAACAAAATTAACCAGCTGTTCCCTATGAAATTTTGTCTTTAAGATCTTGGAACCCAGGTCCTGGATCCAGCACCAGAACACTAGAACCCTGAGACTAGAACTCCTTAAACTTTTCTTATACTCTTATATTCTATATCTATATTCTTTGACACAATCACACAGTAAGCTATGTTTACTTACATCTTACTATGATTACTTAGCTATGATTACTTACATCTTACTATGATTACTTAGCTATGATTACTTACATCTTACTATGATTACTTAGCTATGATTACTTACTTACATATCCTCTAGCTTTTTCAAACGTTACTATACTTCTGTTCTTAGGGTTCTCAGTTTCAAACTTTACTATACTAGCGACCATTGTCAAGCTATTAATTCTAATTCCTTTTAGATTGTTCAAGCTTTACTATAAGCCTTTTTCTAAAGGACTATGGCTGTTCTAAAGGACTATGGCTGTTCTAAAGGACTATGGATGTTCTAAAGGACTATGGCTTATAAGTAGAAACATTATCGAGCTATAAATCCGATCAACTTACAGAAACTTACAGAACCATTTACCTTTTTCGAGCTTCACAATACTTTTGATTGATTTTTTTGATACTTTTTATCTTTTGATCTTTTGATTGATGATTATAATTCGATGATTTTGATTGATGAATTCGATTGATGAATTCGATTGATGAATTCGATTGATGAATTCGATTGATGAATTCGATTGATGAATTCGATTGATGAATTCGATTGATGAATTCGATTGATGAATTCGATTTCAATCATTCAATGATTTCTTTTGATCTTTTGATTTCGATTTCAATTATTCGACTGATCATAATCCCTTATTTGTTCGCTGTTCTTGTTTATTCAACTATCGGCTTTCCTTACTTGTTCGTTGTTCTCGTTTATTCAACTATCGGCTTTCGCAATCTTTTAAACCATTTTGAGATGTCATTTCAGATTTTTGTGGTTTGACCTCTATAGAATTTGAAAAAGAAATCATATAACGATGTCCTCTGCACAATCGATTGCTCCAGCACATGCAGGTGAGTTATGCATTATAGCTATTATTCACAAAGAAGCAAGAAGTCTATTATGTTCCTAGAAATGAGTGCTTGAAATGCTTGAAATGCTTGAAATTCATAGAGAATCGTGTACGAGTAAGTGTAGTGTTGAAAGAGAAAAGAGGAAAATTGAGTCGATGATTATAATTCGATGATTATTTGACTGATCATAATCCTTAATTGTTCGCTGTTCCTAAAAGCGTACTTGCTCTACTGCTTCCAGAGATTTATTCCAGAACTCTGGAATGAATCAAATGCTTCAAATGCAATAAGTCAAATATCATTTCTTTCAAATAAATGCCGTTACCTCAAAGGCTATTTTTTGATCTGTCTTCGCACTTAGGTGTTCCTACAGATCACAATCTGCTTCCACATTTCTCTATCCCTTGCTATTGTCATCCAGTGTTTCCTATCTTGGTTGTTCCTGGTCCGAAGCCTTCGACTTGCTTGTGCTGGTGGTGGTTGAACTCTAGCCATCCTTTCCCGTCGCTGCCACTCTTGTGCTCCACCTCGTTGCTGGTATTCCGATGGCCCCCTTCTGCTCTCGTGGTAGCCACTCTGTGATCCGTGTCGTCAATCTGTCGTCTGTTCTTGTCGTCTGTCATTCCAGGGTTCTTCTTAAACCAATCCAGACTTTTCCGAGGCTATTCTTTCAGTGATTTTGAAAAAAAGTAATTGGGAGAAGGGCAGATCAAAAACTTGTGCGTCTCGAGGACTCGAACCAGCGACCTCTCGACTACCAGTCAACCGCGCTAACCACAGCACCACAAGGCAACTGATCTCCTCTGCTCCAGAGGGACTTAACTAAGTGAAGAAACAATTTTTGAGAAGAGATATTGAGTTAATAACTTTTATATAGGGATATTCAATTAACAACCTCAATATCTTTCTTTTAATATCTTTTCGTGGCTTTTCATGACTTTTCATGGTTTTTCATGGCCCTGACTTAGCCTGGCTTGGCCTGGCTTGGCCTGGCTTGGCCTGGCTTGGCCTGGCTTGGCCTGGCTTAGCCTGGTTTGGCCTGGTTTGGCTTGGCTTGGCTTGGCTTGGCTTGGCTTGGCCTGGCTTGTGGCCTGGGTTGGCCTGGCTTGGCCTGGTTTTCGAAATTTCTCAGATCAGTCAAAGCCAGGCCTTTCCAGGCCTTTCCAAGCCATATCCATGGCTTATAGTCTGGTTTTTGCCTGGCTTGGCTAGCCATGGCTTCTAGCTTTTTAGAACACCGATAGCCTCATCTCTAGCCTCAAATACGTTCAAATACTTTAACTGAACACCAATTTTTTTCCATTAAAAGCACTGTCTACAAGTAGATAGCGATTTTCAACGATAACTGAATATAACTGAATATAACTGAGTACCATTTAAAGCCAATAATCTTAATCCAAGTGTACTCGAGCTGCCCTGTGAACACAAAAGCTCTAGTGCACTGTTCTCAGTTCTCAAAGGAGCTATAAAGCTTTCAAGCTCGGAAAAATCGGCGATCTCGATAAAATTTCACGAAAAAAGCAATTCTTTAGCGAAAAAATATCGATATCGATAAATATTTTAGCTAAAATTTTCAAATATTTACTTGTAAATCTTGATTTTTTCTTTTCTAGACAAAAAAATTGGGGTTTTCTTTTTCGTTTTCGTTTTCGTTTTCTTTTTTCTTTCTTTTGTTTGTTGTAAAGGCGATTGTTTGCATATCGTTACGCTCGTTGAGCCTCTTGAAAAAACGCTTTTTTTTGTTCTAAAAAGGCTTTTTGTTTTTATTCTAAAAAGGCATTTAAAGCTTTCGATAAACTACTAAACTCTAGATAAATCTAATTGTTATTTTCAATTCAAACCAATAATTCAAATACCAAAATTCATGTCACAAAGTGAGTTTGAAAGGTTGAAATTCGTTTTAAAAGATTTTCAAGAGTGATTTTTCTCATTCCAACTTTTCAGAGCCCTTGAAAATCGCTGTCGTCAAGCCGGAAACGACCGCCGGAGATCAACGGAGAACGAGGTTGGGTTAAAAGCATTAAAATACTTACAAATATAGTTAAAAGCATTAAAATACTTACAAATATAGTTAAATATATACCGTAAATACTGTAATAGTCCCCATTCCGATAATTACGGTGCGAAGTGTTGCGTCGTCTAGCTTTGAACGAGTTTTTCTCGACACTGGTTTATGCTACAAGGCGCGCTTTGAGATCAAAAAATAGCTGAAATTCAGGGCTATTTTTTGATACCAAAGCGCTCATTGTAGCTTAAACTAGTGTCGAGAAAAACTCGTTCAAAGCTAGACGACGCAACAGTAGACGTAGTCTAGCTTTGAACGAGTTTTTCTCGACACTGGTTTATGCTACAAGGCGCGCTTTGAGATCAAAAAATAGCTGAAATTCAGGGCTATTTTTTGATACTAAAGCCCGCATTGTAGCATAAACCAGTGTCGAGAAAAACTCGTTCAAAGCTAGACTACGCAACACTCCGCATCGTAATTATCGGGATGGGGACTATTACAGTATTTACGGTATAAATATATCTAAAAAACATTATCAGAAATGTTTTAGATAAAAGAAAATGTAGCTTTTCGAATAAAATGAAAGAAATTTGAGCTTTCTCAACTTTTTTAGACTTATCTTGTTCACTTCTTTGCTCTCTTTTGTGTCCTTTGTGCTCACCAGTTAACGCACCTTTCCTAGCGCACTGAATTCTTCATTTTCTTGTGATTATTGCTGCAAGAAAGTTGAAGAAAACAAGATGCCAGGGAAAGTGTGTTTACTAGCACAAAGTACACTCTGTACTGTGCTCCCTAGTAAACGCACCCTTCCTAGCTCACTGAAATCCTCTACGGAAACGATTTGATTTCATGAGAATTCAGTGTGCTAGAAAGGGTGTTTTTACAAGTGAGCACAAAGTTTGCCAAGCTGACAAAAGGAAAGGATATTCTTGGAGTTGAGAAATTTCCAAGTACTGGAGATTTTTAGCTTAGCTTTAAGCTTTAAGCTTTAAAATACAATAAACTATATTCTTAAACTATTTTTAGCTTTTAAATACAATAAAATAACTTCTTTACGTATTTTTACGTTTAAAAATACGATAAAATCATTTTCTTAAAGTATACTCATTCTTACAGAAACGGCAAATTCACATTGGCTCAACTGAGACAAACGGACGCTCTTGTCCCGCTCCAATCCGGCACAAATCAATTCGATTCGCAAAAAGTTAGTGAAAAACCAAAAAAAGAATAGTTAGAAGCGTTCAATTAGATCATTAAAAATTAGATTATCAAAAATTAGATTTTAAAATGATTTTATATTTTTGATCTAAAAGGTTCCAATACGGTTCCTATTTTGATCTGATACGGTTCCAGTACGGTTCCTATTTTGATCTGATACGGTTCCAGTACGGTTCCAGCACGGTTCCTATTTTGATCTGATACGGTTCCAGCACGGTTCCTATTTTGATCTGATACGGTTCCAGTACGGTTCCAGCACGGTTCCTATTTTGATCTGATACGGTTCCAGTACGGTTCCTATTTTGATCTGATACGGTTCAGTACGGTTCCTATTTTGATCTGATACGGTTCCAGTACGGTTCCAGCACGGTTCCCTATTTTGATCTGATACGGTTCCAGCACGGTTCCTATTTTGATCTGATACGGTTCCAGTACGGTTCCTATTTTGATCTGATACGGTTCCAGTACGGTTCCTATTTTGATCTGATACGGTTCCAGTACGGTTCCTATTTTGATCTGATACGGTTCCAGTACGGTTCCTATTTTGATCTGATACGGTTCCAGTACGGTTCCAGCACGGTTCCTATTTTGATCTGATACGGTTCCAGTACGGTTCCTATTTTGATCTGATACGGTTCCAGTACGGTTCCTATTTTGATCTGATACGGTTCCAGTACGGTTCCTATTTTGATCTGATACGGTTCCAGTACGGTTCCTATTTTGATCTGATACGGTTCCAGTACGGTTCCAGCACGGTTCCTATTTTTGATCTGATACGGTTCCAGCACGGTTCCTATTTTGATCTGATACGGTTCCAGTACGGTTCCTATTTTGATCTGATACGGTTCCAATACGGTTCCTATTTTTGATCTGATACGGTTCCAGCACGGTTCCTATTTTGATCTGATACGGTTCCAATACGGTTCCAGCACGGTTCCTATTTTGATCTGATACGGTTCCAGTACGGTTCCAATACGGTTCCAGTACGGTTCCTATTTTGATCTGATACGGTTCCAGTACGGTTCCTATTTTGATCTGATACGGTTCCAGTACGGTTCCTATTTTGATCTGATACGGTTCCAGTACGGTTCCTATTTTGATCTGATACGGTTCCAGTACGGTTCCTATTTTGATCTGATACGGTTCCAGTACGGTTCCTATTTTGATCTGATACGGTTCCAATACGGTTCTTTTTTTGATCTAAAGGGTTCCAATACGGTTTTATTTTAATCGTAAAATTTTAATCGTAAATTTAATCGACTTTTTCGAAATTTCGAAACTCGCAAAATTTCTCCTTTTTTGGTTTTCTCCGACTAACTCGCACGTTTCTAACAGTTTTTTTGGTTAATTGATTAGCTGAATTGTTAATTGATTAGCTGAATAGCTTATTTGACTCCAGCACTTACCGTATTTGTTTCAGTAAATTTTTGAGTCAAATAATCGATAGGATAATCGATAGGAGCTTGCTGTAAACAAGCACTTAAGTAAGGAAAAGTTATTCAGTTAAGGGTGGTATAAAAGGACGGGGTTACGGTAGTTTTAGACGGATTAGAAAACGGACTAGAAAACGGATCAAAAAACGGATTAGTTAAGCGGAATTTCTAGTTATTGCTATTGATCTCTTATTCTCTTATAGTTTAGATCTCTTATAGTTTAGAAGCTTTCATCTAATTTCTCCCTTTCACAGCTTTCCTTAGGGAAAAACGGGATTCGGCACTCCGCGGAACACAGCCACGAAAGTCGTCTGGACCGAGGAAAACAAGAAATGGGCGATCGATGAGGCGAAAAATGACAACGTCGTTCGTCTCCAATCGGGCACCAATCAATTCGACTCACAAAAGGTTTCGCCACTCACGAGAATAAACAAACAATTCATTGATCATTCACCATTTTAACTAGATTCATTCATTCTATGCAGAAGGTAGGCAGTCAAATTTGAAGGCCTAAGCCTAAGGCCCAATTTTACTCAAGATGTTTGAAAGCTAGTTTGAAAGATTTTTGAAAGTCAGTCCACCCAAAGTACTTGACTAGATACCCGGATCTGGCTTTTAAGCTGAATCAATTTTGACCTAGCTTTGGCCTAGTCCTGGTCTAGCCTTGGTCCAGCGCTGGCCTAACCCTGGGTAGCCCTGGTCCAGCACTAGTCTAGCCTAGCCTTGGTCCAGCCCTGGTCTAGCCCTGGGTAACTCTGGTCCAGCACTAGCCTAGCCTAGCCCTGGGTAATCCTGGTCCAGCACTAGCCTAGCCTAGCCTAGCCAGCCCTGGTCTAGCCCTGGGTAGCCCTGGTCCAGCACTAGTCTAGCCCTAGCCTAGCCTAGCCTTGGTCGAGCACTAGCCTAGCCCTGATCTAGCCCTGGGTAGCCCTGGCCCAACACTAGCCTAGCCTAGCTTTGGCCTAGTCCTGGCCTAGCTATGGATAGCCCTGGCCCAGCACTACCCTAGCCTAGCCTTAGCCCAGCACTAGTCTAGCCTAGCCTTGGTCCAGTCCTAACCTAGCCTTGGTCCAGCACTAGCCTGGCCTGGCCCTGGTCTACCAGTTTAGACCCTAGCTATTTTTTGGTCTAAATCAAGCACTAAACCCTGGCTTTTACACTGATCCGATCCTATCCTAGTCTGGCTTGATTTAGCGTACTGATGACCTACCCTAGCCTACCAGAAGCCTGAACCTTGACCTGCTTTCAACCGTAGTCCACTTTGTAGTCAATTTCCTATTCCTTTGTTTCCCGTCACGTCCACGTTAAGCTTGGAGTGCACGTCCACGTAGTCCACGTGCTTTGTGCTCGCTTTGTGCTCGTCTTTTAAACGCACTCTTTCTAGTGCACTCAATTCTCGGAAAGAAAGAAAAAAAGAAAGATTTCAGTGCGCCAGATTGGGTAGTTTTTAGCACAAAGTATATAATTGTCGATTTGTCGTGTCTAGGGAAAAACCGGTTTCGGAATGCCGCGAAACACGGCGACAAAAGTGGAATTCGGCGAGAACGAGAAGCAAAGATGGATGATCGATCCGCTGAGAAATGACCCGATTGTTCGGCTCCAATCCGGCACAAATCAATTCGATTCGCAAAAGGTTTGCGCTAAATGTTGATCGTTGTAATCTAAATGATCGCTAAATGTTGTAAGGTAAAACCCGGCTTCAATCCAGATTGCTAAACGAATTTTTTGCTTCAAACTATGGAAAACCAGCAGCTCAAATCGGCCAGCAGTCCCATAGCTGAAAGCCATAGCTGAAAGCAGCTCAAAGCCATAGCTAAAAGCAGCTCAAAGCAGCTCAAAGCAGCTCAAAGCAGCCATAGCTAAAAGCAGCTCAAAGCAGCTCAAAGCCATAGCTCCCATTCACTCCCAACCCAGATTGGCTTCCAGCTATGTCCTGCTGGCCGATTTGAGCCAATGCATAGTCTAAATGAGTCAATTTTTACTATTAACTGTTACCAAATCTACTACAGTTCATTATTTTACCGAATTTGCATTTGAAATAAGTAAACTGATTTTAAAAGACAAATTTCCCGGTTTATCGGAGATTCCTTTGATCTTTGCCGACAACCTTTTGCTCTTTACCGTTTGTCTTTGATCTTTTCCGCCGATCCTTTGATCTCGCCGACAAATTCAGTTTTTTCCACTTTACTCAAAAACGATTAAAGCTTTTTCAATTCTAATTTGACAGGCAAACTCACCGTAGTCGATTACATATTGTCCCAAAAAATCAGACCAAAATTTCCACTAGGAATCGAATGAACGGACAAACACACACGAGCTTTGCTGCTTATAAGAAAATTGCTTATAAGAAGAAGAAGAAGAAGAAGATTGCTTACAAGATTTCAAGCCAACGAGTGAAAGCCTCGTTTACTGATATAAAAATATTAGCAATCTGGATTGAGAGTGAATCGAAAGTGAAATTTCGTGTTATTGTCGAGTCATTTTATCGTGTGTCCAGGGAAAAACGGGTTTCGGCATGCCGCGGAACACGGCCACGAAAATCGAGATGGCTGATGATGGAGTGATTCGTCAATGGTTTGTCGAACCCGAGAAAAACGATCCAATTATTCGACTACAATCGGGAAGCAATCAATTTGAGTCGCAAAAGGTTCAATAAAGCATGATAAAGGATTTGTTGCTAGTATTGCTAGTGCTGCTAGTGGTGCTAGTGTTGGTAGTGTTGCTAGCGTTGCTAGTGCTGCTAGTGTTGCTAGTGCTGCTAGTGTTGCTAATCTTGTTAATCTTGCTAAGCTTGCTGATCTTGCTGATCTTGCTAATCTTGCTATTGTTGTTTCCTCCTGTCTCTTGCATGCAAAACTCCAATAGAATTTCGTATTGTACAGTCTAGACTTTGTATTGTACAGTATTCTAATACTTACAGCAACCTTCAAGCACTTACAGTAGTTAAAAGATCCCGTAATTATTCTATCAACTGTACTCTCAACTACTGTAGCCTGCAGACTTGTAAAAGCTATCTCGTAGAATGATTACAGCACTTCTAGCCTGTATTCTGTATCATGATTGGATCGTTTTTCATGTATTACTTCGAAAGAAGCGTTGGTTTATTGTATCCAGGCTATGGATTTGGACTTGGAGATTGAGTGGGACGACTTGGCTTGGACTTGGCTTGGACTTGGCTTGGGCTTGGCTTGGACCTGGCATGGACTTGGCTTGGACTTGGGGAATTGTGGGTTCAAGAAGTTGTAGACGTTGTAGGCTCAAGTTCTAGAAGTGGTAGGCTCAAGTTGTAGAGGTTGTAGAGGTTGTAGAAGTTGTAGAAGTTGTAGAAATAGGCGTAGACTTGGGTAATTGTGGGTCAAGAAGTTGTAGACGTTGTGGGCCCAACTTCTAGAAGTTGTAGGCTCAAGTTGTAGAAGTTGTAGAGGTTGTAGAAGTTGTGGAGGTTGTAGAGGTTGTAGAAGTTGTAGAAATAGGCGTAGACTTGGGTAATTGTGGGTCAAGAAGTTGTAGACGTTGTGGGCCCAAGTTTTAGAAGTTGTAGGCTCAAGTTGTAGAAGTTGTAGGCTCAAGCTCTAGTTAAGACCGAAGATCATTAGGTTTCCCCGATTGTACTTTCTGCTCTTTGCAAAAGCATACTTTCTGGCACAGCCGTTTCCCCATTTTTCAGGTGATAAGAAAAACGATTTCTTTTTCCATTAGCCTTTTTCCATCCATTCCTTTTCCATCCATCCAAACCATTTCTTTTATATCTATTCAGTTTGCCAGAAAGCTTGCGTTTACATCAAAGTACAAATTCAGCATTGTTAAACCAAAGAAAGCCTTGTTTCCAAAGCCTAAACTTCATTTTTTGATCGATTACGTTAATTTCCTTGGTCGCATCTTTCCATCCATTTCCTCTAAACCTCTAATCGATCCCGCTTCTCAAGCGTTCACCCCCATTTTCTCAATAGATCCATTTTAAACAACCCAACACCCCCATCCATCCTTTTTTTCTTTCACACACTTCAACCGATCACTAGGAAATGATCAATAGAGAAAAGGAGACTTTGGGGGGTATCCACGGATGAAGTGAAGATGAAGTGAAAGAGAAAAGAAATAAGAAATCCCCTTTTATTTACCCCTTTCGAAGCCGTCATCCATTGCCCAGCTTCCCCCAAACCCCCGGGTAAACATCTCCTAGCTGCACATCCATTCACTGACTAAATCAATGTTTCGATTTGGTTTGGGGGAAGATTTAAAAGCTTATGCGTGGGTTGAAAAAGTCAATAGTTTAAAAACGTCAATGGCACTGAGGGGGTCGAACCCGGAGAATTTTGGTGTAACAAAAAAGTGCCTCCAAGCCCATAGTATCATCTGTAATAGTAGCGCACCCATAATGACCGTCGGAGCGTCGCGTAGTCTAGCTTTAACCGCATTTTTAAACAGCCCAACTATCTCGATATCCTCATTTGCTCACTCCACACTTCCTAAGAATGGCGCGATTTCCCGTAAACGATCTTGGCCATTGAGCCAGGCAATTGAGCCAACCAGGCAATTGAGCCAACCAGGCAATTGAGCCAACCAGGCCATTGAGCCAACCAGGCCATTGAGTCAACCAGGTCATTGAGTCAACCAGGTCATTGAGTCAACCAGGTCATTGAGCCAACTAGCCAGCCAACCATTGAGCGACGGCTTCTTCCAAGAGTTTATTTGCAAATTCTCTGCCATTCTCTAAAATGCAAAAATGCAATCAACTTTCCCGACGCCAGGACCCGAACCCGCGACCTTTCGCTTACCGGTCAACTGTCCTAACCATTACACCACAAGGCACTTAGTCTTCCTTACTCCAGAGGGATTTAAATTCCCTCCTCATTGGACGAAGATGGTTCCACACATCTCGATTTATAGATCTGCGCGACGCTCGGAACTAGGTAGACCTTAGCCAGCCAGGATTGCAGAGCCCATCTTTCAATGGTCGCCAGTTGGAACTAGGGCAGATCAAAAAGTCGCGCATCGCCGGGACTCGAACCCGAGACCAACTGGGCTTAACCATTGCACCACAAGGCACTCGCTCTCCCTTGTCCCAAAGGGAGTTAACTATTGACGAGTAACATTCAAACAAGTTTCTTGTGCGGACAACTTTTCCCCAACTTTTATCCCCAATCGAAGTTTACTTGACTCAAAACTTCACGTCCTTTAATCTGATCTTAGTTGAGATCTGATCTCTGAGCCAAGTTCGCCAAGATCTGATCTGTGAGCCACAATCTAATGGAAACCAATGAAAATCCGATTCATCCAAGCATCTAGCTATGTTTCTCTTTTCTTACCAAAAACTCAATGCTGGTAACTAAAAGAAAACATTTCTCTAGACAAATAGAATTCAATCGTTACAACGTTTACCCAATGGATTACATTACTTAGACGATAAGCATTCTTTCTTTTCTTTTTTTCCATTTCCAAATCGATCTCCGAGAATTTCTCTAAATAGATTCAAAGAGAGAAATCTCTTCAAACTTTCTTCTTCTTTCAAACTTTCTTTTTCTTCTTCTTTCTTCTTCTTTCAAACTTTCTTTTCTTCTTCTTTCTTCTTCTTTCTTCTTCTTTCTTCTTCTTTCTTCAGTCTTTTCTGTGTGTGTGCATGCCCTCTTCTCCTCGCAAGGAACGAGGCGATTAAAACAAAAAATGTCTCATTTATTTGCCTCAATCGAGGAGAAACTCAACTAAAAGGGATCGTTTAGAATTTTAGGCTTTGATTAGGGATATTTTGATAAGAATATCATAGAAAAGACTAGAATTTCTTCTTTAAGTAATTCGTTTTCCAAAAACGTGGCTCACTTTCAAAAAAAAGAACTTTCTAAACTTTCTAAACTTTCTAAACTGGCTAAAACTTTCTAAACTAATCACTTTCACTATCCAATTTTCTAAAGAAAAAAACTAGTAAATGCAAAAAAAAAAGCTCTCTATTTCAGGGAATGACTTGTTTCGGTGCGACTCGTGATGTCAAGGGGAAACATTTGAAACGAATCTGGGAACTTGAATTCCCCGAAGAGGCTTTACAAGAACAACCGATCAACGCTTCACACGGAAATGGACATTAAGATGATCATTTGAGATAAATTAGTGAATCCCTGCCATAACTCATAAGCATTTTATGTGGGCACTCTGGCTGAATATCTTGCACTTTTTGTAAAACTTCAGAAAAGTTTAGAGCCAGATTTCCCCATCAATCCACTCCGCCGTTCACTTTTTTTTGGGTTTTTAAAAGCAGTAGCCAATCTCTAAATCCGTCGAGATCTTTTTTTTGTTTGTATAGAGCGTTCTCACGCATCTTTTCCCCTCTATCTCTCCGTTATCATTTAAAACAAAAACAATACTTTGAAATTTCCATCTTATCGATTATTGTCCTCTTCTCAAAAAGTCAACTAGTCAACTGTCAACCAAATTCTTTCAGCTCTAGTCTTAACAAATTTCCACCATTTAAGATCCAAAAATGTGCTGCACAACCGATACGTGTAATAAATGGATTCTTTAGAAATAAACCAATTTTTTATTTTAGAAATCATAAAGCCTAATAGACAGCAATACTCACGAAAGCATCATAAGCGAACCGTGATAAGAGATCAAAAGTGCAAATGTATCGCAACAAAAACAAAGTCACCCGTCAGTTACGGCAATGTAGAAGCAAATTATAGAAGCAAAATAGAATATGCAAGGTAGTTCACAGATTTATAATGGTTCACCATGTTCAGCTGCATCCTCGCCCTCGTCGAAGATAAATGTTTGCACCTAAAGTGACAACTGAATTAAAAACTAAATAAGTAAATCTACCGAAAGTCGTCCAACAACCAGCACTGCAATCAAAGAAGTGAGCAATGCGACAACTACAGTCGTTTGTTCATTTTTTATCCTCTCCATAACAAAAAGCCGTGGACCAGCGCGACTACTGAAATAGACTTTACTTGACAAAACTTTTTTCAAGACATACTATTTTGTGCCATCGGAAAGGCTATAGGATGCTTCTGTCCATGTAGAGAACGTTGTGTTTGTTAGGTCAATGGCTAAAGAATTAAAGTGACTAGACGTTACACCACGACACCAACTTTCATCAATAAACGCTGGAGAGAGTGCTTTTGTGGTGAAAACTGTTGAACGGAGACACGAGGAATCATTGCCGCTTCTTTGCCAAAGAAAATGATAAAGCTAAAAAGATTGCTAATTAGTAGATTTATTAAAAGCTCGCCGTTTGATGGTGATTTAGTTGATCACATTGGACTTGTTCGTGAACGTTCGTGGTTAAATTGCGCACACCGGTTGCATCAACTAAAATGGGATCGTTACAACGTTACATAGTCCAAAGGCCGTTACCTGCAAGTCCAAAGACCAGATGTCGTATCAACGAAGCGCCATCCGCTCCAATGTAAGTCGTTTTAGCTAAAAACACAGTGCATAATAAAATAACTTGTAGGAACCAACCTTTCTTTGATCCCATGTATGGTTTGATTGGTTCCAGAACGGCAGCGAATAGATCACAAGTCCACCAGTCTTTCGAACTAATAAAACACTTGAATAACTGGTTGATCTAAACAAAAATATGGATTAAGCTGAAAATAAATATATCAACTACATACATAAGCCTCATCGATTGTCACATTCTTTGGTTTGAATCCCACATAATCGTTAGCCATAGCAACAAGGATTTCGGCCCCATGTCTAAAAATTCAAATATTCAATAACGTTGATTAACTAGACCGAACAGATATGGGCAGCCGAATAGCGTTAACATCCGAATGGCGACTGTGATCGATCATAGAATTAATTCGGCTAAAAAACTTTAAAAGAGTAAACTATTTTAACTCACGTGTACTGATACTTTTCCTTAAACTGGGTGAGCAATATTCCCGACCGAAGATTGGTCGTAGAATTTCGATAGACTGAATACAAAGAGGACGGAGGAAGTTGCAAAGTATTATCGGTTTCGTTATAGACAAGCTCAATTTCGTAGTTCAATTTTGAACCTAATGATTGAGCAGCATCCACAAACTTGTCGGTCTTAAACACGTTTATTCGAATAAAAATCCTAATTATAAATTACCAATTTTTTGTCCTTATCGTAAGCCGGTCGATGCAAATGAGCATAAAACTTTTCATACGTTTGAGGCTCTCCTGCTCCAACCTATAAAAGAAAAATGAAAAGCTAGTAAATAAAACGTTACCTGTTGCACCTCGATCATAGCCTCCAATTGATCTGGAGTGATTATTTCTTTTTGAGCCCGCAGTTTTTCGTCAAACGAAGCGGGAAATTGTTCTTTCGACATATCAAAGAGTGCTCGACTACTTCCAATATAATCAAAGGCTTCCTAAAGCTAGTTTAAAAAAACTGAAACAAAGATAACCCCATGGAAGAACGAAAAAAGAATACGCCGGTCTGACGCGTTAGCGGCTGCTTCGAATCCACTACCTTCAGCAGCAATTGCTCTAAGGGAACAACATTTGTTTTAATAAGAAGAAAGTCATACTTAGCCGCAGCAAGTACCGTCATTATTGAAGTGATAGTTGAAAAATCACCGGGAGAAACTTCAGGAATGAACGAAAGTGAATCCATCTAAAATAATTTACGTGTTAACCATAACATTCTAGAAACAAACCCTAGTGGCAATCGAAAGGTATTTAGCAGTTCTAGGTTTTGGCTCTTCTGTTTGTTTATCGGCGGCTTTCGGTGGCATAGCAATGAAGACGTTCAAATCTTGTAATGGATCACAGAGCGTGACGCTGAGACTCAATATACACGAGTAAATTATAAAACTTTACGGAGCATCAAGTTCAGCTATCGGTCCACGACTGCGCCTCATGCACATGTCGCTATTTCCAGCGGCATAGGAAAACATCTGTAACCACCCGGATTTAAAAATATTTAATTCTCTAGATTTCTACCTTGACAGACACAGCACAAAGTGGAAACCATACAGGCCAATCCGTGGGTGGGCCCAACGCTTTATTGACAACATTAGCGCACTAAAAATATTTTTAAACGTAACGTTAAACTCTCAAACCTTCATGAGCTTTTCAATATTGCTGGTGTTTCTCAAAAAGATCACTGGCTTGGGCCAATCTGTAAATGAAAGACCATTCGCAACAGCAGCTCCGTCCACATTCCAATTTGAACAATTAGCATAAATTCCTAAAGAAATTAATAGAAGATAATTTTGTCTATTTTAGAACCTGAATTTTCGTTGGGACATGTCGAATCGTCACTGTTTGGCATTCCGTCAACATCGGGTAAAGGTTCTACTTCATATAGGAGCACCATCGAGACGCACGGAGATGCTCGCAATTTTTCATAAAGGCGAGCCCCAGAACTGAAATCCACATATTCAACAAAAAGTAAACACAATTACCTGTGAAAATTAACATGGCTTACTAGAACAGCAAAGCCACCATCCCATTCCGGATACCTATACGAGTTGACTTATAACATACAAGCAATTGATCAAACCTAGCTTTCCAACAATCATCAACGTATCGTACATCAGTATCCATGTTGGCCCTTACAACAAGTCCAACATCGCCGCCTCGACTAGCTAACTTGCTTGGTTTATTTAACGCTTGATTGACTTTCACACTCACATTGGCATCCGAATTGGTGTGTTCCATTTAGCAGTCGAAAACATCCCACAGACTCTGGCTCTAGTTGGACATAGACTTGATCCGATAGGGAGGCCCACGAAGAGTGAAAAATAACTAAAGAAGATTAAGATTAAGAAAATTTGTTCACGAGTACCGGAGAGAAACCCTAGTAACAACCACATCTCATTGTTTTTTATCGAAGACGTCGCCACTCTAAAGCAAACCACCGTTCACGCTATTTAGATGTGCACAAAATAATAAAATATTATTGGCATTTAACAGGAGAATGAATTAAGTCGTTTATCAGAATTTTTATTTCAATAACTTTGCACAACAAATAAATAGCAAGGCAAACATAACGTACGACTTCGGCAAATTCTAATAAAACAACAAAAATTACTTTAAATAAGCAAATGCACTAGTTTCGTTGACTATTTCGATGGAGGAGAGCCCGACTTGTATTCCTAAACAAGCTATTATTTTCATAAACGACACCTGAAAACATACCTGCCCGGTTTTTTCTTTATATTCCTTCTTCAAACTGAGAAGTTTTGTTATGGAGTCCTTGGTTTCTTGCTAAATTTTTAACATAAAGATTTCAAAAGACATAATCATACCGATTTTGCATCCTTGCCCTTTAGATCTCGGACCAAAACACCTTGCTTTTCAAGTTCATTGTACAACGCGAGTGCGTCGCCTGTGGCTGGCGTTGATGATGCAGCAGTGGTTAGAGTTGTTGCAGAAGCGGGTGGAGAACCAGACTTGTAATCCTAAAAAACTTCTTTAAATTTAAAAGGTTATAACAGACCTGCCCAACTTTTTCCTTGTATTCATTTTTCAATTGAAGAAGCTTTGCGATCGCATCTTTGGTAGCTTGCTGAAAATCAATAAATTAAAAGAAAAACAAATAGTTCATACCGATTTTGCGTCCTTGCCCTTTAGATCACGAACCAAAACTCCTTGCTTTTCGAGTCCATTATATAGAGAGAGTGGGTCGGTTGGAGCTGAGGTTGGCGATGTTGTAGCTGGAGATGTTGTAGCTGGAGCTGCCGCGGATTCAGGAGGTGAGCCAGATTTGTAATCCTAGCAATCCAAAACTCCAAATCATTTGATTAAACAAACCTGTCCAACTTTTTCCTTGTATTCGTTCTTTAATTGGAGGAGCTTTGCAATCGCGTCTTTGGTGGCTTGCTTTAAGAGTCAAAATAAAGTAGAATATGCAACAAGTCATACCGATTTTGCGTCCTTGCCCTTTAGATCGCGAACCAAAACTCCTTGCTTTTCGAGTTCATTATATAGAGAAAGTGGGTCAGCTGGAGCTGAGGCTGGCGATGTTGTAGCTGGAGCTGCCGCGGATGCAGGAGGTGAGCCAGATTTGTAATCCTAGCAATCCAAAACTCCAAATCATTTGATTAAACAAACCTGTCCAACTTTTTCCTTGTATTCGTTCTTTAATTGGAGGAGCTTTGCAATCGCGTCTTTGGTGGCTTGCTTTAAGAGTCAAAATAAAGTAGAATATGCAACAAGTCATACCGATTTTGCGTCCTTGCTCTTTAGATCGCGAACCAAAACTCCTAGCTTTTCGAGTTCATTGTACAATGAGAGAGGATCGACCGAGGAGGCAACTGCTACTGTAGAAGGTGAGGCTGAAGCGGGAGGGCAGCCAGATTTGTAGTCCTAAAGATTCCCAATTAAATACAGCAAATTAGGTATACCAAACCTGTCCAACTTTTTCTTTGTATTCGTTCTTCAATTGGAGAAGCTTTGCAATCGCATCTTTGGTGGCTTGCTTAAGCAATCACAATCTTAGCAATTAACAAAAATGTAATACCGATTTTGCATCCTTGGCTTTCAGGTCACGAACGATGACCCCTTGTTTCTCAAGATCATTGTATAGTGCCGTGTGATCGCTTCCTGATTTGTTGGTCGCAGTTTTCTTTGAGGAACTCGTTTCCTAAAAGCAAACGGTTCGTTTCCTACGTTTATCTAACAATTGATACTTTATTGTTAGCAGCAGTCAAAGGTTGATCTTTCTGGCTTCCATCAGGGATTGCAATCAACAAAAGTGGCGTCTCCTTGTCAGTGAATGGACTTTTCGGACTATATTCATGGTCGCAAATGTAGAAGCCCTAAATTTACAAATAACTTTAGTGCTTGACTTCTAATTACCTTTCGCTGCAGTTGTATTATGTCGCCTTGCTTGATGTTTCGCAATGGAGGCTCACCAACCATTTGGGTATAATGCACCGAGTTGTAATTGATGAAATCCTTCCAATCTTCATCCTTTCCAATCACAGCCTAAAGCGTAAAAATTGATGAGTTCTAGCTTTTAAAAACTACTTTGGTGATTATATGATCGTAGTCGACTGCCACAACAGGAATCGTTGACGGAGACTCAACATTGGCAATCCATGTCACTTTCATTGTCTTTTTGTAGTCTTTATTGTCAAGGTCGAGTTTCGCCGTTATTTTGGTAATTTCGTGATCGTTGCTTTCCATCGAAGTGATATTTAGGTTGCCCCAATTAACAAAAGTGACCGTATCACCAACCTAAAACATTTCAAAAGGTAAAAAATGGATGATATAGGCGCACCTTCATTTCTTTGGCATCAACTTGTTCAATCAAGATCTTCCCCGAATGATAAATCGTTTTTACTCCGACTTCACCGTTCTAAATGAGAAACTTATATGATACAAATAAGAAACAACCTTCGGATGTAGTTGGACTTTGGCTTCATACGTCTCAATTGAAGGCTCAATTACAACAGTGACAAGAGGCGATGTTGTGCTCAGAGCAGTGTATCTGTAATTAAAAAGTGAATAAGGTCAACTATTTTTTAAACCTTGGCGCAATAGGATCGATAACTTTCTTGTTAAAGGCCCAAATCTTATCCCATTCCATCATCACAATGGATCGGCTGCCTCCCTAAATAAGGTAGGTTAATCGATTCAATTATAAAACAATCAGCAACAAACCTGAGCCACAATAAATTGCTTTAGTCCCTCAACAGTCAATCCATGCCTAAGAATTCCACGAACAGTTGGGAAGCGAGGATCATCCCTACAATGAAAACTTTTTGCAAATTCAAAACACACTTACCAGCCTTCAACAACATTGTTCTCCACAAACCAAGTCAACTTCCTCTTGCTCATTACCTAAAGGAGTGATAATTAGGAGTAAAATAAAACTTATTACCGTATTTGTCATGTTCAATCTTGCATACTCCCATATATGCGGTTTTCTTAATCCAAGTGCATCACAAATGAAGAAGAATTGGTCATCTCTAGAATAAAATGTTATGAATAAGACACTCCCCAAAAAAACCTGTCATGATACTCTGTTGTTCTCAACGTATGGGTTACTCCTTCGATGCTATCAACAATAGGACAAGCGAAGTCATAGGTCGGATAGACTCTAAAAATATCAATAAATGAATGTCCTCAGTTTGGTTTATATCCGACACAAAATAACTGACTTGTATTTGGTTCCAGTTCGAACATGCTCCTCAACTTTGCATCTAAAAAAGAAAATTGCTCAAATTTTAGGCATGCTGTGCGTACCGATAAATGGTCGGATCTCTCATCGCTCCATTATTCGACTTCATGTCGATCTTGATTCGAACACAGCATTGTTGTCCGCGAGTCGTTCCATTTTTCATTTCTTCCCAGAGTTTCAAGTTAACATCCGGAGCTAAAACAACAAATACTGACTTAATTCACGGTTTACCATACGTGTTGTTCGACATTTGCTTTCAACCCTTTCTTCGCGCTCTTTTCGCATCGTTTCAGTATCCGTGTCATCAACGTATGCCTTTCCTAGAACTAAATATTTAGCTATTCAAAATTAATTCAACCTTCACGCAACAGTTTCTCGCACATTTGAAGCATTAGCTCAAAATAATCAGATGAATGTGACCAAATATCCGGAACAATTTGTAGCATTTTGAGATCCTCTTTGATAACCTAAATTTAAGATGATCAATGTAATATGTGAGCTCACTTACCTCCTCGAAGTGAGCGTTCTCTTTGGCTGGATTTGTGTCATCAAAACGCATGATAAGTTTGCCCTCAAACGCCTGTTGGTAGAACTGGTTCAAAAGAGCAGCTTTTGCATGTCCAATGTGTAAATACCTAAAAACATAAAACTCTATAAAAGCGGAAAAGTATTTACCCTGAAGCCTCGGGAGGAAAACGCACAATAACTTTTCCCTTTTCTGCGCCAGGAAGATCGACGAATTTGCCTTCATCCTTTTGTTTCTCCTTTGGCTTCGTGTTACTGTTTCCCTGAAGATATGAGTGTAATTATGGACCAAAACGACGATACTCACCGCAAGCTTCGACACTTCGAAAACTCCGACCATTCTGTGAGCCTCGTTTAATCGGGGATCCGAAAGGATGGCTTGAAACAAATTCAAATTCTTGGTTTGCAACTAAATCTCAGTATTAGAAAGAGAAAAGTATTTCTGAGCACAATGTGGGAGTTAAGTAAACAAACCTCTTCATTTTTGGCCAGAAGAGAGAAAAGAGCAAAGTCAGCAATTGTCTTTCGGTTCTCGAATAAAGTTCCACTTTTCGACAATTGAAGAGAAGAAAAAACATCTTCGGCTTTGATGAGCCCGTTGTGAAACGTCTCACATGATGTCAAAACCTCATCGATCTGAATGCAACATAAAATTAAATAAATTGTAAATAGTTACACTCACATAAGCACTTTCGAACAACGTAGAGCCGGTAAGTTCGGGTTTGCCAAGGCTTTGTCCAACAAATCGAGCAATCGTTACATCATTTTCAAGAGGAACACCATCTCTGAACAAATAGTTAAAACCTGGTCGTATAGTTCAAAGAAGTTACATGTTGAGTTCCAAGCGATCCCCATTTTTCACCAATTTCGCACAGCTAAGACCGCCGGCATTTAGCGTCAACAGCGTCGCATACGGCAAGGCACTCTTGGGGGCCAAGATCGAAAAAGTCCGCTCGTAAAGGACCATTACCTGAAGCAAAAAAAGATTATGCACAAACTAGATAAATGAACTACCAAAAGAGAAAACAACGAGCTCGAGATAGCATAAAATCAATCAACGCATCTTTGAAAACTTATCATTCCCTCCGCACTGCCTGTCATTCAAAATATTTCCCTTCATCAAGTAGGCTAGATAAAACGAATTTTATAGGCAAAAAGGGACAATGTGGTGTAATTCTTTGCAAGTGTCACTCAAAATTGCGTCCTTATGTCTTTTCGCGTAGCTAAAAACTCGCGGCAACCAACAAAGAATGAAATTGCTGAGGGTTTAGCAATGATGAATGGAAATTGCGCGAGGGGAAATGAGAAATCTTCCCCTTAAATCTTAGTAGCTTTTTGGCAAAAACTACCATCATCTACATTATCGATGATATACTGTTACAACATGCAACTATAAATAGGAGGCTAGAGTAGTTGGGGGCGGAGGAGGCAGTCTTAAACTTGGTTTCGGTCTGAATTTTGGTCTGAAACCAAAATCAATATTTTCTGCACAGTGGTTTTTGACTATCCTGAATCGATTAATAATACTTTTATAACTTTTTTATTGATTTTATTAATTTTATTAATTAATAGTCTTTTTAGTAAAAACTCGAATACAGGCAATTTGCCGAAAAACAGGTCCTAACCTACTTTTAGAACTTTTTAAAATTAATTTAAATGTTTTATTTTAACAAGATCGAATAACAAGAAACAACACTAACAAAACTAAGGTTAGGGGACCTATTTTTGGCAAATTGCTCATATTCGAATTTTTACTAAAAATGGTATTAATTAATAAAATTAATAAAAAAAAGTTATAAAAGTATTACTAATCGATTCAGGATAGTCAAAAACCACTGTGCAGATTTTCGTGGAAAAAATATCGATTTTGGATAAAGTTCCAGACTGCCTCCTCCGCCCCCAACTACTCTGGCCTCCTATTTATAGTTGCATGTTGTAACAGTTATATCATCGATAATGTGGATTATGGTACTTTTTGCCAAAAACCTACTGTAACTAAGATTTAAGGGGAAGATTTCTCATTTCCCCTCGCGCAGTTTTAATTCAACATTGCTAAACCCTCAGCAATTTCATTCTTTGTTGGTTGCCGCTAGTTTTTGGAAATAAATGGGAGTGGGACAAATGCGACCTTTTTTTTGCGCACCTTTTTTCGTGCTTTTAAAAAAGCTCTAAAAAGCTAATATTAACCAATTTCTATTCCAAATGTTGTTTTTCTAGGTAATTTGAGGGTGTCGAATTCAAATTTTGACATAACAGAGCGTGTGGAACCAATTTGAAAGACAAAACGGCCAGATCAAATTACAGAAAATTGTCGATTTTTTCTCTTTGTATAACTCCGTCCGTTTGTTTCCACAAGCTCTGATATGTCAAAATTTCGATTCTACACCCTAAAATTACCTAGAAAAACAACTTTTGGAATGGAAATTGGTTAATATTAGCTTTTTAGAGCTTTTTTAAAACACGAAGAGAGGTGCGCAAATGTCCGGGTGCGCAAAAAAAAGGTCGCATTTGTCCCACTCCCAAATAAATAGAAAAATAGAACACTACCGAAAATAGAACACTCAATTCGTGAAGAATTATTTGACTTGTCTCACAACATTTCACAAAATCATTTACTTTTTTTATTGTTTTGTTTTTGCTCAATGTTTGTCTCTTAAGCATTGTTTTTCTAGTTGTATTATGATGTTTTAGATGGGCGATTTCGAAATTGACGATTTTTTCGGGAATGATAATTTGGGAGACGAGCCGACAGTAGAAGAGGAAGAAGATAGTTGGGAACAACTTTTATCTTAATTTTGATAATTTTAGGAGAGAATGCCGTCGACAGTTTGTTTGCCGAGGAAAAGAAGGAAGATCTCGCCAAGAAAAAACCAAAAAGAAAAATCCCTGATGCGGCAAGGTTCAACGAAGCATTACTGATGGGACCAAAGGGAATAAAACATTTATCCGAACTCTGCCAGACATTTAAATTTGACCAAAAAGCTGGACCGGTTTGTTTTTATCTTTATCTTTAACCAGATAAATTTAGTATCAAAATCTGGAAAACGTGATGAAGCTCTACCAGCACTGGGCTCATGTAATGTACCCGAAGTTCAAATTTGAAGACACCGTCGCTCAATGTGAGAAATTAGGTGGAAAGCGAGCAATCAAAGTAAGTTTTCCTAAATGTTAATAAAGATTTGTTGGTTTGGAATTCAGATTTACATGGAACGAATGAGACAAGGAATGACAATGTCTCCGGAAGAATTCGATCAATTACATGGAAAATCCAACGAAAGAGAGGAGGACGAAGAACGAACCATGGAGCTGGATGTATAAGTTTTGCTCTTCAGAAAATTGTATGCAGTTGTTTTAGACTTTTTCGAAATCGATTTTTGCTGAAGAATCCACCGATCAATATCCAGAGCCTTCTACTAAACCGAAATCCAACCAAGTTGATGAGCCTGTAGCCGCTTCCGCTCCCGTAAGAAAGTTGAGTGTTAACTATTAGAAAGCTTTTTAGCGCGTGCTCACCGAGGAAGAAAGAAGGAAAGTTGCTGAAAATCGACTACGAGCTTTGCAGATTCGAGAGCAAAAACAAAAAGAGAAGGAACTGGCAGCAAAGGTTGATATTTGTTAGAACCTATTTTGCTATTTTCTCCTAGATGGCCGAAGAGGAAGAAGCTAGGTATGCGGAAGTCGCCGAAGAAGCTGTGCTCGTGGACGTTTCACCACCGCCGGAAGCAATGCAAGATGAAATGCTCGACGAAGAAAATATTATGAATGAATTAGGCTTTTGAATATTAAGTTCGATTATCATATTTTTAATTTGAATTTACCCTTTTTGATGTAATTTTTCTAAACTTTTTCACTATTTCTATGTGCGTCTCTTATCGAAGTTGTCACGCAAATAGCGATATCTCCCTCCACTGAATCTCTTATTCCAAGGTTTGGTATTAAGTTTTACAACCATATTTTGTTCTCTAGCCTCCGAACCTGTCTTGGTGCCGATTTGAATGATCCACCCATTTTTGTGACAAATCATTCTTTAGTTTTCCGTGCACACTCTCGACGATTTGTTCAATAAAGTGATAATTGTACTTTTCTTCTTTTAGTTTTGGTAGTATTGTTGCTATAAAACATCAATCGCAAGTCTATACCCCATCATGTTGCTGAAAAGTTTTTGGCACGGGAGTTAAACGTTATTGGAAAGGCAATTGACTCTTTTATACCTCGTAATTTTACTTTTAGGTCAAGCATCCGCATCTTCTCAAATGTTTTTTAGCCAATGCTCCCTCGCCATCAAAAAGTGTTGCATTGCTCTTTAAGGCAAACAATGATTTAGGTGATTGTTTAGGAATATTGTGCTCGTGGAACACGTGATTATTTTTACGCAATAAATCTTTTCTGTAAATATGTACGTTATTCTTCGCTGTTAAGTGCGGTTTTTACTTAAGCTTTTGAGTTCTTACGTTTTGGAGTGTCGCCACTAGTCTAAATCGCAGCAACAAACCGTACCCAACCCTTTTCACTAGGGTTTCGTGAGAGAGCAAGACGAGTTCTTCTTTATTAAAATTTCCAGCTTAGAGTGAAACAAAAACTATTTTCGTTACCGTTTGTATTGTTTTGTCATTTATTTCCAAAAGATTTTTTTAAGAATTTAAAGGGTTTTTGAACTCATTGAATTTTTAGTATTGCGTTAGGAGTTCTCTACAGTTTTTCTTACTCATAATTAGTTTGCAACTACAATTTCTTTTTATATTGGTCAGCTTTAGATTTAAATTTGTTTTAGAGCCGATCAATGAAAGATGAGTGGGAAAGATTACGCTCGGCTGGTTGCTATGAAATATCGATCTGCTCGTTCAACACCGCGGATAAATCGCCCTGTACGCCCGCGAGTAATTGCTTGGGCTGGCCCGAAAGCTTTTTATCCAAATAGGTCGGACTTTTTTTAAAATCTAGAGTTATGCGTCAAAGTTTAGGTTTTATGAGATCGATAGATGGTATAAGGCACGGATCGACAAACCGGAGAAGATTCCGAGGCTGCATATCATAGAGCCTTCGGAATTCACTCGTTCCATTTACGAGATAACATCGAACGACCAAGGTATGCTGGTTTTCTTCCATCCATATAATATCAACTTATTTAGGGGAAATTGATATCGGATTTGCTCTAAAGGATGAACCCAAGTTTTCGACAAAGACCGATGAACAACGAGTGGATTTAGAAAGAAAAGCACGACGATTAGAACGTTAGTATTTATAGAAATTATGTTAAATTACTTGAATTCTAGTGCGAATTGACCTGGATCAAGTGCGCTCAGAAGATATAGGCATTTATCATCATTATAAGGTAAGTTTTCTAGTAGAATAGAGTGAGTTTTCTTGTAATTACACCGTCGTGAATCTTGACCGTCATGTTAAATGAATACATGCTGGTTGTAAAGGCCGACGAAAATCAATTTGCGACAAAAGGCGGCTTTTCTCTCCAAAGTGTCCAGAAATGCTGATTGCGATGCAAACATTTAAACTTCTAATAGTCAATAAACAATGACCATAGTTTCTATTTGTTTGTATTTTTAGATTTTTGAGCATCTTTTTGGCAAAGGAGCCTACTTTCACAGTGTTCAACAGCTGAATGTGGCTTTTGGGGATATCGAATTGTATAATGGGAACATCATTTCGGCAACAAGTCTTGTTAATCAACCCCAGGCAAGTTTTGTATTGAGTAATTGAGTAAGTTGAGTATTTAGATTGAAATTGAGTCCATTGGAAGTGGTGGCTACTCAACGTTTGTCCTGGTGAATATAGACGGCAATCCTTTTGAAGAAAAACCAGGCGAAATTGTTCAGTGGTTAATCAAAGATATCCCGGATGGAAAAGGAGTCGATGCCGGCACTGAGGTAATTAGTCTTTGGTTATTACTTTAAAATTTTGATGTTCAGGTTTTGCCATACCTCCAACCAATTCCGTTTATGGGAACCGGTTATCATCGAATGACGGCTCTTCTATTTCGACATCCTAAACCCATTGATTTCGATTTTAAACTCGACAAGTTTGTAAAAATTATCAGCATTTGGATATCTCAATTTCAGAACACTGATTGGGAGAGTAATGAAAGTATCACAATTCTACAAAGCATGTGAAGAACAAATTACCCCTTCCGCAGTTCGGTTTTGTCAAACCAGTTACGATTTATCCTGTAAAAAGGCTCTCCATGATTTGGGTATACTAAAAGTGATCAAAATTATTTGATTTGTTTATATAGGAATGAAATCACCTATTTACTCGTATGAATTTAATGATGCTTTAAAGCCTGCTCAACGTGAATTTCCAGTAAAACCTATGCCTTTTAATCTGTAAGTTTTCTGAAAGTTGGGAAATTAAATAATCTTGATTTAGCTATCTTGATATGTATCGTGATCCTAAAGAAATGGAAGAAGAACTCTTAGAAGAAAGATTGAAGCGAGCACAAATCACAGATTACGGGTATCATTCGACTGAGTTTCTTGATGTTTCGTTGTTTAGAGCACCGAAATGGTTGGATCCAAATTACAATGACAACAAAAGAGATCTGGCTCCATGGATACACGATCGGATAATTGCTAGGAAAGGCAGATATACCGCTTTGTATGAAAATGTTATAAAAGATTGATTGATATTCGGGTTATTTACAATTATGTTTTCTATGTATTGTTGTCTAGGATAGTTTAGTTTTGAATTGTTATTGATTTTGTTGATAAATATTTTTTCAATTTGTCTAAAGTTTTGACAGGTTATTATTGCCTAATGGTTTATTATGTTGGCTTTTGTCAAAAATTTAGTATTAACGTGTCCTTTAGATGGCTCAATTAGCCGCGCGATCGATTTTTGCCGCTTTGAAGAAACAGGTCAACGTGACGGGGTCCTTTACGGCTCGCTCTTTAGCGACTGAGGTATTGGCACCATTTTGAAAGAATTATTCGATGTCTTTTTTTGGCTATGTACATTAAAATTTAGGCTAACCCCGATGATTATGGACACTATCCGGATCCGTTAGAGGTTTTTATTTTGTAGTTTGTTTTTATGATTTTAATTTACAGCACGCAACCGGTCGAGAGAAGAAAATGCTATTGGCCCGACTTGCCGGGGATGATGTAAGTTATTTATATACTTTTGTTTGGAGCCACATAACATTAGTTGGGAGAAAAGCCTGAACAGATTAAACTAATATTGCGACCTGTTTAGCGTTATGAGCCCAAAGTTTACTACCGTGCTGAGCATTCGACAAAGGAAAAACCAAATCTTGTGCCTTCTCATTTTCAAGATCGAATTGTTGGGTGCATGTGTAAGTGATTTTTTTACTATACCGAATTATGATTCCTTAAGGTGAGCCTGACAGCGGTCACGTAAACTTTATGATGGTTCGTAAAGGAACTCCAAAACGATGCGAATGTGGACATTGGTAAGCTTTTTACTTTTTATTTTTATTGAAATGGTTACTAGGTTCAAAGCGATTGATGCTGATCCCGAGTCAGTCTAAGATGGATAGTTGTCAAGAAAGAAACAGGATTATAATTGATTCGTATGTACTTTTAGTTTTTTTATGTACAGAGTTAAATCTTTATAATTGTTTGTGATTAACGGAAAAGTAAGGATAAAAGTTTATGAAATAGTACGTGGCAAATCTGACATTCTTAAATGAGTGCTTCGTGTACCCGAAGAAAATTTTTTCGATTGTAAGGATCGAATCCGATAAATTCGTGAAGTTCGTGCCTGAATTTAGATTTTTTTTGTAGCTTGCCTTATCTTAACTTGAGCTGGCTGTAGTAAGAGGTTTTAGCTGGAGGCGGAACTTGTCTCACTTCTGGAAGTGCTAAGGTAACTGACTCCCTAAATTCCTGTTAGTCATGGTGTTAACTTTAACTCTGAACCGAATATCGTCGAGAACTTTCATATCACATTTCGTCTTTTTACTTGTGAAGTCGAGGTTCCATTTACGGAATAGTTCCATTTTCGGTAATGGCGACTCGTGATCAACCTGAAAGAAGATTTGTATTTTTCTTTCAAAAGCATTTACCTGAATTACAACGGATATTGGGCTACGATTACCCATAAAGAAGTTAGAATTTGAGATCAGACTAAAAACTTTTAAAACCACATTTTAGATATTTTAATACGCTTTTGGTAGGGTCACACATTTAAAGCGATTCAATCCACACAGATAGGTCATGATCGAAGAATCGGGTGATTGCCGGAATCTCATCAGATTTACTACCTAAATTGGGATGAGAAAAGGGTTTATTACTTGACAAACTTGTTGAAAGAATTCAACATTTACATGGTTGCCTTTCACGTAAAATGTCGATCCGCAAATCCAGTTTTTCATGTTTTCATAGATGGGAAACTGAATTTGGATTTATTGGGAGAAAATTTTTTTTTGTTTCGTAAACCTGATCATTACCAACTGTGTCGAAAAGCAAGTGCGCATCTGGATACGTGTTTTCGATGTCCATCATTGCAAAGTTTGAAGTCCAAATCGAATCCTGAATTTTTTTGTTCTTCGTAATCGCTTTCGCTTTACCTGTTGCATGGCCCAAAAATTGAGTCCGCGTTTTGCTAGGGCGATAACGATTCGAGCACGCAGCATCAAAATCAATTGATACGTAACGTACTTTTTGTTCTCGAGATCACTGGGAACTACGGCCTGAAATTGAAAACTTTTGATTTTAGGTGGTTTAAGTTTATGTTCAAAAATCTTTCTGGGCTCAGGAGAAGAATAGATGCTCAGGCTCAGGCTCAGGAGAAGAATAGATGCTCAGGCTCAGGCTCAGGAGAAGAATAGATGCTCAGGCTCAGGCTCAGGAGAAGAATAGATGCTCAGGCTCAGGCTCAGACTCGTCTGTTATTGAATTTCGTTCGATTCAGAACGAAATTCAATTCAGACTTCCGTTTTTGAATCTATTCAATAACCGACGTAACATATAGGTTTTCCCTCGGCTTTTCAGGAAAAAGCACTCACCCGAACATGAGTAAAATCCACGGTAACTGTTGGAATCGAAGGATCGTGTCGATTCAACGCTTCTTCGGCTTCTTGATCGAAAGCCACTGCTGCAAGTCGCTCCAGAGCACCCGGCATCACTCTAAAAACAAAACATTATCTAGAAATAGAACTTTTACTTATTACTTTTATGATTTCATAGGTAAAGACCGAAAATTTCCCTTACTTCAAGTTGCAAATATGATTTTTGGTGACGTCAATGTTGGTTTTGTCGAACTGAAAGCTTGTTTTTTGTGATATCTTCTTGAGATTCACTCACAAAAATGATATATGGTGGCTCGTTCATCGCCTCTAAACGTTTAGCGAACACTGAGAATGCTGTCGAGTTTTCGATTGATTCGAGAGGAATCTGAAATTTCGAGAAACTGAGAGAAAGTTCTATCAAATGACTAGAATGCTCTATCGAATGCTTTAAGGTTTGGCTACCAAATGGGAGTATTTGTCGACGTTTCGGATCAAACGCTTTTGTCGTGCCCATCGCGGGAAATTCGGGGTGACAAAGAGGTAGTCGAGAATGAGATTCACTGGAAATTTGAAGTGAATTGAAGTTGGTACAAGTTTCGGGATTTAGTTAAAATAGCGCCGAATAGAAAACGTTTAAAACAGCGCTGAGCATTTCCTGATTTCCTGATATTTGATTTAAACAAAAATTGTATTGTTTGAGTTGAGTTTGAGAGAAAAATTGATTTATAACGTTATTGCACTTATTGAGATCTACAAAATAACATCAAAAGCATAAAGATTGGCCGACTTAGAAGAAAGTTATGGCGAGTTGCGAGTTATGAGCCAAAAGAACCATTTGCGCAAAAACAAAAAAAAATTGAATTAAAGTAGCCACCGTGATGTAAATGATGAAAAAATGTAAAAAAATGATGAATGAAGAGTTTAAATTTGCGCATAAACAAATTTACATAACTATCGTAGCCTTTTTGAAGCGCATGCTTTAGAAAGCGCATTTAAAAAGCGCATTAATCACGAGGAACCCACTCTAATTAACATATACTGTAGTGTCATGGTAGTGCTGCGTTTTCTATAGAAGTACTAGCCACAAGATCACAACCTCTTATGCCTATAATATTGGATTGGTATTGTGTCTATTATAGGCACTGGCACTGTGTCGCTTGTGTCTATTATAGGCACTAGAGTAGTACCAATCCTTGCCGGTAATTAGCGGGAAGCCTACCCCAAGAATTTGATTTGAGAAAGCCTTTCTAAATAAACCGTCAATTTTGTTAATTTTTTGCGCGACGTTGCATTCCAATTGACGTCACCGCCATTTGGAGGTAGTCGATGGGAGCGCCGCGTCGTCGTTTCTTTTTTCATTTTCAAATCATTTCTTTTTGTCATATTGATTGAAAGTATTGTTTTACGCGGTAGATTTTATCCGATGGAGGGCCGACTAAAGCTTATTTGCGAGCTTGATAGATAATTAGTTGAATAGATTTTTATAATTTGCAAGTTTCGCGATAGATAAATGCAGCCAAGAAATATCCCAACACATTACGCTCCTTCATTAAATTTCACCGTCGGAATGGTGTATTTCAACTTGTATCGTGTTCCAATCGGTTCTTTGATTTGCATAGAAGCCATTTGAGTTGAAAATATTGAATTTTGTTTCATCGCTGAAAAGCACGTGCTTCCAGGTCTCAACTGTCCAGTGTTGATGCTCCAAAGCAAATTGTAGAGCGATTCGATGCCGTTGAATCATTAACGGCTTTCGTGCCAACCTTCTCGAGTATAAACCAAACGTTTTAAGTCGATTGCTCACTGTTCTCGCTGTTACATTGACGTTAAACTTGTACTTTAGAAACTTCTTTCCATCGGTGGCAGTGAGAATCGGCGTAAAAACGTGATTCTTCTGGAGGGTTCGATCCTGTTGTTCCGTAGTTTTCGATGGTCGGCCACTTCTTGATTTCCTGTGCACGTTTCCCTTCTCAATGTTCTAGTTTTTGCATTGAGAAATAGAAGCCCCATTTTAATGTTATTTTGCAGAAAAATAATTGGCCTTTCTAATAAAACAAACTGTAGTTCAATTGGTTCATTTGTTGGTTTTAAACGAAAGTACGAAAAGGAACGAAAAGACTTTCTGAAGAGCCTAATACAACTTGATAAAACATAAAAAATCGGGCAATTCTCACCGGAACACCAAATCCCGACAATGAGTAACCATTTGTTTCTCCAGAGATACCAGAAAGGATTCGACGAATAGTAGTGCTCAGATTTACGACCCATGGTGTTCAAAATTCAATAAACCGCAAAGACGAATGTAAAACAAATTAGGTGTGCCGTTTTTGAGTCTCACTCGAGTCTTTAAGTCTTTGTGGTTTCTCACTGGCAACGGGCGATTTTGATCTAGTCGATTTTTGATTTTTTTTCTTTCAATCTAGACGAAATCGAAAGTCGCCTCTTCAAAAAGATCTCAGGTTTTCCTTTTTGAAATCTTCAAATTCAGCGTAAATACCGGATTTAAAATCCTATCAAAAAGTTTATTGAAAACCATTTAAACGATAAAAAATAAAAGAAAACGAAAGCTTGGCGTTGTCTAAGTCATTCCATTCATTCCAAGTGAAGTAGCAGCGGGTATCAAACAGGCATCAGCAGCTCCAACAGCCATTCGACACAAAACGGTCAGCCAAAGAGAAACCGGAGAAACCATTGGAAGAATGGCATTTGCTGATACACAAAGAACCAAACTGAACGTTGATTCAGTTGAAAGTCGATCGAAAACCCTCAAACCTCGTCATCACCATCCATTTCCCATTCAATCGATCTGCCCACATTCCCGTCAAAAGCATCAACAAATTGCCAGCATTTTGAGCAGCTAACACATAGCCTTCCTAACTCTTTTGTTGTTGAAAAATTGTATCAAACATTTCCTTACTTGTGACGGTTTCCAATCAAGTGTTCCACCAAGTCCTGGGAAAGTTGCTAGTTTATTGCATCTTCCCTGATTCTGTTGTCGAAAGTTTACACCCGTAATGTTCGTATCAGGCATCTAAAAATATTATGATATAATTCGTGATATACAGAGTGATTCAAAAGTAATTTTCAGTAATTTTCAAAAGTTCCCGTACAACTTTTTGCTAAAACTTGATTTTAAAATGATTGAGGAAAGCTATTCAACTCAACTTTTTAAAAATAAAAAGCTTAATGAAATTATACTTAAAACAACTACCGTATTTATTCTAATATTAGGTTGATGCATAAGTCTTTTCGTTTCTTTCGTACTTCTGTTAAAAAGTAACAAATTCACCAATTAATCTATAGTTTGCTCTATAAAAAAAAGTGTTTTTTTGTTCAATTAGCATCTTTTTAAATGAATTTCGGTTCACTTTCAGGCAAATTCGAGAGTGAAAAACGCCTTTTTCGTAAAAATCTATAAAAAACTCTACGGAAAAATTGGCTGAATGAATTTCTCTGAAATTTTGGCGAAACTTTTTCAAATTTAAACCGCGGTCAGGGCCCAGAAGTGGCTCATTCCTTTTGCAAATTCCCTTTGCTTCCAATGCCTCTTTATCAAATTCATTTCCCGTTAGAGCCGCTAGATTATGGAACTTGCTCCCAAACGACATACGAGAAATTCAGTCGCTTTTCATATTCAAGAAACGTATCGATGCTTTAGATCTAGTGGCTCTTTGCCGTAAGTAATTGGCTTATTGATTTCAGTATGTATTGTATGATTAAGTATCACTGTGCATTTCTCTATGATTTCTTTCACTTTATCGTTTGAATAAAGTATTATTATTATTATTAAAATATCAAACGTTTTTTTCTCTATCTTTTATCTATTGACACGAAGATAGGTTTTCTTTAGCTAAGGTGTCTAAACCGCATCATCGAGTTAGCCCTTTTTGACTACCCGACTTCATACTCTCAAGAAAATCCAGGCATTAAATATTTTTAAACCCGTTTTAATGTTATTTTGCGGAAAAATAATTGGTTTTTCTAATGAAATCAACCGTAGTTTAATTGGTGCATTTGTTGGCTTGAAACGGCAGACGAAAAGGAACAAAAACACTTATGCATCAACCTATTAGAAGCGCATGCGCTTGTATTTTTCAATGATTCCACAAAATTGCTTCTATTCAAGACAGCGCTTCTATTTGTAACTGTAACTGTGCGACCAAAGCGCCCCTGAGCGGACCCTCTTCTCAATCACTTGTCTTAAATAGCGTTGCACTTATAAATTAACCAGAAACGTTTTCTAAATCAGTTTTTCGCGAGGAATTCGAATTTCTTACTTTTAAAATCGTATCTTTTATCTAAAATTACCAAAAATGCAAAACATACAAGTGCGGGAACTTTTGGCGCACACACGTTTCATATACCGACCATTTTTGCGTTTAAAAAAGGGGTAACAGTATGAATTCATTCAATTAATGGAATCAGATGCTTTCTCAACTTTATTCACTGCTTCAGTCATTTTGAGTGTTTTCTTTGGAGAAGTTTAGAGTGATGGTTTGATTTGGTTTCCCATCGCTGTTCTATCTCCTTGTTCTCCTTGTTCTCCTTGTTCTCCTTGTTCGATTTTCTTTTCACATCTCTTTTCCCATTTCCCACTCATTGACTGTCAAGTGGATCCGTGTGAAATGCGAAAACAAACATAATCATCATCATGCTAAGCAAAAGATTTGAAATAGTACAATTCCAAAATTTCTTTAAAGTCGAAGCTAACCAAAATCAGCTCCTATTATTTTGTATCGCTCAAAATGAAAACGCATTCTTTCTAGCGCACTCGATTCTTCATCCATAGCTCTACTTAGTCAAAATGAAGATTTGAGTGTACTAGAAAAGCTGCGTTTACATTTTTGAGCGATACAAGTAGAAGGTTTTTTTCAAAACTCTCAAATCTCCGTTGACTTGGCCACCCATTCAACTTTCTCCGGAATTCTCCTTTCTTTGACCCAAAAGTTTTTCTTTTCCCCAAGCTTTTCTGAGAGATCATTTTGCAAGAAAAGAAGTGGCCAAGAGAGAATTTCTGTGTGGATGAATGGAAAAGAAAGCACCTATTTGCCAAGAGGCTCAGTGCGCGAAACCTGAAACATTGCATCCATCCATTTCTCTCTCACATGCAATGAGAGACCATCTAGTGGACTCTTCATGTTATTCAGCTTATTTCCCACTTATTAGTCGAGTCTGTTGCCTTTGAATGATTACCTTTGATTGCTTTTTGGCCATAATTCTTTTAATGCATCAAATGCTCTTCTTATTTCCGCTATTGTTAGATGCAAATCTATTAGGTTGTCCAGTTATTAGGTTGCAAATCTATTAGGTTGCGTTTTTGAGGGCTTATTCCAAATATTTCTGCAAGTTTGCGTGTAGTTTGTTGAGGATCAATTTCGATCGCCTGTTTAAGTACTGCATCATCGATCGTAGGTGGCCAGATCGTAGGTGGCCAGATCGTAGGTGACCAGATCGTAAGGGGCCAGATCGTAGGTGGTCAGATCGTAGGTGGCCAAAAATTCATTTTCTTCTCGAAATCGTTGAAACCATCGCTGACACTGGCTTTCCGAAATAGCATCTTCCAAAATACTTTCCAAACCATCTCGTTACTTCCGATTGGCCTCTTCTGGTCTTCCGATTGGCCTCTTCTGGTCTCGTGGCAGCCACTCTGTGATCCGTATCATCTATCTGTCGTCTGTCCTTCTGGCCACAGAGCCAGCCCATCTAAGTCATCTTCTTCACTTCCACTGGATCTCTGAGTCTCGAGAGCTGGCGCATATCCGTACTTCTTAGGTCTTGGTCGAGCTGCGTCTTCCTATTGTACCCGAGGAGGTCTTTCAAGGGCTCGATGCGTCGTTCTCAGGGCTCGTTCGGTGGTCTGTGTCGTGGCCCAGATACTTTGTCCGTCTTAGATCGTGTCCGTCTTAGATCTTGGTCTTGGTCGAGCTGCGTCTTCCCATTGTGCCCTAGGAGGTTCCTTTCGAGTAGAGCTACTATAAGTGGTTTTTGTGTGCTCTTTACGTCTATCATTTTTTTGAGATCCCGAAGAGTGACACGGATCTCACCTCAAACAAAAGTCTCATGAGAGATTTTTGAGTGACTTGATTGTGGGCCGTGTTAACATTGATTCAGGCAAAGATTTTTTTGGAAAAATCAAGGGATCAAGGAATCAAGGGACAAAACATTATTACAAAACTCTCCAATGGCATTATCCTCTCAATTTGACTGTTGCTTAAGCGCAATACTTTGACAGGATCCGGAATTTGTAGCAAAAATAAAGCAAAACATTCACGAAAAAGTGATTTTTAAATTGGCTGCTGATTAAACTGAATTAAATATCCAAAAATCGATGTTTTCTTTAAAAACTAATAACGAATTCGAATTCCTCATCCTCGAAAACCCTTGATTGCAAATTTACAGCCCAATTGGCCTCAGGAAAATGCAAAAAGTGCTTTACACAATGATTTGTCCAAATCCCTAAAGAACATTTGATGTTAAAGCTCAAATTTTGAGGCAAAGATAAGGTTTTAGGCTTTTTTTTTGCTTCTTTAGGCTTTAGGCTTTCTTGTATTGAATTTTTGCTTTCTTGTATTGAATTTTTGCTTTCTTGTATTGAATTTTCAATCATTGTTTCAAATTATGATTCCCGAATGTTTAATTAGGGTCATAGGGTGGGGAATGGGGTTGTTTACATGTGTGTGGCTCTATTGCTCACACATGCACTCGAATACTCATCTAAATTGGTCCCATTTGGGATTTGGGTGAATGGGAAAGGGGAAAGGAGAAAAACTGTGAAAATAAGATATGGTAGCTTTTAGATTTTGTGATGAGAAATCGTCTCACAACATTATTGAATATCTTTGCTTTGATCAAAGAATTTGAATGGCAGAACTGAACTGAAGATAAAGCTAAAGGTAAGCTATGACTTTAGCTTGTCTTGGCCTTTAGCTTTTCCCTCTGGAAATATGAACTGAATTGAACGGTCACGTCAAAAATTACGTTCCTGTTTACATTTAATTTACGTCGCTTTTTCGTCTCATTCTCTCCCCCAAATTTCTTTTTAATTTTCGTGAGAATTTGTGTTTGTGGCTTCATTAGTTTCCTATTGACGTACGGTTTTACGACACTGACGCGAAAGTGACGCGGCACGCTACCGTAACCCGCACAAAAGTCCTCCTTTCGCCATTCTTTTCATTTTTGCCTCGCTTTTTCGTCTCATTCTCTCCCCAAATTACTTTGTAATTTGTTTTTTTGATTTTTCGAGAAAACTTTTGTTTGTGGCTTCGTTAGAATCCTATTGACGTACGATTTTACGAGACTGGCGCGAAAGTGGCGCAGCGCGCTTTCTAAAGAGTGGATACGCACCGTACTCCTACTCCGCACATACTCCGCACAAAAGTTCTCCTTTTGCCATTCTTTTCATTTTCCAATTCCATGATGAAATCGTGAAGTTTGCCCGTTTTTTTTATGTCAAATTCTGCATAAGTTTTCTACTCGCTTTTGTAAAATCTATTATGTTTTTGTAGCGCGTTTTAAGTTTCCCTTCCTCCCCACATTTCCTTCCTGTTATATTGTTCCGTGCGTGTTTTCTGTTTAAAATTTTAAAATTGTTTTTGTTTCATTTCTCTCGGCTTCCTTCTACTCCATTATCTTCGAATCTTTTTACGTGATGCATAACTTTAGCTTAACCAATTACTTTTCTACTAAAACATACAAAATCTACTAAATCAAATAAGCGCAATCTTTTTGGGTTTTGTGTCTAATTATTTTCGAAAAAGGATTGGTGAGTAAAGAAGTATGGGGTAAGGCTAAATGGCTACTAACTTTCTCACCTTTTTGGGTTTGGAGTTTTGCTCTCGTTCTTTTGGATTTGATATTTCTTGTCACGCGGTTTCTTTTCTTTTCATCTTCCTGTTTTGTTTCTTTTTGCTGTTTTTATAATGGATATCATTGCCTTTTCATTCTATACTAATAAACCGTAAAATTATAAATCCTATCTACTTTAAACTACCTTTAATGTTCTAAATTCTGTTTAGATAGCTGGTCTAACATTATAGAAAGAATTTGCTAATGTTTGTGTTGCCATCGTCAATCCGTCAATCCGCCCTTATCACGAGCGTTAACCTTATGCTGGATGTTGCGTGTTCTTGTTATGTTGTGAGCATTTTAGGGAAACCCATTTAATCTTTTGTGCTATTCGGCCATTCTGGAACAAAATCATCCCCGATGATAAGGCTAAAGCGGATCACATCCCGAACTGAATATACTGGGGTGAAATATGGGCTGGGACTTAATCCAGATAAGCCGTGATGTGATAGTCGATTGTTTTGCTGTAGCTACTTTGCCTTTCTACAAGGCAAAGTTTCTTGCCTTTCGGCGTTCTCTCCTGCTGTGACCCAATATCTCAATTGATTCCATCGGTTTATGAAAGGAAAGCATAGATGGCAGAAACAGAACACTCACAGTGAGGGGGGACAACAACACGAGAAGAGGCCATCTGTGAAGGAGGACTATTAGGGAAAGGGAAATTGGGTCAAAAGCTCCGCCCATCGCTGCACGCACTATTCTATGATGGACTCTGGACCTAGCCAAGGCAAGCCACGCACCCCTGCACCCAGCAAGGGGTGACCGAGTGGCGACAGTTCAGCCCACTCTCAACGCCTTGGCAAACCTCCAGCTCTCTAGGTCAGCCCAACCCTCCCTCCCCCACTGCCTATTCTAGATCTTTCCCTTATCCCATTCTTTCTTCTCTTTGACCGATTCCTGTCCCTGCCTGCCATTGTCTCAGCCTCTCTAATTACATGCTAACTCTTGCTAGAGCATTAGGTTGGCGAATAAGTTTTTTCGTTCCTTTTCGTATTTCCGTTTAAAAATAACAAATTAATCAATTAACTTATGTTTTGCTCTAAATAAAAAATGTTTATTGTTCAATTTCTCATCTTTGTAAGGCAATTTGGGCTCAGTTTCTAGCAAATTCGAGAGTGAAAGACACGTCCACCAACCTAATCTCTTGCTTGTGCTTTGTACTTTGTTATAGTCAACTTTTCAGTTGTCAACAGTTTTGTGAATGACTCTTAAAACTATCTTTAAAAGCACATAATCCACTACTTGCAACACTTACTGGACAGCTTTAGATACATCCTAGACTCTGCATAGAACAAGCAACACCTCAACGTTTCAGTTAATAAAGTAAAGTAAGGAATGGCAAAGAAAGATTTCCGGGAAGGGGATTGAACCATCGACCTTTTGCTGGGCAGAGCAGTTAAAACTCATCCTAGGCTCTTGAGGGTAACTACCTAGTTGAGGTGTTGCTTGTTCTATGCAGAGTCTAGGATGTATATAAAGCTGTACAGTAAGTGCTGTAAGTAGTAGATCTAACAGCAATTCAATCAGCCAACATCTCTAACAAAGTTCACGATTCTTTGTCTGTCAGTCGAAATTAGCTGAAAGACTTGATTAATGGTTGTTTCGTGGTTCTCTTTTGGGGTAAATTGTGAATCGGGAAGGGTTCCCTGCAGTTTCCCCGATCTTTCCCCCGATCTTTCCCATTGATATCGCAAAACTCCACGTTAAAGTCAAGGCTATGTCCTAGTCAAGGCTAAGCCCAAGCAAGTCTAATCCTTTCTTTCGAAATGATCAAGATAAAGTGCACCAGAAGAGGTGTGTTTACAATGCACAAAGTACGCTCAATCTGTTTCCTAACCTATTTGGCTTTGATCAATCAAATAGCTCAATCAAATAGCTCTTTTTCTCAAGAACAATAAAATATCGAGTCTTTTTTTATTTTCCTCTTTTCCTTTTTTGAATTCTGAATTCGAAATGATCTTCAAACATTCACTTTTTTCTATATTTACTATTGATTTCAACGTTTTTATATATATTAATGTTGTTTTATATATATTAATGTTGATTTTATATATTAAACGATGTTTAATATATAAAATGTTTACATATTACATTACTTTGTACTTGTTTACTTGTTTACATATTACATTTTACGTATTTGACAGTTTAGTTTTAATTTTATAGGACTTTTTGATGTTTTCGTGTTACAGTTTAGTTTTAATGTGAAATGTTTTAATGTTTTAATGTTTTAATGTTTTAATGTTAACTTTTACAGGGCTAGTTGCCGCATTTCCACCGGATTTTTGTCACAACATTTGAAGAACAATATGGTGAGTTGTTTTTACGTTTTGACTCTTTACGATAATAGTAGAGGCAAAGTATGATTCATTTTATGCCACTTTATGCTATTTTATACCACTTTATGCCACTTTATGCCATTTTATGCCATTTTATGCCATCAGTCAGCATTTCCAACAAAGTTCATGATTGTAGTTGTAAGCCTACAAAGCTGGGGCTAAAATTATAGGATGTAAAAGCCAGATTAGGATTCAGTGCTATAAAACTTTGCAAAGCTTCGTTTCTAAACTAATAAGTAGAAACTAAAACTAACGGAGTCAGGATTCGCAGTCAAGATTCGCAGTCAAGATTCGCTTTTCTTAACACCCAGGATTCGACTTTCTTTCTTTTTTCAGTCAGATTTTGAATAGTCCGCGGTTTGCTTTAGTTAGAGCTCCTTAAGAAGCCGTCACACGCTTACACAACGACTGCTTCACAACAGAAATTTTGACAAGAGTGGGACACGAACTTGAGGGGGAAAAGTGCAATAGTTTGGTAGTCTAGCAGACTATCCACTAGACCATCGAAGCAGTTGTTCGGGGAAGGGCTTACTTCTTAAGGAGTCCGAAATTAGCTTATAAGGAGCGAGAAAGGTGATTTTCTATGTCAAATAGAGATTTTCTTTGCTTTGCTCGTGTTTGAGAAGCTTTCTATAAAGAAATATAGCTTTCTATATATAGCTTTCTATATTTCTATAAGATTCAAGATCCCTATGGCGGGCTCTATAAGATGGAGTTGTCAAAAGGAAAAATGCCAGCTTGATTCGGTGCCTTTCCCTTGTAAGAAATGAAAGATTGATTGATTGATCGTTCGTTCGTTCGTTCGTTCGTTCGTTCGTTCGTTCGTTCGTTCGTTCGTTCGTTCGTTCGTTCGTTCGTTCCGTCGTTCGTTCGTTCGTTCGTTCAACGTTCGACAAAGATACACAATCGTTCAACGATCCATCCTTTTAACATTTTTACTCAAATCGATACAATCAACTTCTTTTTCTAGCCCCAGATCATTTTTGGCATTACAAGAGTAGTGGGATGACCCAGAGGCAAGTGAGCGCACCATTCCACTCATTTCCCCATTGGCCATTCCAATTCTCTCACTTTTCTCTATTCTTTCTTTTTCCCGGAATCTTCGATGACCTCTGGGCCTTTTTTGGGATCTCTTCCAGTGACCTTCCACACCAATTCTCTAAAGACTACCCTTGTCTCTAGTAATCTCTAGTTTCTAACCTCCCCTCTCTAACTAAGCTGTTCTCTAGGTGCCCAGGATCTCTGGGTGCCCTTGTCTCTTCTCTTTCTCCACCCTTCTTGTCTATTCGTTTCCTCTTTCTCCCAATCTCTCCAACCAGGGTACTCTAGCCTCTCAAACCCTCTTTCTCAATCCCTAGCTATTGCACTGACCTCTACCCATCTGCTCTCTCTAAAGGACGCCATCTCTGCTTCCAAAAAGGACGCTCTTGGCCCATTGCCAGTCATTTCTTTCCCCTTTCGTCTAAAGAGACACCATTTCAGCCCCTCACCCCTTTACGCCTCTCTTTTCCCTAACACCGTAACTGATTCCCGTTTTTTTTACGCTGAGTCATGGTGAGTTTTAAAATTTTCACTGAATTTCACTGAAAATAGCTTATATTTTTTTGAAATCTGAATTCCTAGGCCCGACAAGCTTCGAGGAGTACATCCCGCAGTCGCAAGAATGGCAGCAAGTCGCCAGCTCGCAGCAAAAAGGTTTGACATGGGATTTTGAGAGGATTTATGTTTCAGCTATCAATTTATATTTAAGCTATCAATTTACATTTAAGCTAACTGTATTAAATTCTTACAGTAACTGTAGCTAACTAATTCTTATCAATTTTGGTACTTATTCTTTTCTCTTTCATCGAAAAGACTGTCTTCTCCTAGCCTTATCCCAGAGAAACCTATCTATTATCTAGTGAATGGTGAATTGGAGTAAGTTTTCGTGAAAGAAGACTGTAAAAAACTAACTTTTCGGATTAGTATCGGATCGTATTTCGGATCGTATTTAGTATTGATGAGTACAGTGGCTTCTCTTGAGTCAAGTGCTTTCTAAAAGCTACCTAAAAGCTCTAAAAGTTTGGGGGAAAGTTACCGTACGGTAAAGCTAGCTTTACGTAAAGTTAGCTTTACGTGAAGCTAGAACTACCGTACCCCTACCGTTAGCTAAAGCTACCGTACTCTATCGTAAACTAAAGCTACCGTATCCCTATAGTAAACTAAAGCTACCGTACTCTATCATAAACTAAAGCTACCGTACTCTATCGTAAACTAAAGCTACCGTACTCTATCATGAACTAAAGCTACCGTACTCTATCGTAAACTAAAGCTACCGTACTCTATCATAAACTAAAGCTACCGTACTCTATCATAAACTAAAGCTACCGTACCCTATCGTAAACTAAAGCTACCGTACCCCTACTGTACCTCTACCGTACCTCTACCATATTCTTTTTATTGTAAAATCTAAATCAACTGAACTTGTTATATCGCTGAAAAGCTCGAGTTTAGTTTAAGCAAGATTTAGCTAGCTAAGATTACGGTAGCTTTAAAAAACGATTAAATAAAGAAAACTTTTCACCCTTACCAGTCCAAAGAATTTCTTTTTTCGTTCTGTAAACAGAGATGAGATATAAAGCCAAAAGTTTGTCCCCAGGGGTAGTTGGAACAAGGACAGATCAAAAACTTGTGCCCCGCCGGGACCCGAACCCGCGACCTTTCGCTGACCGAGTAACTGTGCTAACCACTACACCACAGGCAACTTGATTTCCCTTACTTCAGTGGGGGTTAACTTCCCTCCTCTCTGGACGAGACGGTTCGTCGTCTGTGTCGTCCAGGGAAGAGGGAAGTTAACTCCCTCTAGAGTAAGGCGGATCAAGAGCGTTGTGGTGTAATGTTTAGCAGAGTTATGCGATGGGCGAGAGGTCGCGGGTTCCAGTCCCGGCGGCGCCTTGGTCGCAGAAACGATTGATCGTTTGTCTAAAAGTCTCTATTTTGTACTGATCTTGTCACTTTTTTGGCTACAAATCATAAAGAACCTTGATTTAAATCTAATTATTCAATAAAGTACACAAAATTTTCGATTCAGTCACCGGCCAAGCGCACTACATCGAAATCGCCGGCCCGTAGCCGCTCGACCAGCCGTGGAAGAGCTACACAAAAGGTTTGCGAGTTAAAATGGATTCAATTTCTTTAAAATTTATTCTATTTCTTATCTAAGATAGTCTTTTATCTTTAATAGATAGATTTTCTTTGTTTTAACCTTTACTTCTAGTCATTTGCAGTCATTGGAATTGGCCTAATGAGCTAATGACTTTCGAGAGCTTCTTTAGGAGTTAAAATTAAAGTTATAGCTTTAAATTAACTAAAAATCGTATAAATAACATAGCAGATAGATATAAAATATCAAATAGGACTAGATAGATATCAAGTTTTAAGCAAAAAATAAGATCCTGACTGATTTAGTTATAGCTTTATTCTTTGAAGGGATTTGAAGAGTTTTTGACAGGCTAAAAGGTCAAAAAAAGGTTTATTTAGAGTATTGGAACCGTATTGGAACCGTATTGGAACTGTAAAAGGAACCGTATTGGAACCGTATTGGAACCGTAAAAGGAACCGTATTGGAACCGTAAAAGGAACCGTATTGGAACCGTAAAAGAAACCGTATTGGAACCGTAAAAGGAACCGTATTGGAACCGTATTGGAACCGTAAAAGGAACCGTATTGGAACCGTATTGGAACCGTAAAAGGAACCGTATTGGAACCGTAAAAGGAACCGTATTGGAACCGTATTGGAACCGTAAAAGGAACCGTATTGGAACCGTATTGGAACCGTAAAAGGAACCGTATTGGAACCGTAAAAGGAACCGTATTGGAACCGTAAAAGGAACCGTATTGGAACCGTAAAAGGAACCGTATTGGAACCGTAAAAGGAACCGTATTGGAACCGTATTGGAACCGTATTGGAACCGTAAAAGGAACCGTATTGGAACCGTATTGGAACCGTAAAAGGAACCGTATTGGAACCGTAAAAGGAACCGTATTGGAACCGTATTGGAACCGTAAAAGGAACCGTATTGGAACCGTAAAAGGAACCTTATTGGAACCTAAATAAAAGGATAAGGATAAGAATAAGAATAAGAATCAGAATATTATAATATGATTATATTATTATATTATCACATTATCAAATGCGTCCCACCTCGAATTTTTAGCGTTCCACCTCGAAAACCCGGACTCCATCAAAGACGAGAACCCCAGCAAAGACTCCGGCAAAGACTCCAGCAAAGACTCCGGCCAAAACTCCGGCAAAAAAAGTGACCCCGGCTCGCTCAGCCAGCAGGTATTATTAAATATCTAAAGCTATTATATTAATATCGAGTTTTAGTTTTAGAATCCCAATTTCCAGATCGACTTCTCGTTCTCGTACCCAGCAAACCCCGAGCGCTTCGTCGGTGCAACGACAAGCGCACACCGACTCGGCATTCGACGACATTCGACAACGTGTGCAACGCATTAGAGAGGTTCGAAGAAGCATATAGATATTAGATAGCATAGCATATTAGATCAAAATACTGTTGAATAAGTTCCCATTTAGGAAATCGTTGAAAATCTAGTCTCTAGCCTGGTTTTGACATTTGATACGCGTCCCGCCATTTTGCCATTGGCAATCTAACTTTAAGCTCAAATTTCTTGGTGTTGGGCTGTTCAATTTAAATGGTTTTTATACTAATCGATAGAGAAAGACTTGGCTGATAAGCCCCGCCCCTTTGCCATTGGCAATCTAACATTGGCAAAACTTTGTACTCAAATTTCTTGGTGTTGGGCTGTTCAATTTAAATAGTTTTTATATCAATCGATAGCGAAAGACTTGGCGCATCTAATGATATTAAAAATATATAAATTGGACAACCCAACACCAAGAACGCTGCCGATAAAGTTGGACAGCTCAACACCAGGAAATTTGAGCTTAAAGTTAGATTGTGAATGGCAAAGGAGGCGTATGTCCCATAGGCAAAGGAGGCGTATGTCCCACAATCCTTAAGCCTATCTAGTCATGTTATTGTAGCATATTTGACCTATTAGTTGGCTATTCTGAACTAGTTTAAAGCTAAGATAGAATAATTAAATCTAGATTTACTAGAATCTAGACTATAGAGTTAAGCAAACATGAAAAAACCTCTCTTCTACGCTGTGCTTTAACACAAACGCAAACTTTCTGGTGTATCGAAAAGCGTGCGCTAGAAAGGAGCAAAGTTAAAGCAAAGAAGTAAAGCAGTAAAGCAAAGAAGAGTGCTTTGGCTGATGGCTTTGGCTGATGGCTTTGGCTGATGGCTTTAACTAATTGCTTAGACGATCTGCGAGAGCTTAAATGATAATTAAATAACATCTACTTGTTATAAAACTAAAAATTTCTCCATCTAAAGTTAGAAAGAAGTTAATTATTAGCAAATTAGCAAGAAAAAGTCGATTTATGCGAAATTTTAGGCAGCTCGCTTGGCCCCAGCCAATTCCTCATCGCCACCCCGTTCCTCGTCACAAACAAAGAAGAATGGATCGTGCTCGATTCTCGGGAAACTCTGCCCACTCACCTGGTGCAAGAACAACGGCCTCTGCCAGTACATCACTGCCAATCAGAAGGTGCGTTTGGATAAGTGCTTTTGATAGCCTGAATTGATTGCTTTGATAGCCTGAATTGAATCAATTGAGTTGAATCAATTGAATTGAATCTATCAACATCAATTGAATTGAAGTCTATTGAAGCATTAGGATAGCTAAATAGCTAAATAGCTTAGCTGGGATAGCTAAATAGCTTAGCTGTTAGCTGGGATAGCTAAATAGCTTACAATAACCTTAGCCAGTTATTCCGTTATCGGTTTAGAGCACTAGCGATTATCCAGGAAACTTCTTACCGCTTCCAATCGCTTCCAATCAACTTATATAGGACACGTCAGCTAAAAATTTGATTTAAAGCTTGTTGAGTGAGCTAGAGAGGTTCAAACTAGTGAGCTAGAGAGGTTGGGTTGTCACGAGCGCTTTCTGCCTAACTTTGATCTTTCGATTAGATTAGAAGTTCGATTGGAAGCGGTTAGAAGTTTCCTGGATAACGGCTAATGATCTAAAACCTTTAAAGTTTAATCGCAAGTGAAAACTTGCTCTAATCATTGAATTCAATGCAATTGAATAGCTAAATAGCTTACAATAATCTTAGCCAGTTATTCCGTTATCGGTTTAGACCAATTGAATTCAATACAATTACCGTATTCTCTCTAGTAGCGCACCTTAAGCCTCGCCTAATTTCCTCAAAATCTCGAGAGCCGCTGATCAGAACCTATTGATGTGCGGTCGGAAAATGTAGCTGACGATGAGATCTAGTGAGGGATTTGAGTGTTGAGCTTCTGCAGCTTCTGCAGCTTCTGCAGCTTCTGCAAAAGCTTCGAAAATAGTCACCAACTCGGCTCGGCCAACTATTAGACAGAATACGGCCAACTATTAGACAGAATAATCGAATTCCATTCTTCCAGGACCTCTTGGCCTCAGTGTTCCTATTGTTGTTCATCGTCGGCCTCATCTATTTCATCTTGTACACCGATCCGCTCAAAGCTCGTCAATGGTTGGAGCGACTTCCGGCGAATACGGCCACTTTCTGGAAGAATAAAGTCGTGCCTAAAGTGAAATTCTGGTAGATGGATCTATTATTGGTTCAGTTCATTCAAGAAAATTCAAGAAAATCAAGAAATTCAAGAAATGTTTCAAGAAAAATCTCTCCTAGATATTTGATGTGTTTTTTGATGAGAAATTTGCATTTGAGAGGCGAAATTTGAGATAAAAGTTGCAACAAATTTACGACAAAAGTTGCGTAAGATTTGCGACGAAATTTGCGACAGATTTGCGACAAAATGGCGACTACAGTACCCGCATAAAGTATTCAGTTAAATTTTTTCAGTAAATTTTTCAGTTAAATTTTTTCGGAAATTTGTGGCTACAGTACCCGTACTTTTGCGACGAAATTTGCGACAGATTTGCGACAAAATTGCGACTACAGTACCCGGATAAAGTATTCAGCTAAATTTTGTCGCAAATTTTGTCAGAAATTTTGTCAGAAATTTTTGTCAGAAATTTTTGTCAGAAATTTTGTCGCAAATTTTGTCAGAAATTTTGTCGCAAGTTTGCGACTACAGTACTCGGGAAGGAATCAGCTAACAAGAATCTTTTCTTCCAGGAAATTAACCATATTCAGTCTAGAAGTTTTTTCAGGTGTACCTTGGTGGAATACTGTACTTTTATAGTATCCCTGTGGTTTTGAACTGTAAGGAGTACTGTAACGTACTGTAACGAGCCTTTACAGTAACCCTGCTGTCTTTTCTTTGCTAGTTTCCCCAATTTCATGCAAATTTCATGCAAATCTCATGCAAATTCCGGCTCAAATGCAAATTCCGTCAAATCAAATGCAAATTTCCGTTTAAATTTCCCACTGTTAGACTACGAATTTTCCCAAAAAATTCCTAGTCTTTTCTCCGAAAATTTTCCAACGATTTCTCAACGTTTTAGGCGGTGAATTGAATATTTTTGTGTTTCATGAAGTGTTTTTTTATCTTTTAAAATGTACACCAAAAGCTTTCAAATCGTTTTTTTGACTGCCAATTTTAGCCTTTTTTTTGCGGTAGGCTACTTTGCGTCAAATTTTTTAGCGCAACTTGCCATAACTTTCTTTTGAGTGGGCCAATCTTTATGATTTTGATGTCATTTTGTAGATCTCAAAAAGTGCAACAAAATGACACCAAAATCATAGAGATTGGTCCACTCAAAAGAAAGTGTTATGACGAGTTGCGCAAATTTGCAGTTGTAAGTTGCAAAAAATTTGACGCAAAGTAGCTTATCCAAGCTTTTTTTCTGTGGAAAGGTTTCAACTTTGAAAATGAGACGAAATGACTGCAGTACAGTACTTTTACAGTACTTTTTAAATGTACTTTTAATGTACTTTTAATGTACAGTACTTTTAATCTTATAATATTCAAAATTGAAACTTTTCTAGATGTTTTCTATGGTTTTTATATGTTTTCTGTTTTCTATATGTTTTTTATATGTTTTTTATATGTTTTTTATATGTTTTTTTATATGTTTTCTATGCATTTGTATATATTTTTGGTCACTTTTCTTCCCCTAACTTCGAGAGAGACGAATTCGCGGCATGGACCCCGTTTTCCGTCCCGTGTGAGATCGAGATTTGAGTGCGAATTTTGAAATGAAACAAACGGCATCAACAAACGGCATGGCGCAGCTGGTTAGCCAGCGTTTTACCAGCCATCTGCCAACCAAACACCCCGGGTTCGAGTCCCGCTCGTGCTTTTCTTTTCTTTTCTTTTCGCTTTTCTTTGCAATCTCAAATCTCGATCACTAAAAATATACGTTTTCACCCGTGCTGCGAATCGGCTCCTCATCGACCACTCTTCTGCTCTTCTGCTCGTTTCTTTATCTTTTGTTTCTACTTTCCCCATTTTCCCTACTTTTTTCTGATTTTGCATTTCTCATGCACATGTCAGGGACATTTTTCACAATTCACAATTATTTTTTTCCTTTCATTTTTTTTCAGCCTCATAACATTGATCCCAGAAAGGTTCAAAGCAATTTTTTTTCTTTCGTATCTCTTCATTTGTCTTTGTTTTGTAATGATCAGGTTTTTGTAATAAATATCTCCGAAAAAGAAGAAGAAAAAGATCTGAAATCATATGGGAATGATTTTATTTTTATGAAATTGACGAAATACGTTTAGAATCTGTCAAAGCCGCAAATTGGCATCGAATGAAAATGTTTCAAATCTTCGAAAAGGCTCAAATTTATCAATATAGTCGTTTTGAAGCTATTTGGCTGCTCAGAAAGCTGTTAGACTGTCTAGAAAGCTGTTAGGCTGCTCAGAAAGCTATTAGACTGTCTAGAAAGCTGCTAGGCTGTCTAGAAAGCTATTAGGCTGGCTAGAAAGCTATTAGACTGTCTAGAAAGCTATTCGGTTGCTCAGAAAGCTATTAGCTTGGTAAATATGAAAGGTTATTTTTTTGATCATTTTTAACATAACAGAAAAATTTATTTAAGCACTTTCAAAATCAAATGTATTCACCACAAGCATTAATAACTTCTTTCCAACGTTTCCCCAAATCACGAATACCGTCCTCGTAAAATTAAAGATTTTTAGAGGCAAAATAGTTGGCAACCCAATTTTCTATGTCTTGCTTTTGTTTGAACTGCTGTCCAGAAACTGCTTGTTTCATTGACCGAAAGAGATGGTAATCCGATGGGGCTAGATCAGGGCTGTATGGTGGGTGTGGAAGAAGTTTCCAGCTCAACTTGTCGATTTGGTCGTGGACGATCTTTGAAATGTGAGGCCTAGCATTGTCGTGAAGAAATCTGACCTTCGATGGATCGATCCTCTTTTTCCTCAATGCTGGATCGACTCGACCCATTTGTTCTGCATAAAGTCTTCCGTCAACAGTGTCTCCTTTATCTAATATTTCCAAATGAGCCAATCCCTTAGCATTCCACCACACACAAAGCCTAACTTTTTCGGAGGCTTCGGGATAGAATGAGAGGTCTGCTTCGAACTCAGCCACTGTCCATAGAGTTGAATATTTTCATACGAAAGCCAAGTCTCATCAGATGTCAAAAAATACTTCCAAAAGTCACGATGGCTAGCTTTACGTAGAAGAACAGAGCTCAAGGTGACTCGTGTGACTTTGGGGGCATCAGTGAGGTCGTGGGGGAACCATTTCCCGCTTCGATATGATTTCCCAAGAACGTGTAAATGGTAATATGAGTGCATCCGAACTTTTCTGCTAATTTTCTACACTTTTGCGATGGATCCAAGTCGACCTCGTTCAGTAACAGCTGATCGTCCAAAGTAATCGGCGGCTTTCCATGTGGTGCATCTTCCAATGACTCGTTTCCCGTTTTGAAGCGATCGTACCAAACACAACATTGTTTGTAAGTAAGAGCAGCTTCTCCAAAAACAGTACAAATGTTCTGATGGCATTCCGTAGCTTTCTTGTTTAACTTGAATTCAAAGAAAATGGCGGCCCTGATTTTAAATTTTTGGTTATCCATCTTTGCCGAGCTGAAACAATACAAATATTGTTCAAAACAAAAATGTTTTTGCAAAAAAAACATGAGCACATTTTGGCATATTATTGAGAAAAATCCTAGACAGGGAATGTTCTTCGTAACGACAGGGCAATATTTTTTGTAAAAAATAACCTTTCATATTTACCAAGCTAATATTAGACTGTCTAGAAAGCTATTAGACTGTTTAGAAAGCTGTTAGACTGCTCAGAAAGCTATTAGACTGTCCATTAGATTGTTTATTGATCTAATAAACAATCAAATGATTCAGAAAATCTTATAGAAAAGAGATGAACAGCTTAAAGATCTCGAATTTGCGCTGAAAGTGACTTAAAAAGATGGGAAATTGATCGAAATTGACTTGAAAAGATGGAAATTGAACAATAAACACTTTTTATTTAGAGAAAACCATAGATTACCTTATTATTTAGAGAAAACCATAGATTACCGTAAAGATTCTAATAGAAGAGCATAGTCTAAGTTTACTTACAAACAAACGCTCAGATCTCGACACCAGTACGTTTCTTTCTACGCGTTGAGGCATCAAATTAAAATAGAGAGAATGGGTGATTTTTTGAGATATAACACAAATCTTTAGCTTTAACCAGCGCTTAAAAAAAATGATTGAAAAATGATGAAAAATCGGCTTCTTTTGGCCACTTTTCTCTTTTCCGACGTTTCCGCGCCAAACGTCGGAAACTACCGTAACCCAACACCATAAAACGACCCCGCCACGAAGAATTTTTCAGTCTTTTCTTTTCATTTATTTTCTTCCTTTTCGCATTTTTTTGCCACTTTTCTTTTGATTTTCTTCATTATCAGATATACCGTATTTCTTCGAATAGAAGACCGGGTAAAGAGTTTCATCGCGTACTCCTGCGTAGCAGCCCTTTTTAAAATTTCTTTTCTGCATAAAAGCTTTCAATGAAGTGCTATAGGGCTGGAAAATGACTCAAAAATCTGTTAGCTTATGTGGTATTTTGGAGCCATTTTCCAGTTCTATAGCACTTCATTGAAAGCTTTTATGCAGAAAAGAAATTTTAAAAAGGGCTGCTACGCAGGAGTACGCGATGATACTCTTTACCCGGTCTTCTATTCGAAGAAATACGGTAAGCCATATTTTTAGCATTAACTAGCGCTTAGAAAAAAAATTGATTGAAAAATGATGAAAAATCATAATTAGAGTGGGTTCCTGTTGGTTAAATAAATTAATTGGTTAAAAATTTGCATTTAAAAATTAACGATAACGATAATAAAATAAAATTAACGAACTAACCAAGAATTGACCAGAGAAAATGGGACCATCACGGTTGCGCCGCGAAAATTGCGCTGTAAGCCAAAAACGAAATTTGCGCCGAAAGACCGAAAGCGAAAATTGCGCTGCCGAATTTTGTGCAAGTTTTTTTTTGCGCCACCGAATTTTGCGCTGCGAAATTTGCGCCGCAAGACCAGAGGCGAAAATTGATCTTTTCCGTTATAAATTTGCAAAATTAGATTAAAAATTCTGCTAAATTTGCATTCTTTCATGAAAATGAACAAGGAAAATCACAGAAAATTCATTCTTTTGCTATTTCCTGACAGCGCAGTGGATTCATTTTTCATTTAACGACTACCGAGGCCGATGTAAACTCGTTCTTTCAACAACACCGCATCTTGCTTACTACTAGCACATGCGCCAACCCTCGATGATATGAAACTAGCGCTCAAGCTTGTGATAGCTATCAGAAGCTCGCTATCAGAATCCCCGATGGAGATGTGACAAAACGTTGTGCCGGACAGCGATCGGCCTGGCTCATGGATGCAGGGCACCAAAATCCCGTTTCTCACAATCCTACGATCTATGAATGGACTCAACAATGAACCTCGATCAACTATTTTGCGAAAGGATTGGAGATGAATCACAAGACGACTTTCGACTTCAACAACTACAAAAGGGATCTTTGTGTGGAATATCTGGTGAACAAGCCGAGCGAAAAGATTGGAGGATCCAATCGAATCGTCAAGGTGGACGAGTCTCTCTGCTCGAAGCGAAATGCGAATATGGCAGCGATCCCTTTTGTAGTTGTTGAAGTCGAAAGCCGTCTTGTGATTCATCTCCAATCCTTTCGCACAATAGAATAAGCAAGTGTGGATATTTGGAGTTTGCCGATTAAAAATTAAACGATTAAAGATTAACCATTTTTTAAGCAAATTAGGTAAATTTAACCAAGAGGAGCTCACTCTAATCATCATCTTTTTTGAGTCAGGTCTACAGTAAAGCCAAGCCAGCTTCCGGCTTTGGACGCTGGATTTGCCAGATACAATGCCAGATACAATGCCTAAGCCTAAGCCTAAGCCTAAGCCTGAGCCTAAGCCTAAGCCTAAGCCTAAGCCTAAGCCTAAGCCTAAGCCTAAGCCTAGCCAGAATTGCTGATAACAAGCCTGAGTACGGTAATACTGAATGTCTGAATAGTTAAAAGTGTTTTAAATAGGTTTAAAGCAAGCAAAAAAAACACTTTTAAAGGCTTATTTTTGTCAACTTTTAAGTTAATAGCTAGCAAAGTGATTCGAACTTTGATTATTCTACATTATTCTATATGATTTGATTATCCTATATTATTCTATATGATTTGATTATTCTATATGGTTATTCTACATTGATTATTCTACTTAAAGTAGAGAAAATTGAGGTTTATAACTGGTAGAATTTAGTGCAAATTGTCACAAACAATCAAGAAAATGATTTTAAATGATTTTAAATGATTTTAAATGATTTTAAATGATTTTAAATGATTTTAAATCTTTAAATCTACAAATCTACAATTAGCAGTAATCTACAGTAATCTTTTATCTTTCTGTTAATCTTTAAAACCTTTAAAAACCTTTAAAACCCTTTAAAAGCTCAGAGATTGAAAAGAGAAATTTTTCGAATCATTCGATCATTTTTTTCAATCTTTTCCCTCTCTCCTTTCCTCAAATCTTTTCTTGATAAGATTCTTTCTTTTCTTCTTTTTTTCTTTCCGTTTTCTTTTCATTTACTTTTCATTTTCTTTTCCATTTTTTCCTAATGACCTCTGCCAGCAAAAGAAATCGTCTCAAGAAAAATCGACGAATTGAACCCGACAAAATCTTGTCACTTTCAATTGAAACTTTTAGGCTTTCCATAAAAAATTATATAAAAATCTATAATCTAAAATATCCTTTCTTTCTTCCCTTCTTTCTTCCTTCCCTTCTTTCTTCCTTCCTTCCCATCTTTCCCTTCTTCCTTCCTTCCTTCCCTTCTTTCTTCCTTCCTTCCCTTCTTTCTTCCTTCCCACTTCCCTTCTTCCTTCCTTCCTTCCCTTCTTTCTTCCTTCCTTCCCATCTTTCCCTTCTTCCTTCCTTCCTTCCCTCTTTCCTTCCTTCCTTCCTTCCCACCCCCCCCCCCCCCCCCCCCACTCCCCCCCCCCCCCCCCCCCTCCTTCCTCCCTTCTTCCTTCCTTCCTTCCCATCTTTCCTTCCTTCCCTTCCTTCCCTTCTTTCTTCCTTCCTTCCCATCCTTCCCTTCTTCCTTCCTTCCTTCCCTTCTTTCTTTCCTTTCTTTTTCAATTTGAATTTCTTTTTCATTGAATCATACCGCGTTTTGACTGTACTTTTTGCTTGTAAACGCTCCCTATCTAGCACACGTTATCCCCTTATTCTCCAGCTTTTATCTGTAAAAAGTGCGCCAGAAAGCATGCGTTTACTAGCAGAGAGCCAGAGAGCATAAACTTACTCTATTTTTGCCTTTTTCTTCGGCTTTTTGCACTTCAAAGCGTGACCAGGCTGCCGTAACCGTAACAGTTTATATTGGGTTGATGGAAAAGTCCTTTCCGATTTTTTGGGAGAGTACCTTTGTCGCATTTTGACGTTTTATAGCTCATCCTAAAGCTGAATTCAAGACGGATCGATTGGTAAAAACCGTTTTGAGATATCTCTTTTCTAAAAGTTTTTACAGCTATTTTAGTAAAGGGCGGCAGAGCCAAAAAAGCCAAAAAATGGCTGTTTTCACGTTTCGTTAGTTTTCCGTGCAGAAACCTAGGCTAAAAACATGTTTTTCGTGATCAGCGTCAAAAATAACCTCTAGACACGCGATCGCGAATGAGAAAAACGAAGGAAAATCGCGAAAAGCGACGGAAAGGCTATTGATCTGAGGGTCACTGGTTCGACTTCCACCGGTGACAATATTTTTCAAAAAACTTTTTGCTAAGATTCTGAAAATGCGTGTCTAGGGGTTATTTTTGACGCTGATCACGAAAAACATGGTTTTAGCCTAGGTTTCTGCACGGAAAACTAACGAAACGTGAAAACAGCCATTTTTTGGCTCTGCCGCCCTTTACTAAAATAGCTGTAAAAACTTTTAGAAAAGAGATATCTCAAAACGGTTTTTACCAATCGATCCGTCTTGAATTCAGCTTTAGGATGAGCTATAAAACGTCAAAATTCGACAAATTTAAGGGCATCTCCCAAAAAATCGGAAAGGACTTTTCCATCAACCCAATAAATGCTAAATTAGGATTTCAAATCAAACAATAAACATAAAGCTTATAAGAATGAAATCTATGAAAAGAAAACGAGTTACGGTCAGGGCTCGGGCAGCTCAATCAGCTCAATCAGCTCAATCAGTTCGGAAAAAAGCTAGCTCAAATTCAAAACTAAATTCCAGCTCCACAAAATGCAACGTGTTCAGCAACTTCGCTCGCATTTACCGAAATCTTTGGTAAGCTCAAAAAAAAGCAATTAGAAATCTTTGCTTTCGATACAAACTTTCGATACAAACAAATATTCTAGGTAACATTCTACAAAAATCAGCTAGTGATCACTCGAGGCGAGCGCCAGTTTTTGTATGACGCGGACGGGAAGAAATATCTGGATATGTTCGGCGGGATTGTCACCGTTTCGGTTGGACACGCGCATCCGTTTGTTTTGAAACTTACTTGCTATTTCATCGAAATTCTGTCAAAATCAGATCGGATTCAATTCAATAAAGACTTTTTCCGATCCAATCATCAGACAAGAGAATCCCAGCAGATCCCCGACATTTTTTGGCTAGAAATAGAATGTTTCTGATGCAGAATTTCACGGTGATTCCGAATCTGTAATCAGAATTTCCTAAAGTCTCAAGCAAAAAAAAGATATTAAACCTCTTCTTTTCGTCTCATTTTTTTGCAGGCGCGAAATAAGATCCTTTTTTACGAGGTCCTGCCAACTGCCTCAATTTCCTAGTGGTTAGTGCGCTTGTGTCACAGGCGGACCGGGGGACTTACTTGCTATGTAATCTTTTTAATTTAATATTTTTTAATATTTAATATCTTAATATTTAATCTTCTTAATCTAATCTGCTATTTAATCGAAATAATTTTCAACGCTGATTCCAAAAAACATCGTTTCAGCACAGGTTTCCATACAAAAAAACAAATAAAGTTCATTTTTTTGAAATTTGGAATCAAAGGCACCTCAGTAAAACGGCTGTAAAAACTTTGAAAGTTGATGAATCGATAAACGGTTTTTTCCATTCAATTCGCTAGATAATTAGCTTTCGAATGAGCTATTACACGATGAAATTCGATAGGTTTAAGATCCAAAGAATCGGCGGGAACTTTCACCAGCCTAATAATAAAGTGAAGGAATTGGCAGATTTCTGGAGAGACGGATTTAACCCTCGATCTGTCGCTTGACGAGCACTGACGCTTGACGAGTCTTTAGCCTAAGCCTAGTCTCTAGCCTAAGCCTAGTCTCTAGCCTAAGCCTAGTCTCTAGCCTAAGCCTAGTCTCTAGCCTAAGCCTAGTCTCTAGCCTAAGCCTAGTCTCTAGCCTAAGCCTAGTCTCTAGCCTAAGCCTAGTCTCTAGCCTAAGCCTAGTCTCTAGCCACTGAGCTATCCAGTACCTGAATTTGTGAAGAGAAAGTGGGGAAGACAAGAGAGAAGAAGAATGAAATCCCGACAAAAACCATTTTGTGTGTGGCCATTCCAAGTCCGTGGCTGATTGGCTAAGAGCTTTGTATCTTAGTCAGGAGGTTAAGGGTTCAATCGCAGCTAGATTATTGATATTTTAAATATCGTAGCCGTTTACGAAATTCAGCCGATTGCGAATCATTCGTTAACGGCTAGCGGTTAAAGAATGATTCGTTAGCGGCTGGTTTTTGTAAGGGGCTACGACATTTTTAGAAAAGCAATAATCTAGCTGGGATTGAACCCTTAACCTCCTGACTAAGATACAAAGCTCTTAGCCAATCTTAGCATCAACATATAGATGGGTGTTTTCGTCCGCAGAATTAGGGCTTAGGGGTTGTCCTTAGGCTCAGGCTTAGGCTGAGATTTAGGCTCAGGTTCAGGCTCAGGCTGCGACTTAGGTTCAGGTTCAGGTTCAGGTTCAGGCCTAGGTTCAGGCTTAGGCTCAGGCTTAGGCTCAGGTTCAGGTTCAGGCCTAGGTTCAGGCTTAGGCTCAGGCTTAGGCTCAGGTTCAGGTTCAGGCCTAGGTTCAGGCTTAGGCTCAGGCTTAGGCTCAGGTTCAGGCTCAGGCTGAGACTTAGGTTCAGGCTCAGGTTCAGGTTCAGGCCTAGGTTCAGGCTTAGGCTCAGGCTTAGGCTCAGGTTCAGGCTGAGACTTAGGTTCAGGCTCAGGTTCAGGTTCAGGCCTAGGTTCAGGCTTAGGCTCAGGCTTAGGCTCAGGTTCAGGCTCAGGCTGAGACTTAGGTTCAGGCTCAGGTTCAGGTTCAGGCCTAGGTTCAGGCTTAGGCTCAGGCTTAGGCTCAGGTTCAGGCTCAGGCTCAGGCTCAGGCTTATGCTTTGTTTGTACCACATTATTCTTTGAATAGTTGCATTTGTAAACCCATAAAGAGTTTTTCCGTCTTCTAAACATCATAAATAAACATAAAGTTAGCAAAACGCGTTACTCGCTTTTCAGGAAAGTGAACGCGGCGCTGAAAAAGCAAGCCGATCAACTCTGGCACACTACATCGATCTATCATACGGTGCCCGTGTATGAGTATGCAAAACATCTCACATCAACACTACCAGAACATCTTAAGGTAAACGAAAGTTAAGCGGCTTAGTTTAAGTGTATTTACCTTGTTTATTTATTTATTTATTTATTTATTGATTGATTAAAATTGATTAAGTAATTTTAACACTGAAAAATCGCCAAATCTGTAGAAGAGCCTAGAATTCGATTAGAATAAAGACGCTACCATTTTTTAGGTCTGTTTCTTTGTCAACTCGGGCTCGGAGGCAAACGATTTAGCGCTTGCGCTTGCTCGTGTGCACACTGGACGTTTCGATGTGTTGACGATGAGAAATGCGTATCATGGGATGACACAAACGATCTTTGGAGCTACAAATCTCGGTGAGGAAATAGGAATTAATGAGCCAGCAATCCTTCATTAAATTAATGATCTTTCTTCTTGACAGGCACCTGGAAACAGCCAATGCCATCCGGCTTCGGCATTTTGAAAGCGATGAACGCCGACCCGTACGCTGGGCCGTGGGGTGGAAAAAATTGTCGGTAAGTGTGAGTTTTTGGTGGTGTAAGTCTCAGTTTTGTGGCTGATTACAGTTTGCTGGAGCTAGTGGGAAACAGTAAACAGAAACAGAGACGGATTACATTGTTACAAAAGTACTTTTGTAATCTGGGAGAAATCTCAGAAAAAATTAGCTGAAGGAAATGCTATTGCATTGCAGTATGAAGCTCTACTGCAGCCCTGTACAGGCTACTGCAGCTCTGTACAGGCTACTGCAGCTCTGTACAGGCTACTGCAGCTCTGTACAGGCTACTGCAGCTCCATACAGGCTACTGCAGCTCCGTACAGGCTACTGCAGTTCTATACAGGCTATATTCAGTGACTCTCCGTGTCAACCGCGTCGCGATTGTGACTGCACCCAGGGACAGTGCAAAGCTTCGGACAAGTTAGTACAAAACATTTGCATCAGAAACTAGGCTTTAAATTTGATCAATTCAGATATGTCGATCAATTTTTGGAAACATTGAAGTTCGATTTCCCGGTTTCGTCTGGACCGGCGGCCTATTTAGTGGAAAGCGTTCAGGGAGTCGGTGGAACGACGCAATTCCCGAAAGGGTAATTCAAATTAAACTAAACTTGCGTCAAAGTTGGGTAATTGTAAGCAAACATTTACTACAATTCATTCATTTACTAGCGAATTTGCATTCGCAATGACTAAACTGAGTTTAAGAGGGAAATTTTGGCGTTTACTCAAAATCCCTTTGATCTTCGCTGATCCGTTGATCTCACCGCCAAGCACCTGATCTTGCCAGTCAACCCTTTGATCTCACCGCCAAGCATCTGATCTTGCCAGTAAACCGCTGACCTCACCGCCAAACATCTGATCTTGCAATCAACCCTTTGATCTCACCGCCAAGCATCTGATCTTGCCAGTAAACCGCTGACCTCACCACCCAGCATCTGATCTTGCCAGTAAACCTGTGATCATCTGATCTTGCCAGCAAACCTTTGATCTCACCGCCCAACAACTGATCATCCCAGTAAACCTTTGATCTCACCGCCAAGCATCTGTTCTCACAAATTCAGTTATTTCAACTTTACTCAACAACTATTAAAGACTTTTCAATTCTGATTTAACAGGCGAAACAGCCTTAGTCGATTACCGTATTCTCTCTAATAGTAGTTGCACCCCAGCGAGCCGAGTTGATGGCTATTTTACGGTTTCGAAGCTTTTGCAGAAGCTCAACACTCAAATCCCCCACTAGATCTCATCGTCAGCTACATTTTCCGACCCCACATCGATAGGTTCTGATAAGCGGTTCTCGAGATTTCGAGCAATTTAGGCAACGCTCATGGTGCACTACTATTAGAGAAAATACGGTAGATATTGTCTCAAAAAATCAGATCGAAACAGCTACTGGAAGTCGAGTTATGTGAACGGACAAGCACACAAACAAAATTTGCGTCTTACAGAGTGACCAGAACCCAGAGAAACCTTTTTGACTCAATGCAGATAGACTAAAATACTTTGAACAATCGTTGATTAGGTCTTAATAGCTAAAAACGAAAAGATCTAGGTCCTAGATCGTTTTTGTAAGTTCTAGAAGTACTAGAAGTACTAGAAGTACTAGAAGTACTAGAAGTTCTAGAAGTACTAGAAGTTCTAGAAGTACTAGAAGTTCTAGAAGTACTAGAAGTTCTAGAAGTACTAGAAGTTCTAGAAGTACTAGAAGTACTAGAAGTGCTAGAAGTTCTAGAAGTACTAGAAGTACTAGAAGTACTAGAAGGACTAGAAGTACTAGAAGTTCTAGAAGTACTAGAAGGACTAGAAGTACTAGAAGTACTAGAAGTACTAGAAGTTGAAAGAAGCAGCTCAGACAAACTCTCTGTTCTTTGCATGAGATTTTGTGGTTTGTTCGGGTTTCTAATCATCCTATACAATAAGTAATATATTATTACTTATCTAGATTTGTATATTATCATTTGTATTTAATATCGAAATTTAAGCTTAAATAGAGTTTAAATAGAGTTTAAATAGAGTTTAAATGAGCTTAAGTAGAGTTTAAATAGAGCTTAAATTGAGGGAAATGAGGGAAATGCTATTGCATTGCAGTATGAAGCTCCACTGCAGCTCTGTACAGGCTACTGCAGCCTTCCAGTACTTTAGCTTCAATACTTTTCAGTCTTTATTCTGTAGCTGCACTTTTCAGCTTCTTGAAGCGAGCCTTCGACGCTGTGCAGACCCGCGGTGGACTGTGCATTTCGGATGAGGTTTCATTTTGATAATTTCTAGAATGCCAGATCTTTTTCTTTTATATTTCTATATGTGAACTGGCCTTTAACGTATTTTTTGCTTACTTTTGAACCTTTTGAGCCTTACTTTTGTAAACCTTTTGAGCTTTAACATATTTTTTGGGCAAATTCCAGGTTCAAACCGGTTTCGGGCGACTCGGCTCACACTTCTGGGGCTTTGAGAGTGGTTTTTTGCTTTTGAAAGCTAAGCTAAGCTAAGCTAAGCCAAGCTAACTATTGAAATATGAAAATACTATATTTCTAAAGGTTATCTGATAAATCTTATCTGATTTAGCTCATGGAGTCAAACCGGATATCGTCACAATGGCCAAGGGGATTGGGAATGGTTTCCCGATGGGAGCCGTTGTCACTACACAGGAGATTGCTGGTGAATTACAAGATGATGTTAAATTACAAGAGAATTTAAAGATTTGTATGCAAATGAGCTCACAGATTATATGCAAATGAGCTCACAGATCGATTATCAAATCCTTTATAGATTCTTTTGGCAAGGCTCTCTATTTCAACACTTACGGTGGAAATCCGTTGGCGTCCAGTGTGGGAAAAGCCGTGCTTGAGGTGGAGAAATTGAATTGAAATCAATTAGAGTCAATTAGATCAATTAGAGTTAATTGAATCACGTTTAATTCAATTCTTTAGCTTTAAACTATTATTTGAATCTTATCCAAACTAACTACGATTTTATTTTTCAAGAAAAAGATTGATTTTTCAAGAAAAATGAAGAAACAGTTGAATTTGAAAAACCTGATTCCCCTTTCAATGAAATGATTTGATTGAAATTTAGGTGATTGAGGAAGAGGGATTGCAACAGAATTGCGCTAAAGTCGGCACTCATTTCATGAAGGAAATTGAGAGAATAGGATCGAAATTCATCGGTGATATTAGAGGTCGGTTGTATTTCTTCTTTCTTTCTTCTTCCTCTTTCTACCGTAATCTTGGCTCTATTTTTATCTAATCTATCTTTTCTTTCGATATCCTTTGTGAAAACACACAGAATCAGACCAAAAGTCGAGAAAAATAAAGACAAGACTACGGTAGTTGTTGACGTTAGAGAGTAGCGTTTTATCAAAAGGGAAAAGGGAGCTATAGCTAGCTTAGGCTTAGGCTTAGGCTCAGGCTTAGGCTTAGGCTTAGGCTTAGGCTAAGGCCCAGGCTTAGGCTAAGGCCCAGGCTTAGGCTATTGAAAGATTATGGTAATAATCTAGCTACCGTACGCCTTGCTATTTGAAGCCAATAACTAAAGCTAAAACTACGGTACTTTGCAAAAATTGCTACGTTTCAGTAAGCGAACTCGCTACCGATAAAGTTGGACAGTCCAACACCAAGAAATTTGAGTTTAGAGTTGGATTGTGAATGGAAAAGGGGCGAGGCTTATCAGATGGCCGATAACCTTTTATAACCTTGTCCGATAACCTTGTCTCGCTTGGCGCCGAGATAGATAAAATACTGTAGAATAAGTTCCCATCTAGGAAATCGTGGAAAATCTAGTCTCTAGCTTGGTTTTGACGTTTGATACGCGTCCCGCCATTTTGCCATTGGCAATCTAACTTTAAGCTCAAATTTCTTGGTGTTGGGCTGTTCAATTTAAATGGTTTTTATACCAATCGATAGAGAAAGACTTGGCGCATCTAATGATACCAAGAATATTAAAATTGGACAACCCAACACCAAGAAATTTGAGCTTAAAGTTAGATTTCCAATGGTAAAGAGGCGGGGCGCGTACCAAATGTCCGAAAATCGTTCGAAACGGCAGCTAAGACAAAAATGACTATTTCGTGAATGTGTTAAAAGGCTTTAAGCATTTTGTTTGGTAAATTAAAGCATTAAAGCAAGCATGTATGATAAATTTGATGAATAAAAGGCTATTCAGGCAAGGGATTGATGCTCGGCATTGAGCTGATCGACGAGGACGGGAAACCGATGCCCGCTGCAAGAACTGGAGATATTTTTGAGGGAATCAAGGTAAATAGTTTCCTTTAAAAAAACAGACGTAGCTTTTACAAGTATATACTGGTTTATTCAACCAATCCAAGCAATCCAGCAATCCAATCCAGCAAACCAATCCAAGCAATCCAATCCAGCAATCCAATCCAGCAATACAGAAACAAATCTTATTAAAGCCTTAACCTAAGCTACCCAATGCCAGGACTTCAATTTCTTAACTTCAGCATAACTCTTGAAACCCAATAATCATTATTTTGTGAAGTGACGATGACCAATGAAAGGAAATAATCGTTTTTAATGGCTGCAGTTTAATGGCTGCAGTGCAAGCCAACCAGTAGTTTAATTTCAACGGGCACAGTGCGTTACGTTGTTCTGCGCCTGGGATAACTCCGAACCTGCGACTTAGCCTGTGATCAACGTTGCTTAACTTTGCTTAACTTGCCAGATCGGACGGGATACCGTGCTTCAACGTGGCGACAACGTAAACTAGCTAGAAAATAGTTCAAACCATAAAATAAGTTAACGAAATTTCAGTACTTTTAACTATTTTCCAGCGAAATTTTCAATCTTGGTACGGTCATTTCCAAGAAATCCTCATCTCCGTTAAGCTTAGCCGTTAAGCTTGCTTAGCCTAAGCTGACAGCAAGAAGCTGACAGCAAGAAGTTGACAACTTGTGACCGGTGATTATGCTCAGTGAAGTAGAGTATTGCTTAGCGCTTGGGATAAATCCGAACCTGCGACGCTTGGGATAACTCCGAAGTAGAGTATTCGTCTGATTAATGTCCATAGACACTTTAGAAAGCTTAAAATTAGTTGGAAGCTTAAAACTAAACAAAAAATAATTGACAGTCAGAGGGATCGAACCAGGCCGAAGACGGGTCAACAGACCGCTACGCCAAAGTGCTATCCCCTCGGCCATCCGGTCCCTAGTTGCAGGGGAGTAATTTGGCCATATATCCCGGCGGTCCCGTTTTTTTGGCTCGAACTTATTTTTCAAAAGAAATACAAAAAGAAACGAAAAGACTTTTTGAATAGTTTAATAGCCATTTTGTCAGCTTCTTGCTTTGTCATTATGTTTAGTGAAGTAGAGTATTCGTTTGATTAATGTCCATAGACACTTTAGAAAACTTAAAATTAGTTTTTGTGACTAAGCAAAAATAATTGACAGTCAGAGGGATCAAACCAGGCCGAAGACGGGTCAACAGACCGCTACGCCAAAGCACTATCCCCTCGGCCATCTGGTCGTTGTTTGCAGGGGAGTAATTTGGCCATATATCGCGGCGGCCCCGTTTTTTCGCCTCAAACTTATTTTTTAAAAAAATACAAAAAAAACGAAAAGACTTTTTGAATAGCCATTTTTAAAAATCGTTTTTTAAAATCGTTTTTTAAAATAATAATCCCGTTCTCAGGATCGTGGCGTACTCGTTGGAAAGGGTGGAATCAATGGGAATGTGCTTCGAATTAAACCCCCAATGTGCATCACGGAAACCGATGCGGATCGGTGTGTGCAAGCGATTGCTGAAGCGCTGAAAAATGGAAAATAAAAGAAAAGAAGAAATCGATCGAATTTTTGTTTTTTGATCTTTCACTTACCCTCTTTTTTCCACTTTTTCCCTTTTTTCCCTTTTTTCCCCTTTTCCCCTTATTTTCCACTTCTTATTTTCTCAAATTATCCGAGATTTTTACGGGTTTTTTGACGTCTCTATTTCGAAATTTTACAACGATTTTAATAAAACAAAAGAAAATTACAAATAAACAAATTCCAAACAAAGTTGTAAAGCTTTTTTTTACAAGTTTCTTTATAAGTTTCTTTGCCAGTTTCTTTACTTGTAAACCGATGCGGATCGGTGTGTGCAAGCGATTGCTGAAGCGCTGAAAAATCGGCATCGGTGTACTTGTAAACCGAGGCGAACCGATGCGGACTTGTAAAGAAACTTTCTTTACTAAACATTCCTTTGTTTTATCTTTCAACTGGATGCAGGTTCTGTTCAAAGTTAGAAGTGCACCCTTTCTGGCGCACTGAAGTCATTTTTCCTCAAGAAAAGACTTGATTTCACGAGAAAATGAAGGATTCAGTGCACTAAAAAACTTGCTTTTCCACTTTTGAGCACAGAGAACGATCAAAAGCCAAGCCAAAGCCAAGCCAAGTCAAGCCAAGCCAAACCAAGCCCAGCCAAGCCCAACCCAACGGCTTAGGTCTTGACCGATCGATAGATCTTGACCTAAAATTGCTTAAAACCTTGACTTTAGCTATGAAGCTAAGCTATAGCTATGAAGCTAAGCTATAGCTATGAAGCTAAGCTTTAGCTGTGAAGCCATTATGCTTCCTTAACTTGTAAGGGTGAAGCCCTGGTCCTTTTTGCCTTCACCATTTTTACGACGGATAGTTCTATCAGAAACATTCAATTGGGGAGCCATTTTTCTCATGCTCCGGGCAGGATTGCGCTTGATTTGTTTCTTAATGATTTTCTTGAGTCTCGTGTGATCAATTTTTGGCGGACGTCCACTTTTAGGAAGCTCTTCGACTCTATTTTGTTGCAAAATGCGGTATACCGTCATTCGATGCATTTTCAGCAGTTTGGCAATATCCGAAGTTGATCGTCCTTGTGCTCCAAGTTGAAGAGTAGGGGCACGGTTGGGAGAAGCTCGATTTTGACCTAAAATAGCTTAAACCTAGATCTTGATCTAAAATAGCTGAAAACTTTGACTTTAGCTATGAAGCTAAGCTATAGCTATGAAGCTAAGCTATAGCTATGAAGCTAAGCTTTAGCTATGAACTTTTGTGACCAATTTTAGCGACAATACATTCCTAGTTACATTTCTAGACAAATAAAACAAGTAACAGCGTAAGCTTTGCACAATTTTCTTAATTTTTTGGATTTTCATGTAATTCCCGTGAGCGATCAGGCCGGGGCGAGTGCAATATATGCCTCTCGAACACTCGATACATTGGCACACGGCCAGACCTGATTGATCTGAGGGATTGGGGAAGGGATAAGAAAATAAAATAAAAGATGTAGTCAAGCACAATTAGCACAAATATACAATAAGTTTACCAAAAAGAAGAAGAGTAAAATACAATATAGCATGATTAATTGAATAAGGCTTTGTCAACAACGAGGTTAGATTGGGTTAGATTGGGTTAGATTGGGTTAGATTTTGGTTTTGATTAGTTTTAAAATGAGAACAGAAGCTTTGGCTTTAGCTGATCAGCCATCAGCTCTACTGATCAGCCATCAGCTCTACTGATCAGCCATCAGCTCTATTGATCAGCCATCAGCTCTATTGATCAGCCATATTACTGATCAGCCATCTCACTGATCCAATTCATTCTCTCAGACACTGGAAATCTTGAGCAAGTAAATCTAAGCCTAAAAAGGAAGTTGCCGGAAATGAATATGACCGTTTAGATTCATTTCTGGCCATTCGCTTGTAAGATTTGTCTGATATTGGCCGTCAGCAGTAAAGCCAAGACTGTCTCTAGGACTGGACCTGATCTTTTTCCTCAAAATCATTTTGGAACATCCTGAAGCTCCTGAACTTTAGCAGCTTTGAGAATTGGCTAGAAATCTTTTATAAGAAAGCAAAGAATTTAAATTCTGCTATTTTTCCGAATCGGTAACTAGCAAAGCTAGAGTAAGCACTAGACAAGAGAAAATTCCAATCTAAACCTAATTCTATCTTCGTTTTCTCGGCTGTTTCTTGACCGATTGCTCTGAAATTTTGTCTACAAATAGAAATCAATATTTCCAGCTTGTAGACAAAATTGCAGAGCAATCGGCTAAGAGACGGCTGAGAAAATGAAGGTAGAATTGGGTTCAGCTTGGAATTTTTCTATTTCTAGTGAATACTGCTTCTGAAAATTCAATGACTTACTGATGAAGCCGACTTGTTAATCTAAAGATTGCTCAAGGTTAAGCTAGACTGAGACTGGTTAAGCTAGAGCTAGCTAGATATGACATGAAGCTAGATAAAGCTAGACTTGAGTATCGTTCCAGTTAATGCCAAATCGAAATCCTAAATGAACTTCTAGCATTTGTAAACCTTCTAGCATTTGTAAACCGTTTCCTTTCTACTAATGTTAATAGATAAATGTTCTAGAAATAGATATGGATGAATGAATGAATGAGAATGAATAGAGTTAGTTTGGTGAACTGCAAAAGGAGCTGGCAGCAGAATAGCTGGGGGAAAAGAAGGTGAAACTGTGGGAAGGAATGGATAGAAATAGGCTGGGGATGGGGTGGCTGGCAGGAGTGGAGAAGATCGCTGTGCCTGGGGACAGCCATAGCCATACACCTCAATGGAGCAGCCTCCCCACCCCTCCATCCAACTCTGGCACGTCTCACAAGGACGAACAAACCGGTCCCCCATACCCACACAACTTTCTCCTCTCCTTTTCTCCTCTCCTTTCTTCGTTTTCTTCACCCCCACCTTTTCTTTTCATTCCAATAGGTGGCAGTGGCACATATTTGCGCGAAAGTGATCACAATCCCCCGAAAAAGGACATCACGGGTTGCGCTCACTCATCTTTCTGAACGCCGTTTCGAAACTGGTAATGCGATTAGAAAATACTTGGATGATGAAATGGATCATGGGACTAGTCCAATGCTTACTAGCAACCTACAACGATTTCTATTTTTACCTTTGTTTTTCAAATTCATTTTTACAAATAACACAAACCCTAACAAACAGCACTAGGTCTTTTTTATGTTATTCAAAGGTAACCCTGATTTAGAGTTCTGTTCATGGTGAAAGAGCCGAAGCCTAAACCGAAGACAGAGCCTAAGCCTGAACCTAAGCCTGAGCCAGCCTGAGTCTAAGTCTGTGCCTAAGTCTGAACCAGCCTAAGCCTAAGCTAGGCTAAGGCTGAGCCTGGGCCTGAGTCTAAGCCTGAGCCTAGGCCTGAGCCAGCCTAAGCTAGCCTGCCAAAGCCTAAGCCTAAGCCAGCCTAAGCCAGCCTAAGCCAGCCTAAGCCAGCCTAAGCCAGCCTAAGCCAGCCTAAGCCAGCCTAAGCCAGCCTAAGCCTGGCCCTGAGCCTTAGTCTAAGTCTCAAAGGTGCCCCATCAGTGCTAAATGATGAAAATTAACTTAAACAAATAGAAAGAAGCTCAGAAAAAAAAATCCACAAGGGTTTTTGCCATTTACGATGGAGGACTCATGGTTGGCGCGAAAATTTGAAGGACTAAAGGAAGGAAGGGGTGAATAGGAGAAAAAAGAATGACAGAGCAAAAGCAAAAAGTGGGAAGCAAAGTGGGGAAAAAGCATGGGTGAATGAGAAAATGAACACTATGATTGGGATAAATAAGCAAAATGGTTTAGCTGAGTGGGAAAAAGCCTAAGCCAAGCAAAGAGTTCAGCGTCAAAGTGGTTTAGCTTTGTTTAGGTTAAAGTAGTTAAAGTAGTGAAGCTTTCTCTTTTTTAAGAGAAGTTAAGTATTCTCTTAGTTCTGTTAGCCTAAGCCTTAGCTCTGCTGTTAGCTGTTAATAGGTAGGTCTTGAACGTTAAGTTGACGTTTCCACGTTAAGTTGAATAGTAAGTTAGGCTCCTAGGCTTTCCTAGTAAGCTAGACACCTAGGCTTTTTCTAGTAAGTTAGGCTTCTAGGCTTTTCCTAGTAAATTAGACTCCTAGGCTTTCCTAGTAAGTTTGGCTCCTAGGCTTTTCCTAGTAAGTTAGACACCTAGGCTTTTCCTAGTAAGTTTGGCTCCTAGGCTTTTTCTAGTAAGTTAGGCGCCTAGGCTTTTTCTAGTAAGTTAGGCTCCTAGGCTTTTCCTAGTAAGTTAGACTCCTAGGCTTTCCTTTTCCTAGCGCAGCAAGCTCTATGCAAGCTGCAAGCAAGCTAAATAAGTAGACCAAATAATAGTAGATTTATTCAAATAGATAATACAATATTCAGATATGCACAATGCAGCTATGCACAATGCAGCTATGCACAATGCAGCTATGCACAATGCAGCTGTGCAAAATGTAGCTGTGCACAATGTAGCTATGCACAATGCAGCAATGCATAATATTCAGCTATGCACAATATTCAGCTACAGTCCTTCGGCTCTCTTTATGTAGAAAGCCTAAGTACCGAGTGAGTGAAGGGGGGCGGCTCACACTCAACCATTTCACCCCTTTATATCCTTTTTCTCCTTTACATTTCCCCTTGTTCCACTTCGGGTGTTTTCCGTTGATTAGCCTTTTAAAAAAAAACATCGAGAAGGAGACGAAATTGTGGGAAATATGCAAAAAGCGGCAAGAGTCAGCACAAGTCAGTCAGCACAAGCTGGCAACAGTCAACATCGAGAAAAACGATCATGGTTGATTGATTCAAGTTGCTAGCTTTTCTAACCCACTAACCACTTTTTGTGATTTTGCAAAAACAAGGCATTATTGATGTAAGCTGTGCTCTGGGATAAGCTGTGAGCTTCTTGAAATCCTGTGATAATTATTTGTAGCCAAAGAACGGAAAATGGTTCAAGATGGCTCAAAATGACTCAAAATGGCTCAAAATGGCTCAAAATGGCTCAAATTAGGGATTTTGTATGGAAATACAACAAACGAACGCCGCCAATTGCTTCCCCGCCCCTGAAAACCCCTGGATACCAACTTTTGGCTTTAAATCGATCTTAGGATTGTTTACAGAACAAAATTCTTTATAAAGAGACGGCAAGATGTTCTTTGTGCAGTTTTTGTGCGCCCGCGTAATCGCTCGCCGCCTGGCGCAGGGCTTTTTCATAAGTTGGACTCTTTCGGTTTGACATCAACAATTTTCGGCCAGGTAACACGGCTTGATTATTATCGTTGGGAGAGGTTTTTCGCTTTCTGTTCAACTAACTAAAGTTGACACGTATGGAGAGGGTGTTGGCCGTTCTCTATATTCTGTTGGCATTCTCTATATTCTGCCGGCATTCTCTATATTCTGCTACCATTCTCTATATTCTGCTGACCCATTTCAAACAATGGGCATCCCCTTAAAGCATGGTTAGGTAAGAGACTTTAAGAGTAAATAGGCACTATAGCTTTAGCTTTATGATAGGAGTACGGTAGCTTTGCGGTATCTTTACGGTAAAGGTAGAGATTAGCTTTTCCTTCTCTTTCTTCCTTGTACTTCCTCTTTCTTCTCTGGCAAGAAGAGATTGAATAGCTGAGTGGTTAGCAAGGGACTCAGTGGCCTGCTCGGAAAGCAAAAAGGTCTAGGGGTTCGTCTCTTCTTTCTTTGCCATTCAATGCTTTACTTTATTACGACAACGGTATGATAGCTTTACCCTAAGCGCATCTTTTAGCAAACGTCTCTACTTACCAATACTAAATACGATCTCAAAAAGCTAGTTTTACAGCTCTTTCACGGAAACTTTCTCCCATTCACCTTTCACTAGCTAATAGATAGGTTTAGCTTGGGTAAGCTAAAAGAAGACGGTTTTTTTTGATGAAAAGCGAAAGAAGCAAAAGAAGCAAAAGAAGCAAAAGAATAAACAAGATTCAAAATGACAACGACAAAGAAAAGAAGTGAATGGGAGGAAGATGGGTGAAAAAGACGGGTTTTCGCATGCCATTGCTTTTTTTTTTTGCGGCTCGAGGCAATGCGCAGAAGTACCGATTCGAAGGGATGAGAGGCGTGTGAGTGAAAGTGGTGAAAGTGATGCCACGGTAGAAACTGCGAGAACCCTGCACACTATGATTCTACGCCAAAAAAAACTTACCGTAAATACTGTAATAGTACCGCACCCCCTCGTACAGTCGCGTAGTCGCAAGAGTTTTTTAGTATTTCGTTTTTTTCAAAGCACCCATACTTCCAAAAAATGCGTCTTTAGTATCAAAAAATAGCCCTGAATTTCAGCTATTTTTTGATACATATTGTAGCCTTGTAGCCTAAACCAGTGTCGAGAAAAACTGGTTCAAAGCTAGACTACGTCTACTGTTGCGTCGTCTAGCTTTGAACGAGTTTTTCTCGAGACTGGTTTATGCTACAATGCGCGCTTAGGTATCAAAAAATAGCTGAAATTCAGGGCTATCTTTTGACACCTAAACGCGCATTGTAGCCTAAAACAGTCTCGAGAAAAACTCGTTCAAAGCTAGACTACGCAACACTCCGCCCCGTCATTATGGGGGTGGGGTACTATTACAGTATTTACGGTATATAGCGCGGGGGTACTTTACTGATTGGTGTTGCTAGCGATACTGTACTAGTTAAACAGCTTTTCACCTTTACTGTACTCCTTCGTTCTACAAAGACAAAATTCTAACTCATCTTTGAGATTCACCGAGCTACATTGCTCAATCAAAATCCCATCGCACCGTAGTGATGGAAAGCAATGGGCTTTCAACTTCTCCTCTCCTCAACGTCCGATAACGACGGCACTCCTCGGAGAGATTTTCGATTCCCTTCAGTCTCCTTTCTCTTGCCGATCTCCCTTGTCTGCCATTCGGTTTGCACAAGAAAAAGTGAGAGTGCTCATTTCTGTGCACTCCTTCAGCTCTTTTAGCTGTCAGCTTCTGGTTTGTGAAAGCAATGCTTTGAAAAGATCTTTTCAAGGGATCTAGTCTGATCAATTCATTCTAGACTTACCGCCAACAGTCGTGGTAAAAAGAAATCACTAAACAAGGAAAGTTGATTTAACTGAAGATCAGCTAGAAAAAGAGTAATGTTTAGTGAAACTACACAAACGGGAATCCTTCTTTTGATCGTGCAAAATTCAAGATTTGTACAACCCGAACGCTAAAAAAGGCTTTCACTGTTGGAGATTTCACCTAAAGGTGGCTTTTTTCACTTCAAAACACCCCAGACAAGCTAAAATAGATTTCGACGCAAAGATCACTAACCTTATCTACTTTGCTGTATGAAATTCTCTTTCCTGTTTTGCATTTCGTGATCGAGTATCCACTCTTATCCAACAGTCTTTTACAATACAGTTACTTAATTCTTTTTAGATCACTTTATATACCGAAATCCTCTGTTTAAACGACAGAAGAAATGCGGTAATTTCACAGGCGGTGACTGGATATAAAAATTATCAATTGCCTTTCACAAAAAAGACACACATACAAAAAATGGAGAGGCAAACCGGTAATGAAACGGAGAGCGAAAAAAGAATCACAAACACTTGCAATAAAAGGAGACGCATTAAAGGACAAAAATGTATAACGAGCCTCCGCCATAAGTTCACACTTATATCGAGAACAAGAAAACATAAAGGAAAAAATGTATTAGCAATAATTCATAGCAATACCCCAATACGAAACGATATTAAATAGCTTAAAAAGAATTTAGTTGTGTGTCATGTACCGTGGAGTAGCCGAGAATTTCTGATAACCTTTGATCACCTTATTGATCGCTTCGAGGAAATCTTTCTCGGTTGCAACCTAGACAAATGAAACTTCTCTCAAAATCAAATTATAAGCTCTACCTTTCTACGAGCACGGATGGCAAACATTCCAGCCTCAGTGCAAACCGAGCGCAACTCAGCCCCTAAAAATTCATTATAACATCTTTACTGAATTTTTGCAAACCAGAAAAAGATAAAAATTGACTCACTAACCTGTACTGTTGGGGCATAGACGAGCCAATAAATCATAACGAATGTCCCTCTCGACGCTCATCTGTTTCGCGTGAATCTTGATGATGTGTGCTCGTCCAGCAAGATCCGGCAGTGAGAATTCAACCTAAACTCAATTGATAAAGATGTGCGTTTGCTAAATTATTAGCTGACCTTGCGATCGAGACGTCCAGGGCGCAGTAATGCGGGATCAAGGGTGTCCGGTCGATTTGTGGCCATCAGTACCTGAAAAACAAATACTATTAAATCTAGTTGACAACTTGCCTTAGACTTAACTTCAACATGTATCACTAGCCTTGATCAACAAACAAAAGCAAAATCAACCCTACTTTAATATTTCCACGGGGATCGAAACCATCGAGTTGATTGATGAGTTCAAGCATGGTTCTTTGCACCTCGTTGTCACCACCCATTCCATCGTCAAAACGAGCTCCACCAACAGCGTCGATCTCATCGAAGAATATCAAGCATGCCTTTTTCGTGCGTGCCATCTCGAACAACTCACGCACCTAAGAGAAAATAAAAATGCCAGGTTTGGAATAACATTGGCAGTTTATCCGAAAGCAACGTTGACAAACAATCCAAAAAGATAGTTTTAATTAAAACCAACCATTCTAGCTCCTTCTCCAACATATTTTTGCACAAGCTCTGATCCAATGACACGGATGAAACAAGCATCAGTTCTAAAAGCAAATGAATTGCAAAAGTATAACCAATTTACCGATTGGCAACAGCCCGAGCACAAAGCGTCTTTCCGGTTCCAGGCGGTCCATAAAGAAGCACTCCCTTTGGTGGTTCAATTCCAAGGTTGACAAAGCGTTCAGGCTAAAATATTCAAGGATTATGCTTTAAAAGATGCAAAATTACATGAAGTAGTGGGGTCTCAACAACTTCTCGAAGTTTCTCAATTTGTTCCTTGCAACCACCAACATCTGCATAAGTTACATCGGGCTTCTCTTCAACCTAAACATTTAAATTTGATTCAGTCAAGTGATGCCAATAAATACCTGCATCATCGTAACTGTAGGATCAATCTTGGCTGGAAGTGGTAAGTGGATCTGATACTTGTTCCGATCAACGCCCACACGCATACCTTCCTGAATAAAGTTGATTAAAATATAACCAAGTAGAAACTTCACCTCAATGTCAGTTGGAGCAACACTGTCAGCAAGATCCACAACAAATTTAGCAAATTGTTTAACGTTGATCATATAGCGAGGATCTTGGCCCTCCGTCTGAATGATTTTTGTGCAGCGAGCTACCTAAATTTAAATTTGAGTAACAATAATAAGACTTTTAAATTGTTAAACAATTAACTGTATACCTGCAAAGGCTGTTCTTGTTGCATAGCTTGTTTGTCGGCGGCAATATCCCATAGAGCTGGTGGAGCTAGACCCGTGTCTGATTCTTTCACTCCACAAAGCTCGTTGACCTAAAAGATTGCTATTATTTTTACTTAAGATTCAAATAACGTCATTATTCTACAGTTTTCAATTCAAAATTCGTCCAATTAAAGCACAAAAAGGATGAACGGATCAACTTTATATTCATTCTTCTCGATTTACTGTTTCAAAGCTCAGACATTAGTTTTTTCTTTTTTTCTGAACACTACCTAACCTTTTTTAAAAGTTAATAAAAGTATCAATCAAATCCAACTTTTTTAACGGCTTCTTCAATGTCGGTGTCAAGCTGCTTCAACAATTCAGCATAAGGTCCTTGGCCATAGCGTTTCAAAACAGCGATATCACCCTCATCAAGTGCTAAAGATTTAGGTAAATTTGAAATTCCCCGCAAAATTTACCTTGAAATTCTTTCTCCTCCTCTTTCGTTTCTCCTTTCTTCGATTTTCGCATATCATCTCCAAGATAGTCGGGCATGATTGCTTCTAAAATTTGTTATTAGGCTACTGAACATAAAAAAACAAAAATACAGAAAGAGAACCAAATTTAACTATCAGCTGTTGTTCTAACTGCGCTTTCAGCTCGGGGCGATGATTTCTCTTCTACCGTAGTGTTCCTTTTGACGCCAGGAAAGGTCCGCATTATAAATTGGACAAGTTTTGACAAAAATCATACGCTCAGCACGAAAAGGCACGAATAGAGAAATAACCATATGCTTTAATTGCCGTGAAATGGCGAACTTGTCAAGGTTCTAGTGTTTTAGCGTAAATCTCGTAGAAAAAAGTGCGAAATAATCACAGTTTGCGTTGTCCGCATCTAAAAAACATTCACACAACGAAAATTTATCAATTGATCGAGAATATCAAAGCAATTGCTAGCAAAAGAGACAAATTTCTTGCACCGCGTATCATTTGCGCTTTTCAACACACTTTCCAACCAACTCTGATTGTTTATTTTTATCTTTTACTACTTTTTCTCGTCGACGAGCATCGTCTACTTTGATGCCTTTGCCGGATCTGAAAATGGCATAAAATCGATACAAAGAGCAAAAAGCCCAATCGGTGGCACAAAAATGACTGTTTTTAGGGCTGTATATGTATTTAAATGTGTTTTCTAATTGAAAACAGGCGCAAATGATACACAGCGCGAAAATTTTTGGCGGAAAGGATGAATTAAAATTGTGAAGCAGAAAAGTGAAAAAAGTTGGTTAGAAGTTGGGAAAAAGTTATTTGTTACAGCTGTATACAGTGATTTTCATAAGTGTAAATTTGGCGCAAATGATACACGGCGCAAAAATTTTTGGCGCAAAGGATTTTGGCGCAAAAAATGCGACGCTTTTGGTAGCACAGTCATAGTCATAGTCACAGTCTCAGTCTCAGTCAAATAATCACACTTTAGGTTGTCTGCATATAAAATCATCCACACAACGAAAAATTACGACAAATGAAAATTTTGCGAGCGTTTTCAGACTTTCAGACGTTTTCCAGACAAATCTACAAATTGCATTACTGTAGCCGTCTCAAATTGTTTTTTCGGGGGTGGGGCAAATGCTACCTTTTTTTGCGCACCTTTTTTTTGCTGGAAAATGCCTTAGGAAAGGTCGTAGAGCTTCAAAAATGTTTTCATAGAAGGGAATCGTATGCGTAGATTCCGAATTTCGACAAATCAGACCTCGCTGACACGTCAAATTTGGGCTTAAAGGGAAAAACTACGCAACTTAACGCTTTTCCGCAGTTTTTGCTTTTTGGCCCAAATTTGACGTGTCAGCGAGGTCTGATTTGTCGAAATTCGGAATCTACGCATACGATTCCCTTATATGGAAATATTTTCGAAGCTTTACGGCCTTGCCTAAGGCCTTTTCCAGCAAAAAAGGTAGCATTTGTCCCACCCCCGTTTTTTCGTCTCATTTTCCCTTTTTCCTTTTTTAAAAAGGTTTGTAGCTTTTGTTGCTTTTGCGCCTCAGCCTACTTTGGGTTAAATTTTCCGCTCAACTTAGTCTTTTGCGCAACTTCCCATAACTTTCTTCTAGGTAGGCCAATCTTTATGATTTTGATGTCATTTTGTTGCACTTATTGAGATCTACAAAATGACATCAAAATCATAAAGATTGGTTAAGTTAGAAGAAAGTTATGGCGAGTTGTGCAAAAAATTTGACGCAAACTAGCCCCCTATCGCTCGCTCGGGATCGCAAATGATCGCTCAGAATCGCAAATGGTCGCTCAGGATAGCTCAGGTTAAAAAGTACTGTAAAATTGCAGTAATTTCGTCTCATTTTCAAAGTTGAAACCTTTCCACAGAAAAAAAGCTTGGATAGGCTACTTTGCGTCAAATTTTTTGCAACTTACAACTGCCAATTTGCGCAACTCGTCATAACTTTCTTCTAAATAGGCCAATCTTTATGATTTTGATGTCATTGTGTTGCACTTGTTGAGATCTACAAAATGACATCAAAATCATAAAGATTGATTAAGTTAGAAGAAAGTTATGGCAAATTGCGCAAAATAGCTATCCTTTTTTCACTTTTTCTTTCTCTTGTTTCTCAATTTCTCAATTACTATTACCGTATTTTTTCTAATAGTAGTGCACCCCAGCAAGCCGAATAGAAAACGTTTAAAACAGCGCCGTCAAATTTCTCACAATTCAATTAGAAGAAGGTTTTTGATTTTTATTTTATGAAAAAATAGCATTCAATTTCATTCAAATTAAAAATTTGCACCAAAATTTTTCAGCCTATTTGCCTTGATTAAAATTTGAGTTGATTTCAGCCTCACTTAGAAGTTCTGTGAAAAAAAGGTGAAAATTGGGCATTTCTTGATATTTGATTTAAACAAAAATTGTATTGTTTGAGTTGCGTTTGAGAAAAATTGATTTATAACGTTATTGCACTTATTGAGATCTACAAAATGACATCAAAATCATAAAGATTGGCCGACTTAGAAGAAAGTTATGGCGAGTTGCGCAAATGACCCAGTGGCGCAAAGGGCTTTGTTTTTATCTGGTTTTTTATTTGTTATTTTATTAGTTATTCTTTGGTTTTTATGGTTTTTTGCATTTTTTTATTGTAGTCAGTCTATCCAAATTTATATTTTTTTCTGTATTCGTGAGCCTTCACAAGTTAAACAAATATTGATAGGGCATAGTTACAGTAACTTTCAAAAAAATGGGCACATTTTAGAAATTGCTACAGCAGAAATTTTACAATCTTCATCATTTCAAGATCTTGACGGTTCAAAAAGACTTATTGAACTTTGTGGGGTGTGCCTGAATGAAATCATTGCCATGTTAGATGAGGGTAAACATGTGCTCTGCGGTCTCTTACAGGATCTACTCACCAAAAAAAGAAGTGAATGACTCAATCTACTTCTTTTCTTATAGTGTGTGGGTTGATCGGGCCCACTCAGCTAACTAGTTCACCTTTTCAGTCAATGGTTTCACATCATTCTTATGGCCATGTCTACATCAGTTCATTCAGCATTGTTATCAACGTTACCATTTCTTACAATAACTCTTTTTACTGGTACCTCTTTTAGAAATCACTCTAAAATCTCAAAATAAACATCCATAACCCTCCTCTACGAGATTCAAATCTTCACAAAAGACGATCCCTCACCGGAACTCTTTCTCAAACAAAAACAAACGAGGCTAATGGATATCCCTTTTCTTATTCTTTTTTTTTTATTTTTCGTTTCCTTTCTTGTGGTTGTTGATGTATCCGTTCATCCGTTCACACCTTTGTCTCCTCCTTTTCCCCTTTTTACCCATCAATCTTTCTCCATTTTCTTTTACAGTCCCATCCACCATACGGTCAAGTAGCGATTACCGGTGTGAGTTACGGATTAAGGCTCCCATAAAAGAAACGAAAAGAGGAACTTCAACCTTGAGAAGTTTTATTTGAATCTTTGACTTCAAAGATTTGGTAGATTAAGATCTTTACTTTAGATCTTACTTTAGATCTTACTTTAGATCTTACTTTAGAGGTACTTGTAGTTTGTAACTGGCTTTGTTGTCGCTATGATAGACCAATGATCAAATATCCGGGTAAAATCAGGGCCAAGTCATACTCGTGAACTGGCTTTGATCTGATCTGACTTTGCTCTGGTCTGGCTTGGGCTTTGAAGTTGGCTTGACCTAGCTGACTGGCTCTGGCTCTGGCTTAAACTGGCTCTTGCTAGTCTTTATTGGGCTACTTGGATAATTAGATAAGATTTACAATACCAATTTACATTTGCAATACTTTATTAACATTTTTAATACTTTTATTTAGATCCACAATACTTTATTTACATTTATAATACTTTAATTTAGACTTACAATACTTTATTTGCATTTACAGATTTACAGTACCAGTTTTTCTTTTCTTTGGCCACTATTTTTGAGTCCTAAATACCCTTCTGACCCTCTAGCGCTGACAAACTTGTCTGCAATTTGTGCTTCCAGAAACGTGCACCATCTGGCGCACTCATTGCACCATTTTACATGATTTGAATGTGCCAGGAAGCGTGCATTCACAAGACTCTAACACAGCCAAAGTTTGTTTAAAAAGCCACATCCGTTCTTCGCTCTACAGGCAATTCTTTATGCAAACTTTTGACACTCGCCAATTACCGGCTAATCCCCACCCCAGAAACTCTCATCCACTAATTAACCTACTGTAATCCCCATGGGAAAGTGATTGGCTAAAGCATTGACAATGAGCCTACCGTATAGAGTTTACTATCCGTACTTTATGCTCTCACAATTACACATTTTCTGGTGCGCTTCGATCCAAAAAGCATTTGCAGCAGTTTCTCAGCATTTTCAGAAGTTTTTCAGCGGTTTTTCATCATTTTCAGCAGTTTTTTCATCATTTTCAGCAGTTTTTCAACAATTTTTCATCATTTTCAGCTGTTTTTCATCATTTCTAGCATTCAGTGATTCAGCACACAAGCCAAATTGTTCCAGATATCACAATTTTTTCAAATAACTTTATAATAAACCCGACCTGAGCTTTTGCTATAAATTAATAAGTAAAATAATCATCTAAAAAATGGTTTCTCTTAGTTTTAAGAACTACTGTATGGCTGCTGCTGGCTGCAAATATCAACTCGCTCGTTTTTGGCTATATCTTGGCTGTAGCTTTTCGAATTGGTTTAATTCCTTTTTAATATGAAAATTGCGATAATTTTCTACAAAAAATTGCTTTATACAAATTATAGAATGCTTTTGAGGTTTTTATTAAAGGCTTAAAAGATGATCCAAAAGATGTATCCGAAAAATTCTTGGCACGCAACATTATTCAACCTCTTTCTAGTTCATTTTCAAAATGAAATCGGTTTTTTTGTCTTTTTTTGATAAATTTAAGCTTTAAGAGTAAAATTTAGATAATTCTTTCAATTAAGTTTCAAATTAACCGATGAAATTTGTTAACTTTGAGCAAAGTTAACAAATTTCAAGGAAAATCCATCTTCAAGAAGCCGTTGTTCATCCAGAGCTCATAA